GTTACATAGTGAGAGGAGGCGTTGGGATAGTGGTGGAGTCGACTGTTCCGGTGTTACATAGTGAGAGGAGGCGTTGGGATAGTGGTGGAGTCGACTGTTCCAGTGTTACATAGTGAGAGAAGACGGTGGGATTGTGGTGGAATCGAGTCTAACACATTCGATTGACCAGACTACCTGTATAAAACTGAAATATATTTCAATCCGTTACTTACATGTAGATGTATTCAGGTACAGGACATTTGAAGTTCTAGTTAGATAATTAGTGTAAGTTTCCTTTGTTAACCGCAAGATATTACACAGCGTGATGTGTTTAATGTTTAACACGCGCGTGCCAAACATGTAAACAACATACGTTTTATATCATCTGCAGATGCTGAACATTTCAATGTAAAGAAAAAACTTTTTAATGTGAAGAATCTATCTGTTAGGTGATTTCTACAGCTAAGCAGCTTTTAAAAATACCGGCACTCTAAACAGCAATTAGCCTTATTTAAGTATTGTTCGTTTCGTTAATTTGCCAGTGTGTCATGAATACCATTACTGCAACTCTGGCACTTTTCGCGTTTATCAAATCTGCCTGAAAATTTAACATATTAGCATTCAACCAGGTACATCAACGCGAACAATTCCTTTGAAGAGTCAAGTAGTTGATATTTGCAGATACGATATTGACAAGCACACGTATTAACATAAAACTTGTATCGTTGAATAGTAGTAATAAAATGATGTTATAGAATTTGTATCATTTTTTTGTTTGGCAGTCTAGAGGCCTCACTGGAACCAAATTTAGTATATTGAACATGCATTACGTTCGGACAAAATTTAACAGGGCCATTAGGTGTGTATGTTGAAAGACAAATTAGGCAGTGTGTGACTTAGGCTGGGAGTGATCGCCTGTATAGGGGACGTTTTACTTCATTCCACTGAAGTGATATCACTAAAACGATTAGGTGATATCAACAATCCATTGTAGAGATGCCACCTGTCTGATTCGGCGAGATCAATTTAGTATGGTGATATCTCTAACAAGATTGGGTGATATTGCCGTGATGAATAGGTGAAATCACCAGTAGAATTGGTGATATCTCTAACAGGATTGGGTGATATCGCCGTGATGAATAGGTGAAATCACCATTAGAATTGGTGATATCTCTAACAAGATTGGGTGATATCGCCGTGATGAATAGGTGAAATCATCATTAGAATTGGTGATATCTCTAACAAGATTAGGTGATATCGCCGTGATGAATAGGTGAAATCACCATTAGAATTGGTGATATCTCTAACAAGATTGGGTGATATTGCCGTGATGAATAGGTGAAATCACCATTAGAATTGGTGATATCTCTAACAAGATTGGGTGATATTGCCGTGATGAATAGGTGAAATCACCAGTAGAATTGGTGATATCTCTAACAAGATTGGGTGATATTGCCGTGATGAATAGGTGAAATCACCAGTAGAATTGGTGATATCTCTAACAAGATTGGGTGATATCGCCGTGATGAATAGGTGAAATCACCATTAGAATTGGTGATATCTCTAACAAGATTGGGTGATATCGCCGTGATGAATAGGTGAAATCACCATTAGAATTGGTGATATCTCTAACAAGATTGGGTGATATCGCCGTGATGAATAGGTGAAATCACCATTAGAATTGGTGATATCTCTAACAAGATTGGGTGATATCGCCGTGATGAATAGGTGAAATCACCATTAGAATTGGTGATATCTCTAACAAGATTGGGTGATATCGCCGTGATGAATAGGTGAAATCACCATTAGAATTGGTGATATCTCTAACAAGATTGGGTGATATCGCCGTGATGAATAGGTGAAATCAGTGGAATAAAAAGTAAAACGGTACTCCAAATATGTGACACCACCTTGTAACGATTTCTCCAAACAATCGGTGATATCGCTAGAATGAATAGGTGATATCACAAATTCAAAATGGATAGATCATGTCGTTATAAATAGGTTTCATGACCTTATTGTGTTAGTGTTATCACACAGTGGGATAAAAAGTAAAACGGCATCCCATACACGTGACGACATATAGATCATCATTAGGTATCCTGATAGATGCATGAGTAGTAATATAGACCTCCAAATCTGTTCGCTTTGAACACGGTACGGTAAGGTAACATAAATCTTAACCCGAAGAAAAACTCGTTCTCACGTAAAGCATACCACATGATTTGGCACTTGCATCTAATTTAGTTCATTCAGTTACACCAGCACGTGCGCCAAGTTGTCGTCTGTTCAGCGTAGTTCATGTATATTTAATGCTTTTAAATCTAGAACATTTAAATCTCATGGAAAATGCCAAGGATCGTATCAAGTCTTATAAACCAAGAGAATACCGACCAGTAAACAATATACACAAGGACCGTATCAAGTCTAACACCAAGAGAATACCGACCATTAAACAATATACACAAGGACCGTATCAAGTCTAACACCAAGAGAATACCGACCAGTAAACAATATATACAAGGACCGTATCAAGTCTAACACCAAGAGAATACCGACCAGTAAACAATATACACAAGGACCGTATCAAGTCTTATAATCCAAGAGAATACCGACCAGTAAACAAAACAATATATACAAGGACCGTATCAAGTCTTACACCAAGAGAATACCGACCGGTAAACAATATTCACAAGGACCGTATCAAGTCTTATAATCAAAGATAATACCGACCAGTAAACAATATAGACAAGGATCGTATCAAGTCTAACACCAAGAGAATACCGACCAGTAAACAATATACACAAGGACCGTACCAATTCTTATAATCAAAGATAATACCGACCAGTAAACAATATACACAAGGACCGCATCAAGTCTTATAAACCAAGAGAATACCGACCAGTAAACAATATATACAAGGACCGTATCAAGTCTAACACCAAGAGAATACCGACCAGTAAACAATATATACAAGGACCGTATCAAGTCTAACACCAAGAGAATACCGACCAGTAAACAATATACACAAGGACCGTATCAAGTCTAACACCAAGAGAATACCGACCAGTAAACAATATACACAAGGACCGCATCAAGTCTTAAAAACCAAGAGAATACCGACCAGTAAACAATATATACAAGGACCGTATCAAGTCTAACACCAAGATAATACCGACCAGTAAACAATATACACAAGGACCGTATCAAGTCTAACACCAAGATAATACCGACCAGTAAACAATATATACAAGGACCGTATCAAGTCTAACACCAAGAGAATACCGACCAGTAAACAATATACACAAGGACCGTATCAAGTCTAACACCAAGAGAATACCGACCAGTAAACAATATAGACAAGGACCGTATCAAGTCTTATAATCCAAGAGAATACCGACCAGTAAACAAAACAATATATACAAGGACCGTATCAAGTCTTACACCAAGAGAATACCGACCAGTAAACAATATACACAAGGACCGTATCAAGTCTTATAATCCAAGAGAATACCGACCAGCAAACAATATATACAAGGACCGTATCAAGTCTTATAAACCAAGAGAGTACCGACCAATAAACAAAATACACCAAGACCGTATCAAGTCTAACACCAAGAGAATACCGACCGGTAAACAATATTCACAAGGACCGTATCAAGTCTAACACCAAGAGAATACCGACCGGTAAACAATATTCACAAGGACCGTATCAAGTCTTATAATCAAAGATAATAGCGACCAGTAAACAATATAGACAAGGATCGTATCAAGTCTAACACCAAGAGAATACCGACCAGTAAACAATATACACAAGGACCGTATCAAGTCTTATAATCCAAGAGAATACCGACCAGTAAACAATATAGACAAGGACCGTATCAAGTCTAACACCAAGAGAATACCGACCAGTAAACAATATACACAAGGACCGTACCAAGTCTTATAATCAAAGATAATACCGACCAGTAAACAATATAGACAAGGACCGTATCAAGTCTAACACCAAGAGAATACCGACCAGTAAACAATATAGACAAGGACCGTACCAAGTCTTATAATCAAAGATAATACCGACCAGTAAACAATATAGACAAGGACCGTATCAAGTCTAACACCAAGAGAATACCGACCAGTAAACAATATAGACAAGGACCGTATCAAGTCTAACACCAAGAGAATACCGACCAGTAAACAATATACACAAGGACCGTATCAAGTCTAACACCAAGAGAATACCGACCAGTAAACAATATACACAAGGACCGTGTCAAGTCTAACACCAAGAGAGTACCGACCAGTAAACAATATATACATGGACCGTATCAAGTCTTATACCAAGAGCATTCCGACCAGTAAACAATATATACAAGGACCGTATCAAGTATAACACCAAGAGAATACCGACCAGTAAACAATATACACAAGGACCGTATCAAGTCTAACACCAAGAGAATACCGACCAGTAAACAAAACAATATATACAAGAAGATCTCTTAAAAAGTAGAAGGAGAAGAAAACCAGGTGTTCCCTCTTAGACCTAGTCGATATATATTAGTTGATAGTATCAAAAATGCAAGTGTGTATAATGCATTTGGGTGAAACAGTTCATAGACATGCATTAGAAAACTAGCGCTAAGTGTAGTGATGGTAGGATAAAGCTGACTGCGGGTTACCGAGGTACGAGGTGTATGTGATCAAACGTCTACATAAAAAGCAAAGTAAATAAACACATAGATAAAATGTTGAAAGTCTCAGACATTATCCGAAAATAAAACATCAAATTAACAAACATACCATTAATTAGCTGTAATGTGCGAGGGAGAAGGATGGATATTGGTATCGGTATTAGTAAATACTGTAACAGATAAAATATTTGTGTCGTGGTTTTCCTGGTTACTAGGGAACCATGAAAATGAGATAGTGATATAAACTGATCTATAAAATCGACGAAAGCCGTCCCTTATAAAATACCAGACAAAAAAAACATCAGTATGGAGATAACAAAACACGTAACTCACCCAATAGTTTTGACAACATCAATAAGAAAAGTGTTGCCTCTCTCCTCGGGTATAGGGGGTCCTATCTTGTCCAGAATCCACCGTCTGTATCCAGTCTTCACAGTGTTTAGCCATCCGTGTTCACCCGTACCGTTTGACATCTTCGCTTGTCCATTGAACGGTTTCATCATTCACGTGTGTGTTTACATTAACTATAAACTCCGTGCTATGTTACTGGGGTGCATGTGGCCTTGTATAAATAGATTGTGAATGAATTCTCCGTGGCTTTTCAATTACAACTTGGATAACAGTGCACTTGTAACATCAATACACTTAGCCGTGCTGGTTCTTAGGTTAAGGTCGACCTGTCTCCATGAGAACCTTCTCCGTCCATATTAGCAAGGACAGTCGATTGATAATAGTGATGCCATGGTACAGAATCGGGAATTCCCAACTGCTTAGAATGGAGTCACTCTTTCATCCACGCACAATCGACATTCGTTATTGATTTTTGCCACTGCGCATGACGAAAAGTGAAGCTGTATTGTAAAAGATGCAAACCTCGTGTGTTCCTTGAAATAACACCAACATACCAGCAGGTTGTATCTGTGTCTGACGTTTGCAAAGTCTACGATATTAATTTATATGGCTAACAGTTAAGATCTTGAAGGAAGAAAATGTAATTACTTTGGTCTACCTAGTATTATGAAGCTGCATCTTTGAAGTTCCTACCGACTTCTGGACCTGTTTACCTATATATATATAATTGTATACAGATGGAGTGAAATGAACATGTACATAATACATCAGGTGTTGCCAGGTAAAAGCTTGGTAGAATTGGGTAGAGGATAAAACAGCGGCTGTGTTCGGCCTGTAGTGAATGTAGTGAGTATACGAACGTATTATGAAGGAATCCATCCAACTATTAGCATATATAACTCCAAGTTCAATCATGGCTTATATTTAATTCAATTCAAATTCAAATATTTTTTTTATAATTTTTATAATTAAAATTACATAATTTGATGGCAATACATATACAAACGTACATATTTATGGAGACAGAACACGAGGACAAACTTAAACCTCAGTCAACATGTAAACACTACAACGAAGGCAGACATCAAAGAAAATGATAGACATAACTCGCCTAGCACACAAGAGACGTGACACTGAAACCAAATGGAAGATGATGTGAATAAATAAATTTAAATGTGTTTTTATTGAAGCGAACACTAGAATACTATCGTTGTTTGAATCATTGATTGAATGGTAACAAAGATAGAAAATACCATGCTTGTAATGATTAGTAAACGTGTTGTATCAGTGTACTCTGGGAGTATGGAGATTAACATGATCAGGACCCCAGTCCTCCAATATCACTAATTCCTGGCATTGTTCTACAGACTTGTTCATTTTGCTCCGTAGCCTTGTCCGAGTATCACGGAGAGTAAGTCATTTAACCGACATGCACAATCAACACGCAATATCACGTGATCTCCAACATTTGTCTGCCATCATCAAGGATTTATGTGTTACTAAGATTTTTTGCGTGTAAACATCGGTACTTACAGCTATTTACCTAAGTTAGAGTTTACTGTAGTGATCTGCAGGTAATAGTGGGTCCTGATTTATAGTACTTTGGAGATGTTTAGAACCGTGAGTAACTCGGAAGATTAGGTAAGGCGTATATAAAACTTCTGTACAAACGTAAACCTACCCAAGTCTGGGACGACACCATGAAAACAGTGTCACACGAGTAGCTGGGCAATCCTTTACAACGGGATGAGAAACATTTATACTCTGTAGTATAGACGTGGAATCATTCATTAAGTGTTGTTAGCTATGTTGTCTGACTGTATTTTAAATATAAAATGATTGAGTGTTAAACAATATACATGTATTAACAAAGCATTGCTTTACATCATATTAAGAACAGGGACGCCAGAAAAGATAGATATTCTCATATTTTTCTATTATCTTTACAAAATTTCCACAATTATACATTTCTGTCGATCCTTAGAAATATTTTTTTCTGTTGAAGTTCAAATTATAAAAAAGTAAAAGTACAAATATTTTATTCAACTCGTCATGAATAATATAAATTATGTAATATATCTTAGATTGAAAATTTACCCGATGTCATACTGAACAGAGTATTATGAGCCAATAAACGTATCTAATCTATCGGTTCACAAAATCTGCAGCGTGTACTATCGATTAAAATACATATAAAATACTATATGCGATTTATCTGAATGCACTTCGAAAATACCAGCCAAAGACAAGAAACGCGCAGCAAGTCTCATGCAGTCTGCTTAAGACGAGTAAAGATTTTTGTCACTATTTTAAGAATATTTCTTTTTTTTATCTCTGATTTATTTATTGACTGTGTGTTTGATTTTTTTATATAGATCATCCGGCAAGGACAAAACATTCTTCTAAACCAACAGCCCACCTTGATCTTTTCCTACATCTAACAACGATACCAACACAAGAACAACTTTTCTTCGTATTAGTATAATGAAAAAAAAAGAAAAAAATTAATAATAAAGAGAAATTTATGTGATCTGCCAGGCCACGTACATCGATTGGCTCGTTCTGGGCAGCCAGATACATGTATACAGGACTGAGGTACACGAGTGGTATTCAGCGGAGTTTCTTAAGATATCTTATTCTTTATTTTAACTATTTATAAGGCCTGATATGACGTGCACTACAATTAGATATATATCCATGTGTATCACGAACCTAACGGCACACATACATACACAAAAACTAGACCGAGGATAGGATTAGTTTAGCTTAGGCTGCATGCAGGCATGGCTGTATCTATATTCAGAACAAATTCCATATATAAATCCTTATACATACTAATGCTTATGTTACGTTACTCAAGTGTTGTCGCGAATCTCCTTTCATTGCTCCGGAATCCCCGAAAATTCATCAGGGAAGTTTTTAAACCGTTTTAATTACTTGGTGTTGGAGTCACATTCTCGCGAAAAAAAATAACAAAAGACAATAAAAGTGTGAAATGTCACAACGTGAGGTATATCGTTGATAGACATAATCTAAATGTGTAATTGTTGGAAAAATAAAGAGTTGAAAAAATGTGGATAAAAAATAATGATGTCCTTGCAATCTTCCGTGTAAGGAATTACAATTCTGGGTAGAGATGAACAGCGGTTCTGCAGGAGTACACTCCCTTGGATTTACTCTTCATGGAGTTTGAGAGGAGCGCGGGAACGGTAAGTGTTGATACTTGGTTGGTACTGGTCTAGGGAGAGTTTCTCTTTAGCTCAATCTCATTCGGAACAACACAACACAGCAAAAATATCGAAAACATCCACTTTACCAAAAGAGAAAGTTAACACTATGTAGATTAATTATTCAGCAGACAGCGGACATTCTTGAAGTGATGCTGGAAACCGTGAACACCGATGAAAACCAAACGACTGGTAAAAGTTGTGGTAACATTTACACTTTAAAGGCAATAATGTACACGATTTTTTCTTTCTCTTTCTTTTAGAAAACTATTCTAGAGATGTTTGAATAACAGCACCTTTAAATCTTGGTGGTGTAAGCCGATGTCAGCATGTTGCATTGCAAGCACCAACAACCATGGATATAGAACAGCCGGCCAAGAGGCTCCGAGTTGATCCACACAACTGTCTCGATAGCTGTGGATTGCTGGGGGTAGAGACTGAAGAAAGTGTGAAATGCACATTACCCGGTGATGTAAATGTAGCCAGTGATTACCTGGCCAATGGAAACATGTCTGTACTAAACGTTACCGCCATCACTGCATCATGTACATCTTCAACTGAACAAAAAAATAGTGAATCTCAAGTATCAAACCATAATGACACAGAACATTATCACATGATAACTGATGAAAGAAAGACAAAAGATTGCATAATAACACAAGCAAATGTTTTTAAGGACAATGGAACAGATTTTGGTTCCAGCTCTGTAGTGGATGGTAGGGTCAGTTCTTCTTACATTACAGAACAGAAGACTGTACATCAAGGTGACAATGTTACTGCTGAACCTGTAACAGTGGAACATCATGATATATGCAAGAGTGTTTATGACCTAGAAGAAGAGGAAGATTCAAGCGTACAAATTCCCTCATTACAAAGTCTACGGATGTCCAAACAGGACAACAAAGAAAACATTACTATAGACACTAAAGAGTTTTCATCTGCACCTCTGAATTCAGAGAAACTGAAAGTAGATGATATTGGTGATAAATCTTCAAATATTTTAGAAAAGGGAGAAGTGGAACAGACTGATGTATGTGGATCTTCTGAGTCCATAAATGTTGATTTATCTAAACATGCAAGCAAGAAAACAGCCAAACTCCAACGGAGGGTGTCCTACATCTACAGTAAAGAGCTGATTCAACAGTGTAACCTCATGCAAAAAATTCCAAATCGTGTAAGTACTATTTGTGAAACTGAAGGATTTTTATACCCTAGACAAATTCACTAATCAAGTCATCTTCTTACGTGATAAAGAAAGAGAACTTGAATTGTGTCAGTAGTTATATATTTAGTACTTACTGTCCCAGGTGAATATAACTCTCGCCTGTGTCTGATTTCTTGCTGAAAAGTACATTCAGAAAGTAGTAATAAGTAGGTTTGTCCATATATTTTCAATGCAGTTCAGTAAGTAAAAGCTGTACCACAGTAACATCACACCTGAGATGCACAACAGTGACAAAAAATATCACACCTGACTGTGTAACAGTGACATAAGTATGTTGTACCTGACTGTGTAACAGTGACATAAGTATGTTGTACCCGACTGTGTAACAGTGATATAAGTATGTTGTACATGACTGTGTTACAGTGACGTAAGTCTATATGAAGTTAGTTCTGGAATGTTTGCAAGGACAGATTTTAAAATGAGTTATGCAATGATATTGATTGTGCAAGGATTTGTTTTGGGTTCTTGCAAAAGAAAAGGTTATGAGGAGGTATGTATCCATTACAGTGTATATAAATTTTCAATAACATCCTTGTATTTTATCAAAATTAAAATGGGTGTGTTCCAAATGTAAATTATGTAGTCATATTATACTGGTATAATGTACAAAAACATGGGCATAAACAAAGACAATTTTTATCCTGAAATGGATTTTCTGATAAGAGATATTCCTTCTTGAATCATTGTGCAGGCAATCATGGTACACAGTCTGATTGAAGCTTATGGCATACTCAAGTATATGAGGTAGGTTTGTATTCATTTATAAAGAAATATACAATGCAATGATTTGGTGATAATTTTATCCTGGTGTTCATAGTTACGGGTCAAGTAGAAGCCCTGATAGTGATGCTTAGAGTGCTCATGTACTTAAAACATATTTACAGAAATGTAATGATTGCTCACAGTATATTGAATAAGGCTTCTTTCCCCTGACACCAATTCCCTCATTTTACACCTAATCCTCAGAAACCATTGTATTGTAGTGAGTTTATTCTTTGTATATGTTTTAGCTCAACTGAGTCAAATGCGTAAATGAATTTATAACTGCTATGGTGCTCCACCCAATGTCCATTGTATCTAAACTTTTTACTGCAGATTTTGATGAAATTTCCCCTGAATGATCAGCACAGAGTATGATAAATTTCTATCATGTTTTTAGTGAAAATAAAATTCAAGACGGCCACCATCACTACCATCTTTAGACTCTATTTTGAACTAAAAAACTGACATGCTTTTTAAATTATCATCAGTTAATTTTGTATGAATGGTGGTGATTTCATGTCTGTCAGAAATAAAATATAGCCACCAGAGCAAAATATAGATATGAATTGTAAAATATTTTACCAATTTGAGTATATTTGAACAAGATAACTTAGGACTGAAGAATCATTGGCAATTGGTTTCCTGGCAGTATGTACACCTTATTGAGGTTAAGAGATGGATACAATTTGGATCATTCAATGAATGGTTGAATTTTAACTGTTTTAATTGTAATTTTTGTCTCTCTGTTATGTATTGATCTTTAGCATAACTATCATTGTAAGAAGACACGTGTGCAAATGTAAAGTGTACAATATTGATTGATATGGATATTTATTTGACCTGTAACCTTTGGTGACCTATATTTCAACCTTTGGCATACATAGGTTTTTTAGTTTAGAATTAGTGCAACTAAAAATATTGAACACTGTGTTACGTGGATATTAACAATTATCATAAACAGACAGGAATGAAGGAATTTAGTAAAGTTTATTAAACAAATTTTCAAATACCTACATGCATTGTGTCTTGCTTCAGGTGAGCATTTAGGCCTCTTGTTACATTACAGAGTTATTGCCCCTTCCATAGCTACAGAAGAATCACTGTGCCTGTTTCATTCCCCAGAGTATATAGAATTTTTGAAGAAAATCAGTGATGAAGATGATGAAGAAATCTATGGTGCTGAAGCAGCAGAATTTGGCCTGAGTATGACTTTGTGATATACGGTTAACTGAATTGTTCAGAACTGTAATTAGATACATTTGGTATATGGCCATACATTTGTATTAATTCTGGAGATGGAATTTTGGATTCTTACAATCAGGACATTAGGACATTTCAATGAAGTCATTTTAACTAGTAATCATAATGTAGTCCTTGAATAAAATTTGTTTTGAAACCACTACAGCATTATGTACAGAGAAACTTTTGTATCAGCATATCAGACAGGAACTCATGAAGCATACTGAGAAATATATGTCTATTGGAATATGGCTATGATAACCACTTGCTATTCTAAGGTGTCTTCATTATAAGGTTGCTCAGCAGCTTTTAACAATCATTAGTACACACTACTCACATATGTTGCTTATTTCTTTTTTTATAAATTGGCCTTTAATTTTCATTGACATTATTTACATTATGTAGATCCCTTTATACACAGTGTGGAAATGTTTCTTACTCTCCACAGTATTTTCATATTGACAAAACTGTAATAACAGTTTTCTTCATCTTTTGAACTCTTGCAGCCTATGACTGCCCTGTCCACAAGGGGGTGTTTGACTATGCCCTGTCTGTAGGGGGAGCCACTGTCTCTGCAGCTGAGGAACTAGTCCAAGGGCGATGTGACATTGCCATCAATTGGTGTGGAGGATGGCATCATGCCCAAAAGTAGGTATATATATCTTGTACATGTGTACCAGTATATATTGAAAGCAAATTTTCCTGAGTACTCTTCACATTCAGCAATCCAGGGTTGTTGTAAGCATCATGTTTTATCTCTTGTTGACTGTTCATATGATTGTAACATCACTACAACCCGAAGCTGTCTGACTGATAAACTAAAAGGACTGATGAAAACATCACCACGGCAAATATTCAGTAAATTTACTTTTTAAATAGAAACACAACTGGAAAAAAACAGTGAATTAGTTAGAAGAACATGTGTAAATTTTCTGAATTATCTGACGATTCAGGATTTATGTTTATGATATGTTTACATATTACGTTAATTTCTTTTCGTTGTTACAGGGACAGTGCATCAGGATTCTGTTATGTTAACGACATCGTTCTCGGAATACTGAAGCTTCGAGAGAAATTCTCCAGGGTCCTGTATGTAGATTTGGACTTGCACCATGGAGATGGTGTACAGAATGCTTTTTATGCTACATCAGCTGTAATGACAGTCTCCATTCACAAATATGCTTCCGGATTCTTCCCAGGTAAAAAACACAATAAGGATACAAGTATATTATAATGTGTGGCAGATAACAGTATTCAAGACTTGTTAACATTGTTGGAATTTGAAATTAGTCTGGGTCCTCCTAGCCTATAACTATAACAGCAAGTCTGATGTCTGTGTTTTAGATCAAGTTTAACTTGATATATGCTGATAATTACTGTTTATCACAGGTTCAGGACAGGTGGAAGAAAAATAATATATATATATATATGTATGCTGATAATTGCTGTTTATGACAGGTTCAGGACAGCTAGAAGAAATAGGAATTATATATATATATATATATATGCTGATAATTGCTGTTTATGACAGGTTCAGGACAGCTAGAAGAAATAGGAATTATATATATATATATATATATGCTGATAATTGCTGTTTATGACAGGTTCAGGACAGCTAGAAGAAATAGGAATTATATATATGCTGATAATTGCTGTATATCACAGGTTCAGGACAGCTAGAAGAAATAGGAGTAGGCAAAGGCAAGAAATATTGTATCAATATCCCACTACATGATGGTGCTAGGGACCAGGAGTTTGTAGCCTTGTTTTGCAGGTAGAACTTCAAATTACATTCTTTTGAAGTGAACTGTGTATTCTGTAAATTAAATTTGGTTTGAAATAAGAGGCCCATTGGGCCTGCATCACTCTATCCATATTCAGTGCATTTTGCATCACATTTACATTTCAATTTATTGACCTTGAAACTGGGTCTAAAGCGAAGTGATTAAACTTACTTGTAAAGGTTATTATAAGGAAGAGCACATAGTTGCCGCTTTGTCCGTTTGTCTATCATAATTTTGTGCAGAGCATAGCACCAAAACTATAAGAGGTATCAACATGAAACTTCATAGATAGATGGATTTCAATAAAGAGAAGTGCAGTGTACAAGAACCATCTCTCTCTTTTGCATTATTATCTTTTGGAAATAACGTTTATTTGGGGAGCATAAATCGGTTCTACCGATTCTCTTCTATCATGAGACATCATGTACTGTCCTCTTCCAGAGTGATACAGAAGGTACGCTCCATGTTCAAACCTGAGGCTGTTGTTTGTCAGTGTGGGGCAGATGGTTTGGCTGGTGATCCTATGGACTCTTTCAATCTAACCCCACGGTCTTTAGGTCGCTGTGTCTACTTTATATTGGACTGGTCACTCCCCACGCTTCTGCTGGGAGGAGGTAAGTTAGTCGCAGGGAGTCACTGTGTCTACTTTATATTGGACTGGTCACTCCCCACGCTTCTGCTGGGAGGAGGTAAGTTAGTCTCAGCGAGTCGCTGTGTCTACTTTATATTGGACTGGTCACTCCCCACACTTCTGCTGGGAGGAGGTAAGTTAGTCTCAGCGAGTCGCTGTGTCTACTTTATATTGGACTGGTCACTCCCCACACTTCTGCTGGGAGGAGGTAAGTTAGTCGCAGGGAGTCACTGTGTCTACTTTATATTGGACTGGTCAGTCCCCACGCTTCTGCTGGGAGGAGGTAAGTTAGTCTCAGCGAGTCACTGTGTCTACTTTATATTGGACTGGTCACTCCCCACACTTCTGCTGGGAGGAGGTAAGTTAGTCGCAGGGAGTCACTGTGTCTACTTTATATTGGACTGGTCACTCCCCACACTTCTGCTGGGAGGAGGTAAGTTAGTCTCAGCGAGTCACTGTGTCTACTTTATATTGGACTGGTCACTCCCCACACTTCTGCTGGGAGGAGGTAAGTTAGTTGCAGGGAGTCACTGTGTCTACTTTATATTGGACTGGTCACTCCCCACACTTCTGCTGGGAGGAGGTAAGTTAGTCTCAGCGAGTCACTGTGTCTACTTTATATTGGACTGGTCACTCCCCACACTTCTGCTGGGAGGAGGTAAGTTAGTTGCAGGGAGTCACTGTGTCTACTTTATATTGGACTGGTCACTCCCCACACTTCTGCTGGGAGGAGGTAAGTTAGTCTCAGCGAGTCACTGTGTCTACTTTATATTGGACTGGTCACTCCCCACACTTCTGCTGGGAGGAGGTAAGTTAGTCTCAGCGAGTCACTGTGTCTACTTTATATTGGACTGGTCACTCCCCACACTTCTGCTGGGAGGAGGTAAGTTAGTCGCAGGGAGTCGCTGTGAGATTACATTGACATTTGAAATTCCTTATAATTTATATGAGTTATCTACCGTATAACACAAAATGTTCGTTGTGTAGAAACTGTGCTGCTTCATGGTCAAAAACTAACCACGAAAATAAACAAATGAATAAGATTTTAGATGAAAGGACCATGTGTCTACCTATGTGATATCTACAAAAGTTCTTACCCTCAAAAGCATGCTTTAGACTTAAACCATGAAAGACGGTACCATTAACCATTTTGGGATGAATTAAAACTTGTAGGCTCTTAGTACAGAATCAATTTGATTTATTCATAAAAAGATTACACCTATTTCACTTCAAACAGACTGCACAATATTCAACATCTTTAAATTCCACAATAATGTTTCCATATAACTTTATATCAGGTCATATAGTATACCAGGTACTTTTCCTCTACAAGTACTAATCCTGTGTCAAAACCAATTAATCCCACTGTTATATCATCATTCAAAGAAAATCTTCCAAATTCCCTGTAAACCATGTAAGATGCTGTGCTTTTCCTCACTTGTTTATGAAATCGCACATGTATTCTTTCAGTCACACTTACATTTTGAAAGCCCCAACCTCACATGAGTATAATAATATTGGTAGTACCAAACAACTTAAACTGCAGGTCAGTGGAGAGACTTATGCTTATATAACTAATATAAAGCTTTTTTTAGTGTGTTCACAAAGTTTGTTCTGAGCAATAAAAACATTTTGGTTAAAGACAATTTTTATCACTATTTCTTGAGATGTACTGGATGGATCTTTCGCAAATTTCATATGTTCGTTCCCCTAGGTCCCTAGTTGTGCCTGTTAACTTGTGGGACTGATCAGAAAAACAAAATGGCTTACAGGCAGCCATTTTGGATTTTCACCCTTGAAAGTTTGTTATCGCTGTTTCTTGAGAAGTACTGTATAGAACTTTCTCAAATTTCATGTGTAGGTTTCCCATGATCCCTAGTTGTGCCTGTATGATTTTGGGACTGATCAGAAAGAGAAAATGGCTGACAGGTGGCCATCATGGATTTTGACCATAAAAGTTTGTTATTGCCATTTCTTGAGAAACATCGAAGAGAAAAGAAGGGAACAGATCCAACTTTCAAATAACAAATAAAGATGAAATGATGGTAGGTGCCTAGATCCCTCTTGGATCTCTTGTTTATCTTTTGTTTTTGTCTAATTTTTTTTTAAATACCATACTTTTCGCACAACTTCATTAATCTCAGGAGGATTCAAAACTATTTAATGCAGTTTGTAGCCCTTCAAGTGATTCCAACAGAATTAGTGTTATAGAATAATGAGTAACTTTACAACAATGTACCCTTGCCGCAAATCAACCACATGCGATCAACATTTGTTATCAATTTTCTCCAGAACTGCTTCTAAGTCATTCATGTACAGTAAAAATAAAAAGCGCTACAAATTTGACCCAGCTGTTTGTTTCCTAAAGGTGGCTACCATCACACAAACACAGCAAGGTGCTGGACCTTTCTCACTGGAGTAGCTGTTGGTAAAAAGTTACCTACAGACATACCTGATCACCAGGTAAGATAAGAGCTGATCACTAGGTAAGGTAATACCAGGTGAGATAGTATCTACACCAGGTAAGATAATACCTATCCACTACTTAAGATAATACCTTTCAACAGTTAAGATAATTCTTATAATCAGGTAGATAATGCCCATCACTAGTTAAGATAATACCTTTCAACAGTTAAGATAATTCTTATAATCAGGTAGATAATGCCCATCACTAGTTAAGATAATACCTTTCAACAGTTAAGATAATTCTTATAATCAGGTAGATAATGCCTATCACTAGTTAAGATAATACCTTTCAACAGTTAAGATAATTCTTATAATCAGGTAGATAATGCCCATCACTAGTTAAGATAATACCTTTCAACAGTTAAGATAATTCTTATAATCAGGTAGATAATGCCTATCACTAGTTAAGATAATGCCTTTCAACAGTTAAGATAATTCTTATAATCAGGTAGATAATGCCCATCACTAGTTAAGATAATACCTTTCAACAGTTAAGATAATTCTTATAATCAGGTAGATAATGCCCATCACTAGTTAAGATAATACCTTTCAACAGTTAAGATAATTCTTATAATCAGGTAGATAATGCCTATCACTAGTTAAGATAATACCTTTCAACAGTTAAGATAATTCTTATAATCAGGTAGATAATGCCTATCACTAGTTAAGATAATACCTTTCAACAGTTAAGATAATTCTTATAATCAGGTAGATAATGCCCATCACTAGTTAAGATAATGCCTTTCAACAGTTAAGATAATTCTTATAATCAGGTAGATAATGCCTATTATCATGTTCAATAAATAATACCAATCACTATGAAAGATAATGATAGATATACTCAATTACTAGAAAATGTTTTAATGAATATAATTTGGAGCTCTTGACAAGACTTGATTGATAACATCGCTGAGCATTGTAACAACTGTGACTTGTAAAACTATGTAAATTTAGATCGTTAAAAATGTCCTTGTTTTGGTATTTTAAAAGTTTTTTGTGGAGTATGGACCAGACTATGGAATTGAGGTTTCACCTGGAAACAGGAAGGACCAGAACTCTCAGGAATATTTGAGGAAAGTTCATCGCTCCATCATGGGTAAGTCCATGCTCCTTAGATCCTACACATAGTATCACAATAAGGGAAACTTGTTTCTCTGAAATATGCTTAGATGTGGAAAAAAGTATCTTAAAAAAAAAAGTGAAGATGAGTTTCAAATGTACTATTCTAAACAGTAACTCTGAAAGACATACTGATCTGATGTTCTCAGGTAAGATGTGAAAAGTCTTTATAAAAAGTTTTGAATAGTAGAATGATAGTTGAAGGGTTGTGATAGACATCATTGGAGTAGGTTGTTACTGTGATAATTGTGATGTAAGATGACCAAGTAAGAGTGTTGGCCTTTATAACATCATTTGAAGATGTGAGGTAAATGGTTGGACTTAACTGTAGCAGTTTGGTTTCCTTAGGAAACTTTGAAACTAATGGTCTCTGCTGACATGGCTGTGCTCTTGGCCATGATATTTGGACCTCCCTGATGTTGTTCATGTAGTAAGCCTCCAACTACCTCAAGAATACCCCACCTTAAAATGACCTTGACTATTCATAGGGTAATGAACCTAGCGAACAAACAAACATGTATGGTCGATGAAATGTCAAGAATTAGAAGGTTACATTGTATATGATATGTTTTATGCAATCCGTTAAAAGAAATGTTAATTTTATGTTACAGATATTTTATCACAATGAGGCAGTGAGACAGTGGTATGAGGAAAGGAACAGCATTAGATGATGAAATCTTAGGAACATGTTTTTATTGTGAACACTGGAATGTAATAAACTTTTGAGTTCTGTTACACAGGCTAAAATTACAACCAAGTGAAATATGGAGAACAAATACAGTCTTCCCTTGTCACTGATTGTGGACCTAAGAGTACGGATATACAGTATTGAAGAATCTGTACAAAGATTCCTGTTATTAAACTACTGTTGATAAATATTGTATACATCAAATCAACAATTATGTGTATCTTCTACTGGTTGTGTTAGAACCTCTATTCTGTTGACATTACCAACCTGATGAAAATGTTCCCAAAAAAAAAAAAGATACATGTAGACAAGTTAGAATCCTAAAATTTCCTCGTAAACAGTGATAGGGTATACAGTTTTGGTATCGCACAATGTAACATGATGTGCGAGGTTTGCACGATAGGAAAATTGGAAGAAATTATCACACATCTGTGCAAATGTCCTGCAGTTTTGTAACACAGATGTGCGATTCTATCGTGTTTGATATAAATTTAGCAATGACATATAGATAAGGGTGGGATATGGTTTATTTTTAGATGTATAGTACAACTAAGTGTATTTCGTTATTAAGCCATAAATCCATACGTTGGACACATGTAGATTTATCAGATACAAATTGAGCACGGGAGACCTAGCCATTACAGGTCCAGACTTGTCATACATATATCCATATACAGGTAATTTCTGTTACAAAAGGCACAATGCTTGCCACTCTCAGTGGTATGAAACTATATGATAGAAAGATTAATAAATGTGGAGTCCAGTGTTATTTTGAAAACTCAGATTTAAAATTACTTTCATAATCACTGATCAATTTTAATTTGCCTGTGATCGCTATTTAGTCCTAACTTCACAAGTTTTCTGTTCAATCTGTAATATAAGTCAACTATTTTGACCAAAGCACACAAAATGTGCGATGCTATCTCATGGTCGTGCAGAAGGCAATTTATAGTGTGCGTGAGTGCAAGTGTGCTGATTTACACGCAATGTGTGGGTGACGTATGCACAATTTATGCACAAAGTTTTTGGTGTGTTGTGTTGTTGTGCATTACCAAAGCTGTATCTAATGTGTGAATTAACAATTGAGATGAAAATACCCCTGGCTATGAGTTGTTGTGGGGATATAAGGATCTGTCTAGATTTGATGTGCCATACTTAACTCCATTCTCTGTATTTATTTGCACCATTTTACATAAACATCGTATTTGAACATGTACTTTTGTTAATAATAATGAATTTTGTGCATTGATTCTGTTTACAATAATGAGTCATTAAATAAATTCAAAAGACAAAATGAAGTTTTCAGTTTTATTAAGTATGTCTTGATTTATAATTCATGCATTCATACCTGTTATGGTGTCAGAAGTGGATATCCCTAGTCTTCCACAAACTCTAGCTAATTATGTCAATCTTATAACAATCTTGTCTAATGTAATCAACTCAGGTTTAGAAGAAAAGAGATTTAATTCTAAGAAATCTCCAGTTTTTGGTAAACATTTTGCACAATGGAGGCTACAGTCCACTTAAGACTTATATGCACTTTAATCTTCAATCCTGCTTCAATGCTGTTTGCCAATGACTTACCTTTAATAATAATGATAATAATAGACTTTATTTAAAGAGGATAATACATGTTTAGCCAAAGGCTAATCTACCACATGGTCCTTAAGAAATTACCACCACATTGACATACTGTAGGGCTGTTCTACCGACTGACAGATACAGACTTGTGTTGTATGCTTTATTACAGTCTCAGTTTCATAAATGTTAAAGTGCTGCATTGTAACCTCAAGGTGACTCTGTAAAGTTTGTTATTGCCATGGTGACAAGATCCCTAACTCACAGATATAAAATACAAACCTTTATGTTGTTTATCACATATTTATTGGACGGAATGTTTTCCCGCATATATTCTTTATATTTACAAATTCAATTTACAAAATCTTATATAAATATTATATTTACAAAGAGTCACCTATTGTGTGACCACTGATATCACAGATAATGATAAAATGACATTTAAAAATGGATTTCCTGTAACAACGCCATATGCAATGGTCTGCCAATCAAAAACTGCAAAGGCACAGTGCAATGCTCCTGTTGGTTCAGCTATTAAAAATGAAATAGCAAGTTTTAAATAAAACTTCATAAAGCACTTGATAAATTATTAATGCTGAAATATTAAATCACATATATTATGAAACTAAGGCCAAATTGTAAAGAGTTTCAATTTCGGTAAATCCATTGTTTTTGCATCAAACTTTTCAGAGAATGTAAAGAACTGTTTTTTTTTGCAAATAAATGTCACAAATGCTAGTGAGTCTATGAATGTCTAATTGTCAAGAACAATAAATATTCCATTTGGTATGGATACATATGACATTCAATTCCAGAATTCTTCTGTCCACATTTACATTCATTGATACACATTCTTTTTCACAGAACTGTCACATGAATTCCTCACGCCACCCATGTTGCTGTCGGTTCAATTCCACGCAGAGCAAAGAATGTTTCTAATTTTGTATCAAAATCTCCAGGTCGTTCTGTGGGATCCCTATATCTCACTGTCATATTGTCTCCCAAGTACTTGATCAGCCTACAGGTGTCTTCAAACTGCTTCAATTTCTGTTTATACTTCTTCCTGATGTAGTCGGAACTTTTGGGGTTGAAAGCTGCAAAGACAAAGAGGTAAAGTAAGCAAGATTGAACAGTTTCACCTAAAAGTTTTGTTATCATTCTAAACTTTTTGGCAGGTGTCAAGTTAATCAATTTGGAATTAGAATTTCTATCACAATTCATATAGGATTTTTACCATCTATACAATCCTATTTAAGATCAACACCCTATTTATGAACCTTCTATCATGATTACATTCCATCTGAAGTTGACTTACCTATTAATACATTGTGAACAACAATTTAATCCTGGTGCTACTTTCACTTTCATTCTTTGTCTATATCATTTTTTAAAATGCCTGCGTAAAAACTACTGGTGAATGTGGAATTTACCTTTAAGATGATAAGCTACATAGATCAATGAAGATCTACTGGGACTCAAGAATGGATATTTAGGTTTGAAGTTTCCAACAGCTGTCATTGCCTTGATGAGAGAGGTTGCAACAGTCTGCTCCATGTAGCCAAGCATGGGTAGATTAGTGACAGTCAGGGTCTCCTTCGCAGGTGGAAGTTTGTGTGGCAGTTGAAGATCCCAGTATTTCTCTGGTAATCTGGAGAGAAACAGTAATATTTCCTATTGTATTGTGTATAATCATAAATTTCACAAGTGTGTTGTAGCATTTAAAGGGTTAATTCTAGTGGTGTATGTATCATATGTTAATAAGTTACAAACAATATGAATCCATCCTCATCTTATTACAAAGTATACCACAATCCAGTAATCACTTGTTAGTTTACTCAATGATTACGTTGGCCAGATGGTTAGGAAACAAATACTTTTACTTACTTCATAAACTTAAGGAGTTTTACTTCGTTTTCCATATAATAAAATTTTTCTCTGTATTCCACAATAAGGTCAGAATTGCCTGGAATTATTGCCTCGTATCTAGAAAGAGAAAACATGGGTGAACTAGACATCTTTACATGAAATATAATAACGGTAACATCAACTCTACTCCCCACTGGTATAAGTGACAGCAAGTCACTTCCCCTTGGTATGAGTAACATCAACTCTACTCCCCATTGGTATGAGTGACAGCAAGTCACTTCCCGTTGATATGAGTAACATCAACTCTACTCCCCATTGGTATGAGTGACATCAAGTCACTTCCCATTGGTATGAGTGACATCAAGTCACTTCCCGTTGGTATGAGTGACAGCAAGTCACTTCCCGTTGGTATGAGTGACATCAACTCTACTCCCCATTGGTATGAGTGACATCAAGTCACTTCCCTTTGGTATGAGTGACAGCAAGTCACTTCCCGTTGGTATGAGTGACATCAAGTCACTTCCCGTTGGTATGAGTGACAGCAAGTCTTCTCCCATTGTTAAGAGAGGAGTCAGATTGAATCTTTATTCTGGATCTTTGTTAGCTTTATTTATGGTCCAAAACAATTATATTTTGTTTCTACTTGGAAATAAGATTAACCAAGAGTTGAATCTAGAACTTTCTGATGAATTTCTCTTAGAATGTAGAGTGTAGATACTTACCTGCACTTGCCATCTAAGAACGTGACTGGGCAGTATCCCTTGACCTCTATTTCCTGTGATGCTCGCACTTCATCAGGGAATCGCCGGATCGGGAGTAGGTCCTTAGCTGGGAGTTTCCTAGGAGCCAGGGGTGGAACATATTTCTCTGGTTCAGCCAGGAACATTCTAAGTTCCTCAGCACCAGCCAACTTGTAATAATGGCCTGACAAGGAGAAGGGAGAGACAATTTTTAACAGTGATAGAAATGAGGTTCCGCAGTAAAGTTTATATTTCAACATTAAGTGTTTTACTTAAACAAATTCAGTCTTGCTGAAATTCAAATGTTTTCAGGACGACTTGTGTATAATTAAATACATGTTTATATATTAAAAATATGTGTCTTCACAGAGAAGCAGAATCTTTTGAAAAAGGTCAATGATTTTTTTACCTCTGAACTCAGCAGCAAACTCCAATGTTGGCATCGTGGAACAGTCCACAAGTTCTCCTCGGAGGGCCAAACTGACAGGACAGTACTGGCCAAAGTCGCCCACCCTCTGGAGGAACTCATTGGGTGTAATGCACATGTCAGCAATGGATGCAGATTTACCTGGTGTAGAAAATCAACTTCTCAGATTTTTTCTAATAAACAAACATATTCTTTTAGGATCTATTGTCAGATTTCTTTCAGAGCTTTGGGGGATGAAGATATTATATAATCAAGGAATCCGAGAATTACTTCTCTAACAAGCAACTTGTACGTATTTTCTTTGCTTACCATCAGACACCCTCTGGAGGTAGGTCTGTATCTGTGTGACAGATTTACTAGCTATTTCTGAACCCTTATTCCACATCCACCACTTAGAGTTCTCGCCTGGAACATGGATATAGTTCATGTGTTGTGACTTGTACCACTCCCGTACAGCAGCAATCTCCTTATTGTAAGCTGCCATCTTCACTGCCAGGATCTGAGAACTGTCGTGTAGTGGCATTGTCCTGGAAATTCAAGAAAATCATGATATCATCTTTCTTAGTTATAAAGTCTGTGCATGTTTATTTGTATCAGACATGTATCCCTATGGAAGCAGGAAGAATACTGAAGTAAGATACCTTGGTAACATGAAGGCATTGCTGAACCAGTGCCTTACCTGGTGGGTGCCATGCGGTCTTTCATGCCACGCAACAAAACCTCTTTGCCATCAAGCTCCAGCTCCACTACACGTACAGGGATGATGCTGCGTTCTGTCATCAGGTCAACTTGCTTCTTAGTCTGGGGGAAGCCATCTAGAATGTACCTGTCACAGACATAAAAAAAGGTTAACTTTACCAGTATATCTGGGACGTTATGTCTAGGGCCAGCTGTCAGAGCACACAGACATCTATAACCATTTATGATAACCTAAACCAACTTCGTTTGATAATTATTACAATTAAATTCAAACAGATCTGTTCAGTAAAGCCATTCACCAGAAAACCTGAAAATCTTAGTCAGAAGAAATCATTGAGGACGAGAGCTTTGTCACTTCTACATACCCCCTTGTCTGACATTTCATTTCTAAGAGGCAGACATCTAAAGCTTGGACAGCCAGCTCCTCTGGTACAGTGTAGCCCTTGAGCAGGTATTTGATCATTTGTCTGGCCAGGTCTGTTTTAGATTGTTCTGCCAGTACCTTCCTCATCGCCTCTCCAATAGACAACCGCACCAAGCCATAGGATTCAGCAAACCGTGTGGCCACTGCAGAGTATATGGTATTTATTATATTGAGGTATAAGCCAAGAGTGAAAAATATGAAATGTTTCCAATGCTTTGGATCAACTGTATTACTTCATTATACAAATTTTGTTATCATTTGAAATTTAGGTCAAGTTCACATCACAAATAACAGTTAAGAAGAGATACACTTACATGTAGTTTTGCCTGACTTTGGTGGCCCAATGATAGCCATCTTGATTGGTACCACTGGTTTGGGTGTGGGCTGGGTGAGGTATGTCATAGGGTCCTGGATAAAGTCCTCGCGGGCAGACAATGAGGAGAGGAAGAAGATGTGGTTGCGGTACAAACAGGGATAGGTAGGGTAGCCTGGCCCTGACATAGGCTGGATACAGTCTCCTTCCTTGATCTGTGGTCAAAGAAAAACATCAGTCTTTTATGCCATAAATTCATATTATCAGCAAAACCAGTTGATAAACAGATCAATCGCAGAAGTTGGAAAAGGGATTAAAAAAAAAGAAGAAGAATTCCGTGAAAGGCGAATCATCAAAAAGTTTAATTCAATATAAGTTATGGTAAATAAAATACATGATTCTATCAATATTTCATTTTAAGAGAGTAGATAAGATAAGCTGTTAAATTATTTGGATGAAAAAGTGACATTGATGCCTACCTTGACCGGACACCATCGCCCAAATCTACTGGGCTGTTTGTATCCACTTTGTAACATCTTCTTGGCCAGTTTCTCTCCAATAGGATATACTCTTTCAAACATGCTGTGTCTATACTGCACATATGGTTTAAGCTTCTTTGTCATGAGATAGCGCACAATGTGTGGCTTACGTCCTCCATCTAAGTCTAGTCGTGGGACTAAGATTTCCTCTAGTGCTTCCTACAGCAATACAACAGTTTGATAATTAAAAGCGCATTCATCTTGTCTTATATCATATTCATGTTAAGCTGTCAAGAACTATCTGACTTGCTGTTGTAATGACAAGGTGGTACCTTGTCTAAAGTTTAGAAAAAGGAATTCCTCGGTATTATTATCATCATATATTCTTATAGACTAAAATTACAATGAATTTAAATGAAGCCGGGATGCGAAAAAGATTATTTATTTTGAGAGCAACCCTAATCTTATACCTCAGTACAGAAAATGGGATATGTTGCTGCCCCTACTTCTCCTCATTACAAAGTTTGGAATCAGTTCCCATCCCTGAGGTACTAGTTTATCAAATTAAGCCAATGTCAGGCAATGATGAACTATCAAAGAGTAAACAAATTATAGTAAAAAGTATATGATCCTACCTGTACACCAGCTAGTCTGTTGGTATCATTGTCAAAAACTTCATTTAGTTCATTCCTTATTCTGTCCTTCGCATCCTCCTCTAATTCTTCTTCTTCCTCTTCCTCCTCTTCTTCCTCCTAGTGAAATATGTTAACAACAATTACAGGACTTCAATATTACACTATGTTATGTGCTTCAGCTGTAACACCAAGCACTAAACAGTGTTAGGAACTCAGTTGATATAAACACAATTGTCATAACATGGTGATGTCACAAAAGGCTTGGAATTGATTGTAGAAAGATTTTAAACCGTTTTTGAAAATGCTGTTTCCCTAATAATAATTTGTAACAGACATTAGATATGCAATAAGAACACTGTTTATGAAACAAATCACAATTTTTATTTTAGCTTGTCTGAGGTTTTTGGAAATCAATAATATTAGACTGTAACCAGGGATGAAAGGGAAAATTCAATAGAGATTATACACAGATATATCAACAGAATTTACCTCAAATTCTTCTGCCAACATGGCTTCAATATCCATCTCTTCTTCTTCCTCCTCTTCTTCTTCCTCCTCCTCTTCTTCTTCTTCATCCCTATCCTCTCTTTCTGCTGCCCTCTGAGCTTGTCTTTCTTTTTTCTTTTCCTCTTGTTCCTTCAACAACTCATCTCTTCTTTTTTGGACAGCAGCATCCTGCAGATTTTAGAAAATACACAACTTAAACAATAAAAAATCCTTCAGAATTATTTTATTACTGAAACATTATCAGGAGATATACAGGTAATAATTCTATATATCTGAACTAAAGAACAACTTCTTACCCATCCCACAACTATCACTGTAAGTCACTTATGTTCTGTTACCTAATAGGGTACAATTTGTATTTATTAACATCTTTAGAAGCTCAAAAAAAGTTTACGTTAGTATCACAGCTGTGGGAAGTCACATACCTTCTTTTTCTTTGCTTTCTCCCTCTTTTTTTCCCTCTTGGCTATGCGTTTGTCGCGCTTTACACACCAACGCTCCAGCTTCGGTGGAAGTAGTCTACCGATGACATCACTATCTTCCACTGTGATGATAACGGCTGCGTCGGGGAACAGACCCATTTCTGCTAGGTATTTCGCCTCCTCTGATGTACGAGGGAATCCCTCCAAGACGAACCCTGTAGATCTGAAGAAACATCACATATCATAAATCTTTTGCTTCGTGCTAACTTATGATTTCTATTAATGCATGAAAATGTCACAATTTACAACAACTATCATAAACACGGAGAAACGTCTGTAACTGGTCTGTTAACTTACTTGAAGGGTTCCTTGTGCCACCAGTGAGGAACAATGTTATCCAGGACTTCGGCTGGCAAAGCTTCTTCAGACTCAAGGTTTGCCTTAATAGCTTCCTCCTCTTCAGTGAACTCTACCTCCTCCTCCTCCTGGATTCATAAACAAGAAATAAACATGGCAGTGTGTAACTGATATCATGGTTAGAAGTAAAGTTATTGTAACAGCTATGGTTCCTGTAACACAATACTTCTCCACAAAAAATTGTTTATTTTTCAGGAAAATGAAGAAAGAAGTTTCACTCACAGGTTTCTCCTCTTCCTCTTTCTTCTCCTCCTCTTTCTTGACAGGCACACCATCTGGATCAGTGATGCCCGCTTCCTCTTCATCATCTCTGTAACATTCAGTTTAGCAATCTATCAAATTATTGTCCAGCAATTCCCTCCCATCAGAGCGATCAAGACGTCTATATATTTTATAGCTGATGTTTTTACCTTGTAGTTATTAGGACAAAGAAACTGTATCTACAACTACTTACTCTTCCTCGTCTGGAGGTTCCTCTTCATTCTCCTCAGCATACTCAGGGCCGACCCGTTTCTTCGTTTTATGGATAATAAGTTCTTGGAGGCGGTCCTTGAAGGAGATATGGAAAAGGCCAAGTTTTTGGGCAAGGTATCTGCCATGCATGGACTTACCAGCTCCCCTGGGGCCCAGGAACAGCAACCTTACGGGAGGAGTCTGTACAAAGAGACAGTTTTCAATGATTAATTGGCATCAGGTGACACATACATATGTGTATAGGATGATAAAACAATATTTTATTTCATTCTCAGGTTATCGATAAACTGTAATAATAAATTCATACATATCTTGTAAAATCAATATAAGGAGGTCTCAGTTTGAAGTTGTGCTTGTGACTTACATCAAAAGGTTTGCCATGTGGGAGATATTCCTCTGGATTGGCTAAGAAACGCTCTCGTGCCTCAGCACTGGACACATAATAAACTTTCTCTCTGTACTTCACAGCAATCTCTGGGTTACCCGGAAATAAGACATTGTTTTCCTTGAGGGCAACAGGACAAAACTGGTTGGTGTCTCCGAGGGGTTTCTTCTTGTTTCTGTTGGGGTCCTCTTCCTACAAAACATATGTTAAATGTTGGTTGTTCATTTTTTTCAAAACCTTCTTGATCCTTGTAGAAATGTTGAATATCAGAAGAATGCCTGATAAGGATAATATTGACAGATACTTGTTTTAACTACAGTAGATTTATCCTTACCTCTTCTGCTGCCTCCTCCTCTTCCTCTTCTGCAGCAGCCTGTAGTGCAGCCTCAGCCTCTAAATCTTCCTCCTCCTCGTCTACATCCATACCAGAGTATTCCCAGCCATGGTACTGATAACTCTCTGTAACACAGGAATACAGCCTTACTTAACTCCAGTTTCATTTTTCTGTCTTTTTTACTTAAAATTATACTATTGTGAAATATTCCATTCAGGTACCTACAACATACTTTTAAATTGATGTTTTATCATATAGCCCATACAAAAATGGTATACATGTCTGACTGATAACTGACCAGCAAAACAAAACTTACCAAACAATGTGACCAGCAAAACAAAACTGACCAAACAATGTGACCAGCGAAACAAAACTGACCAAACAATGTGACCAGTGAAACATTACTCACCTAATGCCGTGTCTAGTGAACCTTTATCAGACATTGTGACTTACTTTCCATGCTGGTTGTTGTTTCTGACAACATTTCCTCGATAGGCCTGCTCTCCAGGTCCAGAGAGATGGGATCAATACTGCTGGAACCAGAAATGGTATTAAGGACATTTGGGAACTCCCGATCAAAGTCCTTCCTCTTCTCCTTATACTCCTCCATCTCTGGTCCATCTGGTACACGCTGCAATGACAATACATTTATCATTAATGGCTTCAAGAGTTCATAAACATAATGCCATTTGCATCATATTTTTTCTTTTTGTTGAGGTGAGACAAAAGATCATGCATAACAAAATTGAACAAAAATATTGATGTCAAGAAATTTAATAAAATGTTTCTTTACCCTATGAAAGATGAAAAATGATTAAAGTTATCTCCAGTTTGGGTGCTATTACATTTGAAGTTCCATATGGATGAGGGATATCATACAAGATTTTCATTGACAATGTTATCTGTAGGAATCTAGAAAAAAAATGTAGAAATATAAAAATGCTTTACCTCATCATCGCCTTCTATCCGCACACCAGCCTCCTTCACGCTGCTAGGCTCCTCTGGAACATAATTAACAGGGGTACATAGCATTCCATGTTAAAACTTTGACAAAATTTGAAATCTTATTTCATCAACCAAAAAATGTCTTCTCCAAACTAGGAGCCAGAATGCACCTGATTGATATTCTTACTATCAATTTATTACATGTCCTTCACTATTTTCTATGCATCTTCCTGATACTGTCAAGTTTTAATTTGTTTTTTTTTTTAAAGAGATCTGTTTTATAACCCTTCTTCAAGTTTTAACTAATGTTATAATTATAACAGAATCAGAAGCCTTGAGAATTATTGAAGCAATTGTTGAGATACTGTAGATCTATACCATCTTATCTTACCCTCAGACACTGACACACTGACAGTGAAGTCACTATTTCACTAAAACATATCACACAGAAATTACCTGATTCTGTCTTTGTTTCAGTTTCTGCTTTTTCATCTTCTTCTTCTGAAAATTTAATTTGAATAAGAATAATTTTAAATCATACACCATGATGTCAATGTATTGGGGTAACCTCCCTGAAATCAATACTATAGATTTAATGAATTATACACATTACTTCCTACGTTAATTTCTCACCTTATCTGTGACCAAGAAATACAACAAGAAGCAGATAGATAACAGGACGGCCAAATGACAAGATAACATCAGATCAACTACAGGTTTACTGTATAAAAGACACCAGTTACCATGTTGATAGGGTTAATGTGCAATAGAAGGTGTGATTTATTATCATTTTGATTCCTATTCGTATCCACAATTCCTTTCACATAATCAACCATTTTTTAATTAGTACATAGAATATAAACTTGTATTACTTAGAATATAGGCATGTACATGATAATGTTAAAAATATGGCAGGATACAAATTTGTTAAAATATGAATGTTTATAACATTTATACAAAGTTTATCTGGCAAATTAATGCTTAGTAAACCCTGCCCTGGATCATTTAGACGTCACCTTGAGACTGAAATCTGATTCAGAAAATGTTTTACTATAAAACAAATCCAAATATATAGATATCACTTATCCTCTATGATTTCATGTTATCAAAGAATGTGATCAGGGACAGATACAGATGTCACAACCAGAGGCTGTGATCAGGGACAGATACAGATGTCACAACCAGAGGCTGTGATCAGGGACAGATACAGATGTCACAACCCGAGGCTGTGATCAGGGACAGATACAGATGTCACAACCAGAGGCTGTGATCAGGGACAGGTATAGATGTCACAACCAGAGGCTGTGATTAGGGACAGATACAGATGTCACAACCAGAGGCTGTGATCAGGGACAGATACAGATGTCACAACCAGAGACTGTGATCCGGGACAGATACAGATGTCACAACCAGAGGCTCCGACCAGGGGCAGATACAACTCTATATCACATCAGAGGCTCCGACCAGGGACACATACAGATGTCACAACCAGAGGCTCCGACCAGGGGCAGATACAACTCTATATCACATCAGAGGCTCCGACCAGGGGTAGATACAACTCTATATCACATCAGAGGCTCCGACCAGGGACACATACAGATGTCACAACCAGAGGCTCCGACCAGGGGCAGATACAACTCTATATCACATCAGAGGCTCCGACCAGGGACACATACAGATGTCACAACCAGAGGCTCCGACCAGGGGCAGATACAACTCTATATCACATCAGAGGCTCCGACCAGGGACACATACAGATGTCACAACCAGAGGCTCCGACCAGGGGCAGATACAACTCTATATCACATCAGAGGATCCGACCAGGGGTAGATACAACTCTATATCACATCAGAGGCTCCGACCAGGGACACATACAGATGTCACAACCAGAGGCTCCGACCAGGGGCAGATACAACTCTATATCACATCAGAGGCTCCGACCAGGGACACATACAGATGTCACAACCAGAGGCTCCGACCAGGGGCAGATACAACTCTATATCACATCAGAGGCTCCGACCAGGGACACATACAGATGTCACAACCAGAGGCTCCGACCAGGGGCAGATACAACTCTATATCACATCAGAGGCTCCGACCAGGGACACATACAGATGTCACAACCAGAGGCTCCGACCAGGGGCAGATACAACTCTATATCACATCAGAGGCTGTGATCCGGGACAGATACAACTCTATATCACATCAGAGGCTCCGACCAGGGACAGATACAAATCCACATTAAATAAATAATATGATGAATATGTATAAAGCGTGCAGTACTTTACATAACAAAAGCACATTAACATAGAGTATAGATAAACACCAGGTATACTGAATGTAAGTCAGATTACAAATAAATAGGTAAATACAACAATATTACTCCTCAACCAAATAATCACAAATCTTTACTGTTAAAACAAACCTTCAGATGAATCATAGTACTTTTTTGTCTTTCCTATTACAAAATTAAAAAATAAATCTGAAATTTTTACAATTTGCTGGAGATCATTTCAACATTTATCAAAATATTGAAAACCAGTATACGGTTCTAAATGGATTCATTATGATCAAAATAAAAGTGGATTCTATAAATACTGAATTAAGTTAAATCAAGAGGCATGCTTATGCATGCCAAAAAGCAGTTTGACATAACTGTATAAGACCTGAGTAGACAGGCAAAGTATAACATCAGGAAATAAGGCTAGGCAACTAACCATGGAAATAAGGCTGGGTAAGTAACCAAGGAAATAAGGCTAGGCAACTAACCATGGAAATAAGACTGGGTAAGTAACCAAGGAAATAAGGCTAGGCAACTAACCATGGAAATACGGCTGGGTAAGTAACCAAGGAAATAAGGCTAGGTAACTAACCAGAGAAATAAGGCTGGGTCACTAACCAGGAAAATAAGGTTATGTAACAAACAATAGAAATAAAGCTAGGTAAATTGGTAACTAACCAGGAAAATAAGGCTGGGTCACTAACCAGGAAAATAAAGTTATGTAACAAACAATAGAAAAAGGATTAAGTAACTAACCAGGGAAATAAGGCTAGGTAACTAATTAGGGAAATCAAGTTAGGTATCTACCCAGGTAAATAAGGCTAGGTAACAACTCAGGTAAATAAGGCTAGGTAATGACTCCGGTAAATAAGGCTAGGTAATAAGCTAGGTAAGTAAGGCTAGGTAACGACACAGGTAAATAGGGCTAGGTAATGACCTAAGTAAGTAAGGCTAGGTAACAACACAGGTAAATAGGGCTTATGTAACGACACAGGTAAATAGGGCTAGGTAACAACCCAGGTAAATAAGGCTAGGTAACGACCCAGGTAAATAAGGCTAGGTAACCACCCAAGTAAAAATGGCTAGGCAACTAACCCAGGAAATAAGGCTAGGTAACTAACCCAGGTAGCAGTACACAGTTTCTCGGTGTGGCCATGGGTGATTTTTTTGCTCATTAGATTACCCCATTATAAAGGTTTTAATTAAAAATGAAAAAAAAAATCCTTGCTAAAATTGGTCCTGTCATGTTAAAGTGGACAATGTGGGGTTTCATTTTTTTCAGGATAATATTTTAGCTTTGTGTTGGAGATTACTATTTGGGCAGTCTCAAATCTGTGTCTACGCACCAAAAACTAGCTTTACAGGAAGTGAAATTTTCATAGTGTTTACATGTGGTCATGTTATGAAGAATTTCCGAGTTGGAATTTGCTGAAATGTAAGTACTTTGTTACCACGACAGTGTTGTTGATTGTAAGATAGGTGATTAGAATTAAATTTCTCCTAGAAAGTTGTAGTGTTGGATTGGAATTAGCAGTATTTTTGCATTTTTAGCATTTTTTCAGTAGGTAACCATGACAATCAAATGTCAGAAATCAGAGGAATTTTTTTTTTTACACAAATTTCATCTCTCTACTGTTAATGTAATTGTTATACAGTTTATAAATATATATACATGTAATGATGTATTTTTCATAACCAATCTGCTATACCTGTATATCTCAAACATGACAAATAATTTCAGGAAAAATGCAAATTAACTGTTTACTGCTACCTTATAGCACATTAAAAAAAATTAATCTATTTAAAATGTGCTTTACTATGTTTAATTAAGTTTAATCCTTTCCATAATTGCTATAAATACATAAAAAACACACTGAAACTTGTTCATAATGATTTTATTTTAATTTCATCAGGGGTGCATAAAGGGAGGTAATTTGGGTGCTCTTGTGGGTGAGAATTTCAGCTGTTTTCAAAAGGCTTGGTATCAGTTTGAAAACTGTTCTACAGTAGGTAACAGGTATGAAATAAGTCAGTAACAACCTTAGAATGTATTTAGACTGCATTATAGGGCAATTCCAATAGTTTAAGGTGTGGTATCCATGGTAACTAAGAAGGAAAGTATGAGTTTTTGAATTTTGGATAAATTCTCTGTTTTGATGATTTTTACTCAATAATGCGTGTGTATTTCTCATAGATTGGGCATACAATCATGTTAATATTGTCATAAAATTACATTTCCATAGTTACTGCTGTAAAAAAGACTATTTTTCGAACAATATTGCAATGTAATAGGGTTTCTAATATTACACTTGAAGAAGGGTGGGGGGCAGTAAGCATAGGTGTTTGTGATGTCATACACATGACATTTAAGAATATCTTATGTCATATCACTGTTAATTACTTTCGAGAAATGTGTCAGATGCTAATTTGAAGTTTTTGTTGGATTTCTAGCCTTCACTATGACATCACAGTGCATTGGTGAAGCCATCATTAGCAATTGATGACGTCATAGTACTGATGACATCAGCTGTTACCATGACGTCATAACATAAGACTTTATATATGTAGTATCAATCTGCTTTTCAGTTATCTAAATTCACAGAAGCACAAACTACTTGATTCAGTTTCAATTGCAACTTTATTCAAGTAAATTTAAGACTTATTGAGGTTTTAATTTTTCAAATTACCTCCCTTTCTTCCTAATTTGAGAGCAGAATTGGTCAAAACACACCATGCGGGAAAATCCATATTACTCGATAGCTATTCAAGATACACAGTAAAGCGATATATTGTTTTGTTCGTGTGATCATTTTCTAGACACTCAGAGGGATTTTAATGAAATTAAAAAAACTAATTGTGATGTGTAAGGTAGCAGTACACAGTTTCTCGGTGTGGCCATGGGTGATTTTTTTGCTCATTAGATTACCCCATTATAAAGGTTTTAATTAAAAATGAAAAAAAAAATCCTTGCTAAAATTGGTCCTGTCATGTTAAAGTGGACAATGTGGGGTTTCATTTTTTTCAGGATAATATTTTAGCTTTGTGTTGGAGATTACTATTTGGGCAGTCTCGAATCTGTGTCTACGCACCAAAAACTAGCTTTACAGGAAGTGAAATTTTCATAGTGTTTACATGTGGTCATGTTATGAAGAATTTCCGAGTTGGAATTTGCTGAAATGTAAGTACTTTGTTACCACGACAGTGTTGTTGATTGTAAGATAGGTGATTAGAATTAAATTTCTCCTAGAAAGTTGTAGTGTTGGATTGGAATTAGCAGTATTTTTGCATTTTTAGCATTTTTTCAGTAGGTAACCATGACAATCAAATGTCAGAAATCAGAGGAATTTTTTTTTTTACACAAATTTCATCTCTCTACTGTTAATGTAATTGTTATACAGTTTATAAATATATATACATGTAATGATGTATTTTTCATAACCAATCTGCTATACCTGTATATCTCAAACATGACAAATAATTTCAGGAAAAATGCAAATTAACTGTTTACTGCTACCTTATAGCACATTAAAAAAAATTAATCTATTTAAAATGTGCTTTACTATGTTTAATTAAGTTTAATCCTTTCCATAATTGCTATAAATACATAAAAAACACACTGAAACTTGTTCATAATGATTTTATTTTAATTTCATCAGGGGTGCATAAAGGGAGGTAATTTGGGTGCTCTTGTGGGTGAGAATTTCAGCTGTTTTCAAAAGGCTTGGTATCAGTTTGAAAACTGTTCTACAGTAGGTAACAGGTATGAAATAAGTCAGTAACAACCTTAGAATGTATTTAGACTGCATTATAGGGCAATTCCAATAGTTTAAGGTGTGGTATCCATGGTAACTAAGAAGGAAAGTATGAGTTTTTGAATTTTGGATAAATTCTCTGTTTTGATGATTTTTACTCAATAATGCGTGTGTATTTCTCATAGATTGGGCATACAATCATGTTAATATTGTCATAAAATTACATTTCCATAGTTACTGCTGTAAAAAAGACTATTTTTCGAACAATATTGCAATGTAATAGGGTTTCTAATATTACACTTGAAGAAGGGTGGGGGGCAGTAAGCATAGGTGTTTGTGATGTCATACACATGACATTTAAGAATATCTTATGTCATATCACTGTTAATTACTTTCGAGAAATGTGTCAGATGCTAATTTGAAGTTTTTGTTGGATTTCTAGCCTTCACTATGACATCACAGTGCATTGGTGAAGCCATCATTAGCAATTGATGACGTCATAGTACTGATGACATCAGCTGTTACCATGACGTCATAACATAAGACTTTATATATGTAGTATCAATCTGCTTTTCAGTTATCTAAATTCACAGAAGCACAAACTACTTGATTCAGTTTCAATTGCAACTTTATTCAAGTAAATTTAAGACTTATTGAGGTTTTAATTTTTCAAATTACCTCCCTTTCTTCCTAATTTGAGAGCAGAATTGGTCAAAACACACCATGCGGGAAAATCCATATTACTCGATAGCTATTCAAGATACACAGTAAAGCGATATATTGTTTTGTTCGTGTGATCATTTTCTAGACACTCAGAGGGATTTTAATGAAATTAAAAAAACTAATTGTGATGTGTAAGGTAGCAGTACACAGTTTCTCGGTGTGGCCATGGGTGATTTTTTTGCTCATTAGATTACCCCATTATAAAGGTTTTAATTAAAAATGAAAAAAAAAATCCTTGCTAAAATTGGTCCTGTCATGTTAAAGTGGACAATGTGGGGTTTCATTTTTTTCAGGATAATATTTTAGCTTTGTGTTGGAGATTACTATTTGGGCAGTCTCGAATCTGTGTCTACGCACCAAAAACTAGCTTTACAGGAAGTGAAATTTTCATAGTGTTTACATGTGGTCATGTTATGAAGAATTTCCGAGTTGGAATTTGCTGAAATGTAAGTACTTTGTTACCACGACAGTGTTGTTGATTGTAAGATAGGTGATTAGAATTAAATTTCTCCTAGAAAGTTGTAGTGTTGGATTGGAATTAGCAGTATTTTTGCATTTTTAGCATTTTTTCAGTAGGTAACCATGACAATCAAATGTCAGAAATCAGAGGAATTTTTTTTTTTACACAAATTTCATCTCTCTACTGTTAATGTAATTGTTATACAGTTTATAAATATATATACATGTAATGATGTATTTTTCATAACCAATCTGCTATACCTGTATATCTCAAACATGACAAATAATTTCAGGAAAAATGCAAATTAACTGTTTACTGCTACCCCAGGAAATAAGGCAAAGTAAGTAAGCAGGGAAATAAGGCTACATCACTAACCAGGAAAAGAAGACTAGATAACCAGAGATTATTACACCTGACAGTAACTGCTATAAATTGTATATAAATGATAAGTAAATATGAGGTGATGCAGCATACATACAAGGTGATACCAACATCAGAGTGATACACAAGCAGTGATACCTTTAGTCTCTGTGTCTCCATTGTCCTCTTTCTCACCTTCCTCAGCTGTCTCCTCTGTGTTTTCAGCTCCTTCTGTCTGTTCCTCAGGGGCAGTGCCTCCTTCAGCTGGTGGTCCTGGTGAAGTGTGAAACATGCATGCAGCAGTAAAAGAAGTGATGTCACAAGCAGTGACGTGACACATGTGAAGTGATATCACCCACTAGTGTGTATAACATTTCTAGCAAATATATGTAGATGAAATATATATATAAATATATGAACATTTCAGAGTAAAAACACTTAAAAATCTACCAAATCTCAAACACAGCACAGAGGTCCTGTATGCCATGCGTTTAAGTCAATAATCCCCTTGACAGGAGGTTTGTATCATAACATAGATACAACATTGTTTCTGAAGTTATTCAACTGACAGAATTAACTGGACCTCTGTAAAGTTTTGGAAATAAACACAATGACTCCTGAGTATCATGCAGACTAAGAAGTATAAGTGTTGTCTCAAGTATACAATGATTATTGTAAGCAACACAGACACTGGCAGAAATATTCCTTCCAAAATATACATAAAGCACAACAAGTGTGACCAATGAAAATGCAACATGCATAGTGAACAGCCAATGATATTGTGTGTTACATACCATCAGTACCTTCACCACTCTCTCCTGCAGCCTCCCCTTCAGCTCCCTCTCCTTCAGGAGCCCCTTCTTCACCTTCTCCTGCCTCTAGTTTTCTTAACCTCTCCTCCTCAGCAGCTTTTCTCTCTGCCTCCTCCTTTGCACGTTTCTCCTCCTCCAGTATTCGTCTGCAGAAGACAAAATGTCTAGCTACACTCGGAATAATTGTAACAAAGCTACACACTTTCCTGACATTTTTGACGTATCGTCCTGAGACAAACAAAGCTACACACTTTCCTGACATTTTTGACGTATCGTCCTGAGACAAACAAAGCTACACACTTTCCTGACATTTTTGACGTATCGTCCTGAGACAAACAAAGCTACACACTTTCCTGACATTTTTGACGTATCGTCCTGAGACAAACAAAGCTACACACTTTCCTGACATTTTTGACGTATCGTCCTGACATTTTTGACGTATCGTCCTGACATTTTTGACGTATCGTCCTGAGACAATCATGTATTGATATGACTTACTTTCTCTCCTCTTCAGCCTCTTTCTTTTTACGCTCCTCCTCTGCCTTCCTGTTTTTAATTTTTTGGTCAATGTCTTCCTTGTTGAGAGTATAATATCGCCTCAGCAGGAAGTCCCCTCCATCTGAATCCTTCAGTACAACGATGTCATCTGGCATCAAATTTTTCTCTATACAGATTGTCCACTGGTCTCGATTCTGTGGAAAGTTGTCGAGGATGTACCCACCATTCCTGTTCAAAAAGAAACAATATTAGTTGGAAAACTAAACTGCTGTTACTTTCAAAAAACATGTCACTGCACAGTAAAATGATAGTGCCCTTACATTGGTCCCTCAGATTTCATTTCCCTCATGTTTCTCTCGGACTCCTTGATGGCATTATCCATCACCTCTATGTACACCTCTGGAGGTAGGACAACAGGCTGTTTTTCTATATCCTTCACGGCAGCCTCCACAAGAGCAATAACATCAGGGTGGGTGGCATCCACTTCAGGCATGACTGGAGTTGGGGCCTTCTGAGGAAGTGGAGTAGGCTCAGTTGTCTCCCCTTCAGTGATGGGGATATCTGTAGAGGTCTCTCCAGTCACTTCTTCAGTTTCCTTGGCTTCACTCTCACCACCTACATAGCAAACACAAGATACCTTAATTTTAATCTTCTTTATTAATAAATAAAAATAAGGTTATCTTACTTAAATAAATACAATTACAAAATAGTGCTGACAAAGTTTAATGTATGATAATACCAAGTGATCACAACAATGAGTGAGTATCGTGAAGAATCCAGAACTGATTTTCTAACCACTATTGGGAATACTGTAAAAACTTGGTGATTTAAAGCTGGTGTATTTTATATAGATAACACTGGTCCACTGTTAGGATCTGTAATCTGTAAAACTTACTTTCCTAACACTATGGAACTTACTAATAGTAATTAATGTAACAATTGTCTGCTGTTACTCAGGATTCATCTTTGTCGACTCACCTTCTTCCTTCTTCTCTCCTTCCTGCTCTGCAGAACTTTCTTCTTCCTTTGCCTCCTCTCCCTCCTCTTTTTCTCCAGATTCTTCTTCACCTTCCGTTTTAGTGACTTCTCCATCAGTGGGAGTTTCTGAAACAGATAGAAACAATCTACAAGCTAGTGTTATATCACATTTTAGAGCCCAATACCATTGCAGCAACGGAAATTTTTATATCAGTAATTGTCTGATTACCAAACAAATTTTAACTCCTGTGATATTTTCTTAATTTTTAACATTTATAAAAAAAATCAGTGTAAAAGCTAGTAACTGAAAATACTGGTTCATTTCTCTTTAAAACTCAGATCATGAGAATCAGTTTCAAAAGTATGTCAAATTACTCTGAGAAAAAAAACTATTCTAAAACATTTACAAGACATCAATAACAATCTGCATTCATATCAATATGCTTTTTCTGCTGTAAAACAAGATACTGTACAGGTGTATTAGTATATGTGTTAAAACAGCTAAGTACAGATTTTACAACAAGACTGAGCCATAAGTGACCATCAACTGTTTGTATACTGGTACATAGCAGTGATAATATTTCAGCACATTACATAGGTAACCATTGTGTGTAAGCAGCAGTGAACGAAATACAGTGTCTTTACATTCATTTGATGTATTGTGGCTACACTAATTTGCCTTTGGCCTTTATCAGTTTTAATAAAAACAGGTGTTACACATAATATGAGTGTATCAAGATATAAATGTTTAAAACATTGATCATAAACTATATCAACATCAGCTGCTTCATTAAAATGTTATACATGTAACACGTAATGATCTATTTCAGAGCCTTCTCATAACAAAATACACAGGATTCAATAAGAAAGAGATAAATATGAGTTAGTACTGTCTGTAGAGCTACATACCTTAAAACTTATTGAAATTTGTTGTACACATTTCAAGAATATAAATATATATTTATATACATGTATATTTCTAATTTCATCACATGGTATTCTAATAGGTAGAGTGTCTTTGGTGATTCATTTTTTTTTTCATAAAAGGATTTTAATATCATCCATATATCAGTAGAGGATCAGATTTCATAAAATTTAATTTCAAAGTTAAAATTTAACATATATAATACACAATATGATAAAGTAGATGGTGCAAGATAAATGTGATACAGAGAATACATCTCTCTAAAACGATTCCCCTTAGGCTAATCTATTGCTTAGTTAGACGATAGTTTAACACCTAGTGGTGTATACTCTTTATTTGTGCTGGTCTCTGAAGCTTCAACCTCCAGGTTAATGTTCTATACTCAAATAGAATTACTCTAGGAAAGAATTTCAAAGTTTGAAACCAATAACCAGATGTTAATATCTAACAGTTTTAAATACCATTTTCTCTAGAAAGAAATCATAAGTTCGGAGCTTGAAACCCATAGCCCTGACCTGAATATTGATATCTGACAGTTTTTAAGAAATTCTGTCTATTTCTTTTGTTAATCTACATCCTGTATATATATATAAAGTAATAGATACAGTATATTTTGTGTTAATGAAGAGAAGATAAAATCCAGTTACTTAGAAGTGCTGCTAGCTACCTGGGATCTCAGGAGTTATCCCCTTACCTTTCTGACCCACACTTTCATCCTCATCGTCACTATCCTTACTCTCATCTTTTTCTGTGTCTAACAAAGTATTTATATTTATAACAAATGATATCGATCAAAGATTAGGTATTCATGCAACAATGTATCACATTATCTCATTTATATTGAAGTGAGAACATAGTTATACCAGCATCCAAATAATACACAAATTTATTGCAACAAAGGAAATGTGATGATGTGATATTCATTACTTGACATAAATGTTCCGTCTTTTGCTGAGTTATCTGCTCTTGTGACCAGATACTGTTTGTTTTGTTTGTGAGAGTATTGTCATCAGATAGCTGCATAATTTTCTCATGGAAACTAATGGTATACCAATCATTACCTGCTCATAAGGGAAGATAACTCTGTACAAGACAGTATTATCAAGGATGTTGTCCTTCATACAAGAACAAAACGTGATGTTTCAATACATATATTAGACTAATTGTGACAAACAATAGACTTTATGTATTAACACAAAAAACATCTGGTGGTAAATGTGACGAAATTTTATCACTGAAAATCAGTTATAAACAAATTCTTCTATCTTATTTATAGCTATAGTTAATTTTTAATTTTTCATCAATTTATATTCTCATCATTATTACCATACAATAATAATACAATGTATAGTATCAGTATAGTAAATGGCACCATACATGGTTTTATGACTGAGGTGCTAGATGTCAATACAGAACTGGTCCATACCCAGTACTCAAGTTAATCTTAAAAAAATGGTTAAAAATAATTTGTTTTTGTTCTTTTTATCATTATTGATTTCACAACATTTACCACATGATGTATTGGAGCATTCTGATTGGCTTAATGTGAGGTGTAGACACCATGTATACACACAATAATTATAATGAGGATCATAGTGTCTGTGTAACTGGTGTCTATAAAATCAGCAGCATTCTACAACATCGCTCTACCTTAATACAATGGTCCAGAACTTTGTAGAAAGGAAAATAAATCTATATTACAACTGAGTATACACACTTCACTAACTAGCATATTGCTGGGTATACACACTTCACTAACTAGCATATTGCTGAGTATACACACTTCACTAACTAGCATAGTACTGGGTATACACACTTAAGTAACTAGCATACTACACATGTTGATGACTAGCATACTGCTTGGTACATTGATAACTAGCAATAACAGATTATAATCTGTTTAGCAGAGTTCTGGTTTTATAAAAAGGTTCAAATGACAGCTGTTACATTTAAATTATTGTAAATCAGATTAATTACTCTTAATTACTGAAGCATTAGAGGTTTCAAAAAATAGGTAAACCCAAATTGATCACAATGATGTTACTATTGATAATATGGTATTAATTTGATCAAATCTGGGATATTCATAGAAGTCACCTATAAAAGCCTGGATATTAAAATACCCAGTATGTCCCTATAACACTATTACGGAGGTTATATGTAAGAGAGACTGTAAAACTTTAACGAAAAGAAAAAAAACTATTATATATCTTATATATCATTGATTATGGAATGGTTTGTTAGTAATTAAAATGGGTTTGAAAATATTGAACAATCTAAACAAAAATTAGAAAGGTCATGAGGAGAGAATGTCACACAATAAAATACTGTAAATATTTAAATTCAACTGAGTTTAACAAATATGAAATTGCAGGGAAAATTCTTGGAAATGAGAAAGCAATAAAACAAAAAGTAAATATAGCATCAGATTTGGTAAAGAAAAGAGAGAGCAGGTTTATTATTATAGCATATATGATCATAGCAGTAAATACATTGGTATAAAATATCAAGGTATCATTTCAGCAGGATCAAATCACACTCCAAAACTACTGAGGTGCTATTATACAATATGTGTGGAGTTAGCATGTAAAATTGGGTGTTTCAAATCGTAAAACTGTAACTGGCAGGAGTGTGATACCTTCTTGATCGTCCCCATCCTCTGCTTCCTCGGTTTCTTCTTCCAAACCTGTCTCTGATGTGTAGGATAGGAGGTGTTAGTTTTGTTTGATTACCAACATGTCCTGTACTTAACTATTGATACTTGTACATTTTATATAACAACTAACCTGAGTACTGACACGCACTGTACTTATTATTACAACAACTAACCCACACTGAAGGTTACTACTCTAAATCAGGCTAGCACTTTACCTGCAGCAGGTATAGGTGACAATTATGTCTGACATGATTATAGCCAGATCTTCAGATGAAAACATGATGACTTGATAAACAGATTAAGTTCCTTCTAAAATGATAAGTAAAAATCACACTAAAGATTTACAAACTATTATCAACCCACACACTGACTGTAAAATCACTACGTTAACAACGCTGTCACTTTTTCTACATATGTTGGTATCTCCCAGATAAAATTTTCTGTAAATGTAAACAGACTGGAGTCAGTCACACAGCCAGGTGTGATCTAAATAGTCTCTCTACCTCCATGTTTCTTGTGTCAGGTACAGAATGTAAGTTTAACAAATAATTTGCTAAAATAGTATGTTAAATTTTTGTAATTCTATCAAAACAAATTTGATATCTAGAATTGATTATCAAAACCATTGACAAGCTTCTTTTTGAAGTGTTAGAGGCATTTACAATAAATTTGATGTGATGATTCAATGTGTATGTTTACATGTAAAACAGACTTTATACCATCAGTAATTCACGTCTACTACACAAACACACAAACAGGTTAATTTCACCACCAGTCTAAAACAAAACTTACGTCGTGCTTCTGAACCAGACATCTGTTGTAGTTTGTAAGCTAGCAATGGAAGGGATTAAGAACAGTTGGAAATTAATCCAGGAAAGAGATAGAAGTACGATGATGACTGGATAGAGGGGAGGTAACTTCTGGTTAAGGCTATGGTAGTGGACATTGCAAGTGAATATACAGGACAGTACACTTTGGCTTCTGGTTACAATGTTGAACAGTAAGGAGTAAACCCAGGTTCTGGCTATGGTGTTGGTCAGTAAATATTAACCAGGTTAACCCAGGTTCTGGTTATGGTGTTGGATGGTAGAGATTAACCAGGTTAACCCCAGGTTCTGGTTATGGTGTTGGATGGTAGAGATTAACCAGGTTAACCCCAGGTTCTGGTTATGGTATTGGATAGTAGAGGTTAACCAGGTTAATCCCAAGTTCTGATTATGGTGTTGGACAAAACAAGTCTTTAACCAACAGTGCAATATTATTAAAAGCAGGAATATCATATAATTTGACCTACCAACTGCCTTTCTATTTAGTTTAGCCAATCTTTCTTCTTCTGTAGAGACAAATATATTCTTCCATCAAAAAGTTTAATTTTCACATGTAGAATTCCATATCTATAGGAGAATATTCTCAAAACTGTTCAAAGGATTTGAAGTTTTCTTGGAGACATGGATCTAGATAAAATATCTTACAATAGCATCACAATAAAGGAAAATAAGGGACAAAGTAGGAACAAGTAATTAGGGATCAAAAGTAAATATAACGTATAACACTGGGCTGATTATACAAGGAAAGGCAAGGAATATAATTGGATATATTATATATAAATACTTCCTACTCATGATACAGCATGCTTAATACAGCAGATTAACCAAATATCAACAAGCTTCAAAACAAAGAAAAGGGCAAACAGATCTACATAAACATACATAAGTAACAGAGAACATGATAGATCTACATGATTTAATAATAAAGTCACTTAATCCATTGACAAATTGCATGAACATAATTTCAAAAATATTCTAATTAGACAAACACAAGTGGTTTAACATATAACTGATATTGAAAATATAAAGTATTTTAGGGAAACCCACCTTCTGCCTCTCTGGCAGCCACTTCAGCTTCAAACTGTTCTTTGATCTTCTGTCTGACAGAGGTCAAGGCTGTTTCCGTAGTTTCATCCCTGGTCTGCTGGATTAACTTTTCCTTTTCCTCCTCCATTCTAGGTTTGATGAGTTCATCCATGTCCAGTACCTACACAGGAAACCAACAGGTTAACTTCCTCTACAGTATCTTTATCAGAATCAAAGACATTAGATCATACATATCATTACATCTACATATATTGTATGTCAAGAAACCTATCACAACACATGTAGGGTCAGTTCACCAACTGTGAGAACATTTCCTGTGATAATAAAACATTCTGTAATCATGTATACTACATTCACTCCACTATCAACCATCCACTGATACAAACCTTAGCATTGTACTTTTGAGCCAGAAGGTGAGACAGTGTTGTCTTTCCTGAAAGAGGAGGTCCTAAGATTGACAGTTTACAGGGAGGACGAGGTTGAGGAGGCATCAGGTAGGGTCGAGGATTCTTCAGGAACTTCTCTAGTGCTTCCGCGCTGGACAGGGTGTAAACTTTGTCCAGGAAACTAAGGTAAGAATTAAGAAAATATTAAGTAAAGACATTCAATACTAAAAACAATCACCAAATCTATACTAATGGTAATAAATACATAATAAAATGGACAAACCTACATGTATTTGTAAATCTTTAGACCTTAAGATAGACTGATCACACTTATAATGAAATGAAAAAAGCCCTGTGTTTTGTTTTTATTCTGTACCTGACAGCATATTCTGGTTTTCCTGGTAGGATGTTTCCCTCATACAGTGCAACTGGACAATTCCGAAGCCAGCGACTCCGTCTCCACCTGTAGCGTGGTGCCACCATCTGTTTTGATCCAAGTGTCCTCATCAGTTCATCAGTATCAATGTCCTCAGGAATTTCATCTTCTTCTGGGTCGTGGAGACGAAGAGGAACAGCTGCTTTCCTCAGTACAAAACAATCCAGTCGAGACAATAGTTGCTGAAAATCAGGATATATACACATATTATACGTTAATTGTTGTTAGCTTTTTCCCAAATGATTTGACTTTGAATTTCATCTTACTGAACTATCCTTTTGGACATTGAAACTTAAAAGTTGACAAGGATATATACGTCAACTGTCCGTTGCTTTTCATTTCTTTGTAAATACTGTATTCATCCTAGCTACAGACATTTATTAGTTAGATCTACATATGTAGTTAGCTATAATTAAGTCTTTGTCATAACATTAAGTAAATTTACAAGACTGTATGATGTTCAGGTTTGTTTTTTACCTTATTACATAACCCATCAGATTTTGTATGTCTGTATATTACTGATTGTCATACCTTGAATAAAACAGTAATTGACTGGTTTGAATCCATCTCTATGAGGTATTGTTGATCATGATCAGCCATGTAGTCCTGAAAGTTAAAACATTATTAATCAGACATATTTACAATGCAATGATCAACAATATTTACACAAAACGCAGAAACAAAATAATGTTATTAGAAAAATATCTATACTGCAATGAGTGAAGTAAGAACATTTTTACAGACATTCAGTCTTACTCATATTGTTGTTTTTCATTGTTTATATGAAGTTAAAAAGTTCTCAAAGTTTACCTCCAGAATCCTGAGCATGTTGTTCTTGTACTTGCGTATATTTTCTTCCACCTGAGACGGTAAGTCCTCTGGACGTTTGATAAGTCGCTCCAGTACATCTGTGGGCAGTTCTTGTATCACTTCACCATCCTGAAATAGAAAAGTTTCCTTAGAGGCTAGTTCAAAAACGATTATATATTTAAAGGAACCTTTGAATATTTGTTAGAAAACAAATGGATAAACTTTTTGAATACACTGCCTGTTTTATATATATACTCATTATCAATGAGCCATATGTACACCTGTATACATACTTCAGGTGTAGCTTCTTCCTCTGCTTCTTCCTCTTCCTCTTCTTCCTCATCACCTTCATCTTTCTCTGGCTGTAAATCAAACAGAAGACAGTTACTAGTTTATTCAGACTAAATTTAAACAAAATTTCTGTACACAGGACACCATAAATAAATAAACACAGCACTTCGACTTCATTATGTGTTATTTTACAGTAAAGGAAGATTAAGGTAAAACTTTACATTGTTAATTTCAGTTTTAAGTGACACCAACCTCCTTTGCTGGTTTGTCTGGGTTATAGACTTCTCTTGTGTAGATTTCCCCTGTCACTGGGTCAATACGCTGCCCAGTTCGACGTCGCTCTAAATCTCGGTCTGGAATCTGTGTAGAGTGATAAAATATTGATTAAAAATGTATGTGTAGACCTTGGTCAACTTATTAAAGAGGATACATTTTGAACTTAGTTTAAAGAGATTGTATTAAAGATTATTCAAATGTATATCTATCCTCATTGTCAAGCTCAACTTAAAGATTTGTGTCAGAGGTTCATTTACTCATATTTCTTCCAGTCAGCCAAGGGGGATAACTCAAATTCTGGCTTCATTGTCATGGGATAGTTACTGCAGGACAAAGATGGTCATTATACTGAATAATATTTAGATGTGGGAGGGCTTATGATCAGACTTGAGTTTATTGACAGGTAAATGGAGTGCTTTGACTTGAAACAATCAGACAACCTATTAGAGATTACTGTAGGATAAAGGATATATATGCTAAATAGAACTTTTAATATGAAGTCTGTTTGCTAAAGTGTGCATAATACTTTATTCTCACCTTTAAGTTAATGATAAAATCTGGCTTTAATTTCCAATTCTTTACCAACTCCAGCTGATCCTTCAAGCTCATAGACTCCTCTGACAAGCATGGAAAATCATCCAAAACATATCCTGTAGTGAAACACATAAAGATGTAAAGATTAAATCAATATAATAGTTTAAGAGATTAAATATCCATTGTCAAGGGACTCAGCAGTAACACAAAAAACTCCCAACACTTAAATACAAAATATCTAAATGCAAATCCAAGTTTCAAGTTGTCTCCCTTACATACCATGATGGGCAACCTCTGGGGAGTTAATCTTGTCCTCTATCATTTTGATGACAACACTTTCAGGAATGGCTTCCCCCTTCACTAGTAGTTCATGACACTTCACTCCCATTTCAGTTTGCAGTTCAACAGACTGGTGGATCAGATCAGTGGCTAAAGAAACAGACAAAATTTAAACGTATACAACAGGTTATATTGATGAAGAAATCAGTAGCTACAAAAAAATTAAACATTATTTTGATGAATGACTATGATCCAAAGGCCAAGTAGCTGTTTGAGGGCTGGTGAATGGTGTGATATCAAAAGTCATACCATGAATCAGAATTGTTTTATCATATATTCTGGAAACAAAATAAAAGCACGAAGTTTATCGCTTGTTCTTAGGCAATAAAAAAATCAGATGTTGTCAGTGACATTTACAGAAATGTCTAAACACAAAAAGTAATATCAGGATCCAAGAATTCAGATCGAGTGATATTGGCCCAGTCACTGATATGACAATGTAAACAACACTAGTATCACAATATATATTATCAGAGGCAATTGAATTCCAGTAATATTCACATTACATTTCAGATCCGACAAAGTAAGATGATGTAAATAAAATCCTAATGAAACCACCTTTCAAAACCAATTTTATTGTACAAAAACAGTCCCGCAGAGAAAACTAGAAACAAAAACAACTCACGATTAATTATTTCACATTTCCATTCTGCAGCCAATCTTCTTGCTAAGGTTGTTTTTCCAGATCCAGGTTTACCAATGACAACAAAACATGTTGGTTTGGAATGTAAGAATCTCAATTCAGTCTGAAATTCAAATAGGATATAAATGATAAATTGTGAAATCATTAAAGTATTTTTTCACACTTTCCTAAGTGTGAAAAAATCCTTAGCAAATACATTTCCCAAGCAGATACATTTTACAATGTATAAAAAATTATCCCTGTTACACTGGTGGCCAAGTAGAAACCTGGGAGGCACCGCAGGAAATACTTAGACTTGCTCCATAAGCATTGCTGCTATCCTTTGAAAAAATCCTGGAAGGGGATTATATTTTGGTAAACACTAGCCACAATATACTGCTTGGCTAGAGAGAAAACACTTCTAAAAATTATATTTGTGCAAGCCAAGCAAATGTTTCAAATTGCACAGTGAATTTAATTTCTGCATGTTATTATAAGAATATATAAATATTATATAATCTGAATTACAAGAACTTTTATAGAAAGCAGATTACTTCTAAAGAGGCAAAATAACATATAACCCACAGAAGAAGATGATGCCGTTTTAAACACATTGAAATGGATAATAATCTGTTGTAGTGCAGAGTGTCTGGTCTTAATAATCAAATGATAAATAAGTTTATATAATATGTGTGACAATTTCAGTTCAAAATTTTGAAAAGGCGGGCTAGGCACGCAAAATAGTGATTACTTCCTCCCCAACAGTAACAGATTAACAAAAAGAATCACTTAATTCCATTTTCATACCTCATCATTATCAAACGGATCAATATCACTGCTTTTTGTTTTTGATAGAAGTTCTTCAAATTGTTGAACTTCTGACGGAGGAAGTGATGGATCAGTGACACTGACAGCTTCCATTGTAATCACTTTTGGGGCTTCTGGAACAGATGATTCTGTTGTTGTACTTGGATCTGCTTGTGTCTGTTCAGGTGGCAGTTGGGTTCCCCCTGTATCTTCTTGTTTCTGTTGTGACTCTTCCATGGCGGGCACAGGCTGTAAGTGTTAGCATTTTTACTTTAAATTTTGAACATTGAAAAATGTATACGTTAATGTGGTGATAAAGTTCCATGTACAGAGCACTGCAGTAAAATTAGATATTTTTAAAGGACAGACGTACGGAATAATTATCTAAAAGGCATATAAAGTTTGCTTCCACTATTATGGTGCAAGTTCAGGTACACAATATACAAAATGTACATGTTGAATTGTGTATTACAATGTCAATCTAGACCTGTCTAGTATTTTCATAAGAACAACTTTAAGATGATGCTACATTATTTAAAATACGACGTTAAACTGTTCTTTTATCTTATATGTGTTCATTACACTACATGTACACCAAAATAAAATCCTGAAACGTGTCAATTTATCTCGTACTTCCAGCTTTTACAGTACTAATGTCAAATGCGTTCAATAAGATGACTGTTTTACAATATTTCAATGTTTAGTATGATATAGGCTACAATGCACGTTGAAAGCATCACACTGCGGGGTAATGACCGTTTATCGGTAAATACTTCTTGATTGTTTCAATGCAACATACGATTAAATCCATATAGAACAATAAAAATCAACAACTGAATAGCCATAACGAGAAATTGCACACATCATCGTAAAATGTAATCAAAACACTACTAAACAACGTTTACCTCCGTGTTGTCCGCCATAGTTGTTTGGTCTCCAAGGGAAGTTCGGTTGTCATCGGAAATCAACCGGAAGTCATAGATATTTCCGTAAAAAGTGTTTTCCCTGGCACATCCGAGACTTTTAGTATTTTAGCAAACAAAACTATTAATTATTTAGGGAAGACCAGCAAACACATAAATTAATCACATTTTTTGAAATTTTATGCAAATTGAACTAAATATCAAAACCGATGCGGTTGATATTTCCGGTTTGTGGTAATATGACTACACTTATTATGTTAACAGTCTTAATTTAATAGTTGTTGCTAAATATTTCAAAATCAAGAACTTTGTTTTTTTATACAATACAACAAGTGAAAGCATTACTGTGTATCTCGTTTATTAGAGAACATATCCGGAATGTTGAAAATCCGTACACGTTCTCTTTATTACACGTGTACTTTCTTTTTTGCTATTTATCTTCGAAGCTCCAAAGCGCCAATGTTTCATTTTTTACTCATGTAAAATCTCCTGTCTTAACTTATCGAACTTACGGTAAGAATCATGTACATATCTGTTGACGAGCTTTATGTGTTTTCAAAGAAGAATTTCACTACAGAGAAATCCGGCGTCCGATCGATATTTGATAGCAGAGCTGGGCTTACATCTTAAAATAATTCACACTGTTTTGTTTCCCTGTGATATTCGCGTTATAGACTGGATTGCGTTGGAGTATTTCAGGATGCAGCAAAAGTAAACATTCATAAGCCGGTTGCCGATCAACACGTAAACATCTCAAGCAAGAAAGATGAATGACCATGCCAATTAACATAATAACATTACACACTGAGCGTATCATTAATGTTACAGATGACCTTTACCAATCAGTGTTTGTTAATGTAGTTTATTGCCGTTGAAATCAAGATGGGTCGTAAAGCCACTAATTTACTGTTTGTGTCTTTTATTGTGCTTGACATTATGATAAATGTTACTCCAAAACCACAACTGTCAACAGACCTCCCTCTTCTTATTTTAATTTCTATGGATGGTTTCAGACATGACTACCTGAATCAAACAGCATTCAAAAAATCAGACATTTCCAATTTCCAGTATTTTATTGATCAGGGAGTGAGAGCAAGCCATGTTCGGAACGTATTTCCATCTGTCACTTTTTCGAATCACATGACAATTTTGACAGGTCAATATGCAGAGGAGCATGGTGTCGTCCACAATGCTTTCTTTGACCCTTACCTAAATGATACATTTGATATGCATAATTTCTATCAAAATTTTCAATCTAAATGGTTTGACAATGGAGCAGAACCTATATGGGTAACAAATCAAAAAGGAGGATGGGGACGAAACAGTGGATCAGTTCTTTGGCCTGGAGGAATAGCACCTGTTAGATGCATAGAACCAAGAATTATTCCTCGTGCTACACTTTACAACTCGTCTGATTCAATTTCATATGAAAAAAGAATTGATGTTTTAATAGACTGGTTCACTGATAAAAAGTTTAATGCAATAAATTTTGGAATGTTGTATTTTGATGAACCCGACCTTTCAGGACATAAATATGGACCAATGTCCAGAGAAGTTAGAGAGGAAATCAAACGTTTAGATAGCGCACTTGGATATCTGAGAAAAAAATTAAATGAGACTGGCTTGTCGGAGAATATGAACATAATCATCACTGCGGATCATGGGATGAACCAATTTGAGGATAAAGTTGTAAATCTAGATGAGATTCTTGATCGCAGGTGGTACACAACTCCTATTCATTTCAAACACCACCTTGTTCCAATGATAATTCCACATAAAGGTAAGTTAATGATTTTATTTGGGTACACTAAATCAAAAAATGTTTGTCTGATGGAAATCTAAAATGCTCAAAACTTTTCTCAGAATAATTGAATTATTGGTACAAACTGAAGTACACATATGTGTGTTGAAAAGTTAAGCATATCAGATTCCCTGACTGCAGGCCATGGATGAATGATCAAAAGTACACAGAAGTTATCAGTCAACTTTTCAATCCAATGAAAAAGCTCATTAAGAATAATAAAAAAAAAAATTGCAAATGAAGTCATGCTAATAATGAATATTAGTATATCAATTAGGTCCTTTAAATAAATGAAATCATATTGAAGATGAAGGAACATCATGGGACAGATTGCTTTATCTGTATACAGTGTTTGAATTATGTTTAATGAAGGATTAATTCTACATATGTCTGTTGACTATTTACAGTTAAAAGGATACACAGACTTGCTATGCAGAATTATAGTACTGGTACTGATCACTCCAGTGCAGAATACAGATTTCTTTATATGTTTATACAGGTCATGAAAGGCATGTTTCTGTTGCCTTATTTGGAGAAGATGGCAAGGGGAAAGACCATAAAGGGTTCTTTGCTTGGTGGAGAAACGGAACAGAAATGAAGAACCGTTACTTCAGCAAAAACCGACGCATAATGGAAATTATTTTGGAGGCAAAAAAGGGATGGATCATTGGAAATAACCAGACAAAAGGCCCTTATTCAAGTGAGAATAATCTGATTATATCTTATCTTAGGTTGGATATCACCATTTATGTTAATTATAACTGAACTGAATTGATTACCATTTGGTTATAGATGTGTAATTCATTGCTGCATATTTTCAACCAGTAAGATAAAAACGTTATTTCATCTCCGATCTTAAATCCTCCAAACCCTCTTTATTGTGAATTTATAATCTCCAGTATTGTAATCTATTTATTAATCTCCACTGTATTTTGGTTAAATAACCTCAAATCCACTGTATTGTGATCCAATAACCTCAAACCAACTGTATTGTGATCCAATAACCTCAAACCAACTGTATTGTGATCAAATAACCTCAAACCAACTGTATTGTGATCAAATAACCTCAAAACCTTGTATTGTGATCAAATAACCTCAAACCCTTGTATTGTGATCAAATAACCTCAAACCCTTGTATTGTGATCCAATAACCTCAAACCCTTGTATTGTGATCCAATAACCTCAAACCAACTGTATTGTGATCCAATAACCTCAAACCCTTGTATTGTGATCCAATAACCTCAAACCCTTGTATTGTGATCCAATAACCTCAAACACTTGTATTGTGATCAAATAACCTCAAACCCTTGTATTGTGATCAAATAACCTCAAACCCTTGTATTGTGATCCAATAACCTCAAACCAACTGTATTGTGATCCAATAACCTCAAACCCTTGTATTGTGATCCAATAACCTCAAACCCTTGTATTGTGATCCAATAACCTCAAACACTTGTATTGTGATCAAATAACCTCAAACCCTTGTATTGTGATCAAATAACCCCAAACCCTTGTATTGTGATCAAATAACCTCAAACCAACTGTATTGTGATCCAATAACCTCAAACCAACTGTATTGTGATCAAATAACCTCAAAACCTTGTATTGTGATCAAATAACCTCAAACCCTTGTATTGTGATCCAATAACCTCAAACCCTTGTATTGTGATCAAATAACCTCAAACCAACTGTATTGTGATCAAATAACCTCAAACCCTTGTATTGTGATCCAATAACCTCAAACACTTGTATTGTGATCCAATAACCTCAAACCCTTGTATTGTGATCAAATAACCTCAAACCCTTGTATTGTGATCAAATAACCTCAAACCAACTGTATTGTGATCAAATAACCTCAAACCCTTGTATTGTGATCAAATAACCTCAAACCCTTGTATTGTGATCAAATAACCTCAAACCCTTGTATTGTGATCAAATAACCTCAAACCCTTGTATTGTGATCAAATAACCTCAAACCAACTGTATTGTGATCAAATAACCTCAAACCCTTGTATTGTGATCAAATAACCTCAAACCCTTGTATTGTGATCAAATTATCCCTAATCCCCTGCATTGTGATCTAGTAATTCCCCAAACCCTTGTTGCGTCATCTAATAACATCCAAACCCCTTGTATTGTGATCTAATAATCCCCAACTTACTGTAGTGTGATCCAATAACCCTAAAATACCCTATGGTATGATCAAGTACCTGAAAATTTCCAGTATTGTGACCTAATGTCCACCCAAACCCCCTGTATTTGATCTAATACCTCTAAAGCCCTTGTATTTTAACTTTATACCCTTAAACCCAGCAATCTGATCTAATACTCCCACACCCCTTGGAGTGTGTGATCTAATAAATCCCAAACCATCTGTATTGTACCCCCCATTCTTATGATTAATGTCTGCCAATCTCCATATATCATGATCTTATAACCTTAAACCCATTGTATAATTTTCTGTCCTTTAAGGTCATAAGGGTCGAATATGGCAAAAATCTTTAAACAACTTCTCAATAACCAAAAGGTCCAGGATGCTGATATTGGGCCTGTAACATTAGGAGATGAAGGGCTACCAAGCAAAGGCCAAGGGTCTTGATATTGGGCCTATAACATGTTTTTTTAACAAGCAATTTGTCTAAAGTAATGCCATTTGTGTAGTGTATGTATAAAGAACATGATTTCAAGTTTGCAGAAAATGTTTTTATTAACCAACAGTGTCTTATATATAAGCTGTACAGTAGTTGAGCAATTTATTTTAGGCTTATCTGGCCTCTTTCAGAGATCAGATGTAAGACAGGTTTGTCCTGACTTCCATGTGTCCAGTTAACAATATGGTTTTGTAACATGACATTGTGAGGTCAGTAGAAATGTCAGCATGTTAACTGACTACTAACCAGTGTGATGTTTACCACACTATCATGTTTATTTTAATATATATTGTCTCCTTAACTCAATTCAATTTTATTTTGTAAAGAGTTCTGATGCTATAACAATTCTCTGTTTCAGAGGGAAATCATGGCTACAATCCACAGAATACACCAGACATGTGGCCATTTTTCATCGCCTCTGGACCAGCATTTCAGAAAGGGCTTTCAGTACCTGCTTTTGATATGGTGGATGTTTATCCTTTGATGTGCCATGTTCTTGGACTGACTCCAGCACAAAATAGGGGCAATCTTGATCATGTCAAAAGTCTTCTGAAAAATCCACCAGTGTGGTACAAGACACTTGAAACTACTGCTGTTACATGTAAGTAAATTGTGAAGTGTTCATGGTATCTGAAAAATAACAGAAAAGTAAAATATTAAACACTGAGAAGAACTGAATTAGGCATTGTAAGTTTTTGTATTAGATATGTAATATGAATATTTAGATAATGATATTGATATGTGTAACAATTTTATGTTAAACCCCACATTGTCCTCAGTCATAGTTTGAAGTCACAGCCTCAGGTATTCATGTCATATCTATATTCTTGGGCTGATAAGGGTTAGGATGAAAAAAGAATAGACATACCGAAACTTCTGTGTACAAAAACAAGATTTTTTTTCTGTTTCTGAAGAAGCCTGTATATATTGCCATTTTCTGTTGAACAGTCATTGTAGTGGTGATTCTAGCTGCATTAGTTGGAGGGGTATTTGGAATAGCTGCTGTACGCCAGAGCAGTATCTCAAGGAGAAAGCTGATGTTCCAGAATCGGAGAAGACTAGACCTGTCACCGATCCGATCACTACCAGAGACGGACTCCATGTTGAGATCAGATGACGATGAAGATGACTTTGATGGACTGTAGTTGATCTTTGTTGAATAATATTTGGTTTATTATTGTTTTGTCAAATAATGATGTAAATGTTCTGATGCTTTGGGATAAGTTTTCTAGTAAGTACAGAATGGTCATGAAAATATTTGACGTTGAAAATGTCATTAATGCTGTTCCTAGTCTGTAATTTTACAACACTTTACACAAAACCTACTGTTTTAATTAATACAGGCTGATTGATGTCAATTAATTCTTACCTTCTGGCCTACTGCACATATATCTACCCTGAAATCCATTGTCACTTGTATAGAAGGAACCTGTATAATCCTGAATTCTGGTTTAAACAAACCTTTAACTGTATACCACAAAGACCATTTCTAGCAAGTGTAATCTGTCAAACTGGTCTCACAGATAAGTTCTTCCAGATCTTAAGCTGACACCAACATTTATCAATAGTTTGGCCTAATGGCCTGTCAAATGGGTCTCGCAGAAAATTTGCAATTGGTAGGTTCTTTATTAATTGTTACAGTTGCATGGTAGAGGTTAATTACCCAAGTGTATACTGACTGTGATAGATGTGAGCTGTTACAAGTCTGACACTGTAGCAATACTGTTGACCAGTGAAGCTACATTCATTGTTCGAGCTAGGATATGAAAAGGGCAAGACACTGAAAAATACATTTGTTGGGGAAAAAGGTATTCAAAGGTACCTAGTTTGTATACTTGTCATGTTGGTGTATTTCATAAGAATATTTTTGACAGATTGCCACCATGATATATGTTTAAATACAACTAGATTTTAACTTAAAAAATTGTTGGTCCTAATGCACATAATGTTGCACCACAAAATTCTTTTTCTTTTTCATTAGAATGTTAGAGATTATTTATATTTTTAAAATTGATGTGATGATTTGTATTTTGATGGCAATTTACTTAGCAGCAGCTATATTTTATTAGTGATATCCATCTCAGTAGTATCATATTGGTTGTAGTATTTGTGTATGTCATTAGTATGTAACAGTTTGTAATGTAATCTAATCATTGTATAATATTGTATTACCGTGTGATAATGTACCACATATCAACATATACACTGATAAAACTGATAAAAGGATAGTTACTTAATCTCTCAGGTCAATGCTGATGAAGAAAACCTGATATCATCACCATCCCTGTAGGGGAAGTGTCTGCAAGATTTATTCTAATGATCTCTGTTTATAAACAATGAAAATAACTTTGTATTTTATACCTGGTAGGCATGATTTGATATTTTAGTGTCCATGGTAATACATACATATGTCATCATCATTCTGTGATCAGCTGTAGAAATAGATTAAAGTCAAGAAAACTTGCCTGATCCACATGGGGCAGAAAATCATAACTCCATACTTAATGTGATTGATATGGACGTTTTAGATACAAAATTAATGTCACCACAATAAGCCCACTAGTAAAGATTTTCTAACATAGTATGTTCTCTAACTACCACAATGTAAACACTGACATCCACACAATATCATCTCTAACTACCATAATGTAAACACTGACATCCACACAATATCTTCTCTAACTACCACAATGTAAACACTGACATCCTCACAATATCTTCTCTAACTACCACAATGTAAACACTGACATCCACACAATATCTTCTCTAACTACCACAATGTAAACACTGACATCCACACAATATCATCTCTAACTACCACAATGTAAACACTGACATCCACACAATATCTTCTCTAACTACCACAATGTAAACACTGACATCCACACAATATCATCTCTAACTACCACAATGTAAACACTGACATCCACACAATATCTTCTCTAACTACCACAATGTAAACACTGACATCCACACAATATCTTCTCTAACTACCACAATGTAAACACTGACATCCACACAATATCATCTCTAACTACCACAATGTAAACACTGACATCCACACAATATCTTCTCTAACTACCACAATGTAAACACTGACATCCACACAATATCATCTCTAACTACCACAATGTAAACACTGACATCCACACAATATCATCTCTAACTACCACAATGTAAACACTGACATCCACACAATATCTTCTCTAACTACCACAATGTAAACACTGACATCCACATAATATCATCTCTAACTACCACTATGTAAACACTGTTTATTTCATTTGAAGTTTTGACAATACTGAAGTATTGTGTAAATTTCTATTTGATGATTTTCTTTAACTTTGTTTACTTATTGTAGTATACAATACCATTAAAGATTTCCATCAATACCTGTTTAGGTTAGGAGTATTATATATAATACCATTAAAGATTTCCATCAATACCTGTTTAGGTTAGGAGTATTATATATAATACCATTAAAGATTTCCATCAATACCTGTTTAGGTTAGGAGTATTAAATATAATACCATTGAAGATTTCCATCAATACCTGTTTAGGTTAGGAGTATTATATATAATACCATTAAAGATTTCCATCAATACCTGTTTAGGTTAGGAGTATTATATATAATACCATTAAAGATTTCCATCAATACCTGTTTAGGTTAGGAGTATTAAATATAATACCATTGAAGATTTCCATCAATACCTGTTTAGGTTAGGAGTATTAAATATAATACCATTGAAGATTTCCATCAATACCTGTTTAGGTTAGGAGAATAATTTTTTATGATCTCTGTTGATATTTCATAGGTTTCAACAACATGCATTACTGATTATTACATTTTTTGTAGGAAATTATGTTGTTTATTTTGTCATATCTATATTTCAATTATACATTTTTTTATTTTTGTTCATCCATCCTAAATGTTTGCTATAAAAAGGGATTCACTGTGTTTACTGCATTCCTGATTGTCCAAACTAAACAAAATTTCAGACAATTACTTTCTTGTCTGGATGATTTTGCTAATTGACAAAGTTCAGAAATATGTATATCTGTATGTCTAACCAGTTACTATTTTTACTTAACATTCCACTTGAGCGACATGCTGTATGACAGATACATTCATATTATATTAAGGTTAGAAGTAGGTTGTGAAGCTGAAAAAAAAGGTCAAAAACGAGATCCAGGATCTTTATTTGATCTTTATTTGTTCTTTGAAAGTTGGATCTTTTCCCATCTTTTCACTTCTCTTCTATGCTTTGTTTTTCAATTTTAAACCTTTAAACTTTGCAGAAATAGCAATAGTAATTTTTAACTGCCAAATTCAAGATGGTCACCTGGAAGCCATTTTGTTTTTTTAGATCAGACCGAAAAACGAATGGGCACAACTAGGGACCAAGGGAAGCTACACATGAAATTTGAGAGAGATCCATTCAGTACTTCTGAAGAAATAGCGATAACAAACTTTACTAGGAAAAATCAAAAATGGCTGCCTGTTGGTCATTTTGTCTCACTTATCACAGCTAAAATAAAAAAGGAACAACAAGGGACCAAGGGAAACCTTCATATGAAATTTGAGAGAGTTCTATGAAGTACTTCACGAGAAATAACGATAAAAAAATTCGTTGAAATAATCCAAAATGGCAGTCTGTCGACCTTTTTGCTTTTCTGACCAGTCTTGAAATGAAAGAGGCAAAACTAGGGACCAAGGGGAACCTACATCAGACGTTTGTGAAAGATCCATCCAGTATTCCTCAAGAAATAGGGATAACAAAAATTGTTTTCGGACCGATTTGAATCAGGTGGTGGGCAAAAAAAGTCATTACTTCATCTCAGCAATTGTAATTTGGGAATATTGCAATATTTTGAAGTGAAACAGCCTTTTTGAATTTGTGTTTGTAACACCATGTATGTTGTAAATTTTCGTTTTCCAAAATAAATTTTTTTATGATAATTAAAGTTGTTTTTAAGTTTATTATATGTGTGTACAGAGTATATTGTGGGGTATGTTTAGTATCTGTTGTTTATTATATGTGTGTACAGAGTATATTGTGGGGTATGTTTAGTATCTGTTGTTTATTATATGTGTGTACAGAGTATATTGTGGGGTATGTTTAGTATCTGTTGTTTATTATATGTGTGTACAGAGTATATTGTGGGGTATGTTTAGTATCTGTTGTTTATTATATGTGTGTACAGAGTATATTGTGGGGTATGTTTAGTATCTGTTGTTTATTATATGTGTGTACAGAGTATATTGTGGGGTATGTTTAGTATCTGTTGTTTATTATATGTGTGTACAGAGTATATTGTGGGGTATGTTTAGTATCTGTTGTTTATTATATGTGTGTACAGAGTATATTGTGGGGTATGTTTAGTATCTGTTGTTTATTATATGTGTGTACAGAGTATATTGTGGGGTATGTTTAGTATCTGTTGTTTATTATATGTGTGTACAGAGTATATTGTGGGGTATGTTTAGTATCTTTTGTTTATTATATGTGTGTACAGAGTATATTGTGGGGTATGTTTAGTATCTGTTGTTTATTATATGTGTGTACAGAGTATATTGTGGGGTATGTTAACTTGCTAGATTTGGTGTCTGTTGTTTGTTTATTATATGTGAGTACAGAGTATAATGTTGAATTATATGTTATCATGACTCTGTATGTGCTTTGCTACAATTATTTTACCAAATACACCATGAAAAGTTCTGGTCGTTCTGTTTAGTGTTGTTAGATGATACCAGTTACCATTGCCATTATACCTTGTTATGATCACACTGATGGTTCTGATAAGTAAATGTTTACAACCTTGTTTGCTGCTCTGAATAAGTTTTTGATTTCAGGGTACTAATGGAAAACTTTGGATCTGACTTATTGAACTATAAATATTGGTTTATGTATCTAAGTTATAGCAGTAAAAAGGGGCGGACCATGTAGGATATATATATTCTCTACATATCAACAACACAAACTCGTAGCTAAACACGGAATAATCTGAGATTTATTGATAAATTACATAATACAGAGAACAATTATCCTTTCAAACAACTTTCACACAGTAACCAGTCTATAATGCCAATATGGCTAATTGGTTTACACATGTATAACCACTGTTATAACCCAGTATTTACATATGAAGATTATTCCTACACATGTATAACCACTGTTATAACCCAGTATTTACATATGAAGATTATTTCTACACATGTATACCCACTGTTATAACCCAGTATTTACATCTGAAGATTATTCCTCCATCCACATTTATCTCCACACTAAAACTGTACACAATGCACTCCCATATCACAGAAGAAAAGAATGTTCTTTTACATAGTGAAAAGTAATGCTAAGGGTTTAGCAAGGTCAACGACTTTTTCTCAACATTTAACTTCAGAATAAACAATTATTGAAACAGATAGCCAGGTGAGATCACATTATTCAGGTAACTTCAATGGCTAGGTAGATGGCTTCATAAAAAATCCCCAAAACTATACATGTATATATCTTGGAAATTTGAATTATTTTTTTTTCTGAAAAACCCACTACAAGCTTAAGACATACACTATGTCCTTCAATACCTGATCAAATCTAGTTGTCACCTGGCTCTCCGATCAGAATGTCTGTAACACTGGCACAATAATGATATTATACAGAGGATTGGTATTTATTTTCTCCACTTTATCAAAGTACATTAACATTCGACTAACCAAACCTTGTGACATGTGCTTTAAAATTTTACTTCAGAATGGACTACCCCCCTATACTACTATTTTGATAATCTGACAATCAGATGAATATCCTATTGAAGCGATGAAAACTGCAGCAGACATGGGAAAAGAATGTTATGATACAATCAGCTCTAAACATTGTCACAAAGTCTGTATGGCACATAAAGAGACAAATGCATTCCTCCTAACAATCTATTGGTTGGTAAATTGTTCTTAAAATAGAATATCACACACACACATATATTTACAATTATCAAATACAGTGAACTCGTTACAAATAACAGATATTTCTGCAAAGCTTTATCGTGGATATTGCATGATAATATAAGCAAACATCTATTTAAAGAAAATAATTGAAAATCTAGAAACTTCATAATCAAATCTGAAAACGCTTGGTGTTGTAATGTAGTTCACAACACCATGTAACTCCTGATGGAAACCTTGTACTGTTAATATGCTTGAATCTCCAACAATTCCACCATTTTACTCTTCACTCTATACAGTGTACCATCATAGCCGACTAAATCATAAACACACTCATCAATATAGTTATCACATATACAGGCTTTTAATTTCCTGAATTTTGTTAAGCAATCTGAAAATGAAGAATTTTTACTGTCAGTAAGCCAGTGGGCCAAGTGAAACGTACCATAATTAACTACTGATGAAGCAAGTCATTATTCATCAGATATGTATATATAATAAATATCTGCTGGTTAATCAAAAGACAAATCCTCAAACTACAGATAGATGAATGCAAGCTATAGATCATAAAGCACATGTTACATCAATCCATTCAAAAGGAATACCTCCAATATTAACAAAGTATGTCAGAGTTTTGACGTCACTAACGCACATACAGAGCTTAGAACTCATTTATGAGGGTAGTGTATATCCAGCCTCTTGCTCTCTCATACGAAAACACATTTTTGACACATAAAAATGAAGAAAATTGATTTTGCATCAAAACAAAGTAGTAAATACAAAAAAAAAAAAAAGAAAACATTCAAAATATTATAAAATTAATAACTGGCACCAAAGGGTGTAAAGATTTAAATGCTTTGGTCAGAAAAAATAAAATCTTGGTCGGGAGAAGATACTATATACTGGCATGTAACACTCAAAAGTTTGAAATTTTATATTTTATGATTGGAATTAAAAAGCTAACAATAAAAATAAACAAAACAGGCAATTAAATGTAGATGAATATTTTTCTACAGACTTTGAAATGCTTTGTTAAATCTCATCAATACAGTCACAGGTTAACACTCAAAAAATTCAATCTCAAACAGAGTCTTTTTATGGAAAACAAAACAGAGATAAATTGATAGATAAATACAAGTTTTTAAAAATGAGTCGGTGTAATTCTGAAATATGAAGAAAATCAAAGAATCTTGTAAATGCAATACAGAATCTCATATATTTTACAGACAATGGTTTCCATAAAAATATCCAATCTGGGCCAGTCCAACAGATAATATTCACATGTAGAGTACCCCATGTTTTCATAACTTCTCTTTATCATTCACTGAATATGTGTATGGTTTTATTTCTGACTCTATACATCTTCATATACTGGTTATAAGTAAAGTGAGCACCAGCAAAATTTAAAATCAACAGTTACTAAAGAAACTAAAAATCTCAACATCAACAGGATCCTTTCTTCCTTTTATCTCTCTCACTTTCTGATTTATCAAACTTCTGAAACCCGTATGTGATTTGGGAAGGTTATGCAGCTCTCTAATTTTGTGTCAAAATCAATTTTTCCAATTGAGATTATATCAATATCACAAAAAAGTGTCGTACTGTGCAATGGTACATCGATCTCACCTGTAAGACTTAGCTGGCTCTTGCATAAGCAGTTGAAACGGTTAGACCACTTGAACCTGCACGAAAAACACCAGGTACAGATTGGGATGAAGGCTGGACTGAGGAATGTTTGCCACATGCAGATTAAGGGGTCCAGCCGTACCTATGTAAGTTTTCAGAATTTCAGCGTAAAATAGGGTTGGAGCAATCACATATTTTCAGAAAGGATTGTGTGATTATGGATGAGTGAAATATCAGGAAATTCCGAAAATGTGCATTTTGAATTTTACATAAATCAGGTCCAACATCCAGTACATGTGCATTCGTGTATAGTGGAATAATTCCAGATCACCTGAACCGTTTCAACCAAGGTACACAAATGTGACCTTATTTCTGTAAACTATATTATAATGTTCTTACTGCTGAGTTATCTCCCCTCTGCAATGATACATCAACCTCACCAGGTTAGAAATATTCCTGTAAACTTTATGATGTTCTGTCTAGACAGCAACCTCAGCCTTTCCTTTTGGTGAGTTTTCTGATGAAGATGATTTGCTACTTTGAGAGAATGAGCTCATTTGAAGGTTTTGTACAATAGAAGCAAGTTCCTCATCGTCTGAAAGGTTTCCCTCGCTGTACGATAGATGTGGTGACAGTCTGTAGCCTCTTGCAGCAAAATTGGAGAGTTTTCCACAGGACGCCAACAGGAGCCCTAGGTATGGGGGCGATGGCTTCAGTGGTCGGGATATGTACTCAGGATGGTATTGCACAGCCACAAAGTACTGGTGATCTTTAAAAAGTAAAAATAAAATTCTGTTAGATAGTAGAATCAGATAAATAAGATACTACAGTTAAAGACAAGAGATTTATTCTATATTACATGAATATCAATCAATTTTCCATACATAACTATAATTCATTATCAAAAATTTTTCGAAAGTGCCTGTATTATCAAATGTAAAATTCAATACAATATTGCTTATTATATGCATATAATCACAATTTCTTCTAACATTTCTCATAATATATTACAACAGTACTTCAATTCCTCTATAAATTTCCATCTTTATTATTACTGATTCCACTTTAGAATTTCTTTAAAAATCCTCATCATTATGAGCTGGATTGGAAAAAGAACAAAAACCTACTCTCAAGTTCTAAAATCTCCATCCTTTGTCCATCCTCACTTCGTCCTACAAATTTCATTCCTCGATCCTCAAAGTCTTTGATGTATTTTGGATTTACCTGTTGAAGAGATCAATATATATTTGATAAATCCATGAATAAAGTGCTTCAAAACTATGTTAATATCATGAAGACAGGATGTCACACAACTTTTCTGTGATATATGGCATACCTTCAAAGTAAAGGAACAGTGGCACACTTCTGTCTGAATGATTGTGTGGCATAGTTATCAAATCTCCAATAATTTAACAAAACAAATAAGGGATCCAAGAGGATTCTAGGAGTCCACCATTGGTCTTTATTTTTTTCTTTAAAACTTTAATCTGTCCATTATTTTTGCTCTTCATTGTATGACATTTAAAATACCTCTTAAAAATTTTAAAAGAAATAACAGCCATTTTGCTTTTTCTGATCAGTCTCAAAATCAGAAGGGTACAAAATCTGTGAAGCATCCAGCCAATGTTTCTCAAGAAATAGTGATAACAAACTTTATTAATAAAAAATGACCACCTGTATGGCATTTTGTTTTTTTGTCCAGTGAAAATTCTGACCAGCACAACTTGAGTCCAATTTTAGAAGAATCCATCTAGTATTCAACAAGAAACATTCAAAACAAACTTTCATTGTGAGAATCCAAGACAGCAGCTTGTCAGCCACTTTGTTTTTCACAGTGGTTCAAATAGAAAAGGGAAAAACTCCAGACAAATGCAAACCTAAATATGAAATCTGGGAAAAATACATATTTCTGAAGAAAAAGTGATAACAAATTTTCATGGTCCAACTAGACACTAATTTCAGAATGATCCCTCTAGTATTTCATAGACATACAATAACAAACTTTCATTGTGAGAATCAAAGATGGCTGCTTGTCAGTCATTTTATTTTCCTCATCTGTTCCAAAATTAAAAGGACACAACTAGGGACAAAAGTATACCTACATATGAAAGAGGTCCATCGAGTACTCTACAAGAAATAGTGATAACAACTTTCATTGTCAAGATCTAAGATGGCTATCTGTCCAGTAATTCCTTTTTCTGATCAGTTTGGAAATTACAATGGCACAATTTACCCAAGGACTCCTTCATGTTTGAGAAAGACCCATCCTGTACCATCAAGAAATAGTGATAAAATTATTTTCTATGGATAAATGGATGGACCACAGATGTAGGGGTATTTGAATAGCCCACCATCTGATGACCATGGGCTAAAATGATTACCGATGGATCAATCACTCGGAAATACCTCATATCGATGACGATGTCTTTCCTCCACAAAAGGTGCATTCCCATACAGTTTCTCTGAGGAACAAGAACAAAGATGTTAATTCTGGGCAATAAAAATTTTTGTGATATGCCAGTTAGTGCTACATTCCATTTACAGTTTAGTTTATTTGTTTTCATCTCTTTGACCGACTTGTTGTTATGGCCTGCTAAGACTTACTACAATTACTGAGGTCACATAGAGGACTAATATCAATTTCTGTTACAACTGACACCTGTTTACTTAAATAAGGAAATATAGATATCAGAAAAGCTGCGTCTTTTTGTTATAAAACAGTCAATGTACCATATATTCTTAATTATGAGCCCCATCTTTTCCCCTCGCGAGTCGAGTGTGCAGCTTAGAAGTGGACAAAGAAAAAATTGGCAGGATGGAAAAAACAAAAAATAAACCAAAAAACAACAGGAAGTGTACCAGTATAGCAATACAGCACATGCTCGTCACTTGTTAGTGACTGAAACAGATCGTCTAGAACTGTCATTTGCAATCATGTACAAGATCATTTGAAGATTGAAATAAAAATAACATTCTAACATTCAACACCAGTAGGGCTTATAACCTGGAAAATAAGGTACTATTTATTGCACAAAAATGTCTAATACTATTGAAACAAGTTGTTTATTACATTGATAATATATGTACATTTTACACAGTGTGTACTGTAAACAGTTAATATAGAGGGACAATGCATATCAGTGTTAGTTTGGCAGGTGACTAGGCATGGACTTATTGTCAGATAATTACAGTATATCTCACAACTGCTAATAGTCAAAGTTGATTATGATATACTATAACTTACTCATAACAGAATTTTCCGTTTTGAAGAGTGTTGTGCGTTTGCCTAGCCTCATTGTGGCACCCATGTGTCCTGTATTGTGCTCAGGCATATCAATTACCTGAAAACAGATTTAATTTTAAAATGTAATTTTTGTAAAGCCAACTTTCTGATATTCTATGTCATATTTCCTTCTTATTTTTATAAGTTCAAGCAACCTTAATACTATGGGACAAATAAACATTTAACAATTTGAGTCTGTTTGTTTTTTCACTTTTATAGTCAAACTTTAAATAATATTTTATCTGTAGTTGATATAAATACGACACTTTATTAAAACAGGTACTCCATACATGCCCCTCAATAGAATGGTTGGGGCACTGAGCTTTCAACAAAAGAAACTGAAAATGAAGACAAAATAATACCCTTCCTCCCACACTCCCTAAACTACACACACCTACCATATTCTGTAAGTTCAATTTTAACATTGACTTTGACCATGAATTGATATTGAAAATGTTGTTTACCACAGGGTGCTTAGTATGTGGGTCCACCTCTGTAGAGTGGGCATCACTCCAACCAAGTTCATTGCGGGCGAACTCTATGGCTGCACACTGTAAGCCCAGACATACTCCTAAAAAAAAGAGGTGAAGTAAGAAAACCTCAGAGTTCCTACCTAGCCTGACATAGCAAGGAATAAATGGAATCAGAAGGCAATATTTCTTCTGATATAGAATACTAGCATATTTTTTTATCAAAAGTCATTGATTCCAACTAAAACTGTCATTGTATGTTATTGCTGCAAATAAAATACCAGTTATTTTCACGGGGGTGATATCTTGGATAATTTGCAGTATACAAAAGTGATTGAGAATATTTATTCCATGAAATAATGAGACACTTGTGTATGTCTTTTCACATCAACAGCATGATATTTTAATTCGTTAAAATATAACTTGATCCTTTGAAAAGAAAATCACAAAACTTTTGACTCACGAAAATGACCAGCTACAACTCAATATGATGAAAAATGATTTCTGTAAAAAGTTAACCTGACCTTGATGTTTGACAGAAACATGGTTATAAATAGTCTTTCTAGAGCAATAACCATTTGTTACTTATATTCTGCTACATCCATGCACAAGTAAAATTTTTCAGAAATTGAGAATGTTGTAGATTATTCAGTACATTCTTTTGAATAAGGAATGGGCTTTTATGAAGAGCAATATCTCTTACCCTGCAGTTTGAAGATTAGGAATATTGAATTAGGACACAAAGAAAATGTAAGGACTGCTACAACATTACTATCAACAATGATATTCTGCTTCTTTTCCATTGTTTTCTAAATGGATGAATTAATATCAAATTGATAGTGTTGCTTGCAAAATCTATTTTATTTTCATTTTAAAACCTTGAATTGTGCAATAAAAACACATTTCAGTTATATGAAATTTTCATTATTAATTTCTTAAATTATATAGGACAGTTCCTATCAACTAGATGGAGTGTAGAGACCAGTTGACCAGTGGCTTTGTATTATACTTCTATAAGATAGCATGCAGACTTCTCCATACAAAATATCCACAATATATATATATTGGTAGAAGTTGTAAATTTCACTTACCTAGGAAAGGGACATTTTTTGTTCTGGCCCAATTTGTGGCCAGTATCTTTCCTTCTGTTCCTCGTACACCAAATCCACCAGGCACCAGGATACCACTAAATCAGAAAAAACAATGAAATCCACCAGGCATCAGGATACCACTAAATCAGAAAAAACAATGAAATCCACCAGGCACCAGGATACCACTAAATCAGAAAAAACAATCCACCAGGCATCAGGATACCACTAAATCAGAAAAAACAATGAAATCCACCAGGCACCAGGATACCACTAAATCAGAAAAAACAATGAAATCCACCAGGCATCAGGATACCACTAAATCAGAAAAAACAATCCACCAGGCATCAGGATACCACTAAATCAGAAAAAACAATGAAATCCACCAGGCATCAGGATACCACTAAATCAGAAAAAACAATGAAATCCACCAGGCATCAGGATACCACTAAATCAGAAAAAACAATCCACCAGGCATCAGGATACCACTAAATCAGAAAAAACAATGAAATCCACCAGGCATCAGGATACCACTAAATCAGAAAAAACAATGAAATCCACCAGGCACTAGGATACCACTAAATCAGAAAAAACAATCCACCAGGCATCAGGATACCACTAAATCAGAAAAAACAATGAAATCCACCAGGCATCAGGATACCACTAAATCAGAAAAAACAATGAAATCCACCAGGCATCAGGATACCACTAAATCAGAAAAAACAATCCACCAGGCATCAGGATACCATTAAATCAGAAAAAACAATGAAATCCACCAGGCACCAGGATACCACTAAATCAGAAAAAACAATGAAATCCACCAGGCATCAGGATACCACTAAATCAGAAAAAACAATCCACCAGGCATCAGGATACCACTAAATCAGAAAAAACAATCCACCAGGCATCAGGATACCACTAAATCAGAAAAAACAATCCACCAGGCATCAGGATACCACTAAATCAGAAAAAACATCAATACCACTAAATCAGAAAAAACAATGAAATCATCAGGATACCACTAAATCAGAAAAAACAATGAAATCCACCAGGCATCAGGATACCACTAAATCAGAAAAAACAATCCACCAGGCATCAGGATACCACTAAATCAGAAAAAACAATCCACCAGGCATCAGGATACCACTAAATCAGAAAAAACAATGAAATCCACCAGGCACCAGGATACCACTAAATCAGAAAAAACAATCCACCAGGCATCAGGATACCACTAAATCAGAAAAAACAATCCACCAGGCATCAGGATAGAAAAAACCAGGATTAAATCAGAAAAAACAATGAAATCCACCAGGCACCAGGATACCACTAAATCAGAAAAAACAATGAAATCCACCAGGCATCAGGATACCACTAAATCAGAAAAAAACAATGATGAAATCTACCACATCTCAAAGACATTGATCCAACATTGAGATCTGTGGAAAACTTTCAGACACTCAAAGAAAAAACAGGATTGTAAGGAATTCCTTCAATAATTGTGAAAGAAAAATTGCCACAAAACTACCATGGAACTGTTAATTTTCACAAGATTTATTTTCGTTGATTTTCTGGGTCATCTTTGTCCACAAATTTGTGTTAGAATTCGTACCTAGGTACAAGTAGATTTATTGTGCTACATTCAAATAAATTCAATTAAAACCACCAAAATTGAGCCCCACAAAATATATGATTTCACATATCATGTTAACACAAGCCAAGTGATGACGATAAAACAGGGGAAATGTCTAGACCAAAAGCAGTCTAAAATAATGAAATAGAAAAGTATATGCTTAACTTTACCTCTAGTGTAAAAAAAGATTTTCAACACCTTTTTTAAACGTTTTTATTCTTGAAGAAAAATTGCAGTTGGACCAAAATTTATATCATGTGGAAAGTTTTTGAAAGAAAACAAAATCAGAATTTACTGAATTGAGTAAGCATTCACAATCTAATCAAGAAATGCACTTAAAAGAATGAAAACAAACTGAAATATGAATTTGGCAAAATAACATGATTGGGAGGCAACTTATTTTCGAATGTAATAAGTGCTTGATTGTGTACATACTTAGAGCTAACAAGTTGATGCCAGGCCTCATGGTATTTAGATGGATTCTCCTTCAACATGTCTGTTTCCAGGTGTGTTGCCTCTATGTACTGTAAATAATAGCATTCATTACTTAATATCAGATCAAACAGAAGTGTGATTCTTTATGAATGTGTGAACAAAAGAGGGTACTTAGTGTCAGAGGGCTGTACATATGTTAAGTCTGTGACTGACAAAGGGGACCTAGTGTTACAGGGGTGTATACTCACTCTGAGGTTAAGTCTGTGACTGACAGAGAGGACCTGGTGATACAGGGGTGTATACTCACCCTGAGGTTAAGTCTGTGACTGACAGAGAGGACCTAGTGTTATAGGGGTGTATACTCACCCTGAGGTTAAGTCTGTGACTGACAGAGAGGACCTAATGTTACAGGGGTGTATACTCACTCTGAGGTTAAATCTGTGACTGACAGAGAGGACCTAGTGTTATAGGGGTGTATACTCACCCTGAGGTTAAGTCTGTGACTGACAGAGAGGACCTAGTGTTACAGGGGTGTATACTCACTCTGAGGTTAAGTCTGTGACTGACAGATAGGGAAGAGTGCTTTAGGGCCTTTATCACCGAGGCGTAGGCATCTTCTAGTCGTGTATACTTGCCAACAAGGGCAATGGTTACCTCCTTCAGCATGCGGTCATATCTGTAAACAAAAGAGAAACTTTTCATCTAAGTAGCCAGTATCAATCACAGAAAATGTTAAGAATACTAAAGGTACATGTAATGTTTTTGCCTCCAGCAGTACCTACCCTTGTTGAACTCCCTCTTGTGAATGTCAGACACCATAAATCTATTCACTAGTAATGAAAATGTTTGATTTAAAAGCTACAATTTTATGTTCTCTAAAGGACCGCTCCGAGAGTAGTTGTTAAAAACTTAATAATTTGTGCCCTATAAACAGGGGTTTAATATCTTTAAAATGAGTATTGTGTTTCAATTTTTTTTCCTTCTTACTTTCATTTCTTAAAAATGATTCAGTTTATTCATCGTACAAATAGTGTGGCATCTCAGAATGATACTTATGATGTATCATCCCCATTGATCCTTCGTTACTGTACATTACCATAGTTGTAAATCTAAATTTAGAACTCTTCACACTTAAATAAAATATGTATTTTTTTTCAATTTAAATACAACTTTGTTATTCATTCAGTACATATATTTTAGGTTTATAAATTCATCAATATGCCAAATGGGTAAACTTGGATAAGTGCTAGTTGATCAGCATTGTACAATCACAGTATTTAGGAGAAATGATTAAAAAGCTCAGGCCAGAAGTACAAAGCTCTGGGGAATATATTCACTTCTTTTTTTACTAAATCAGTTATAAACAGTGAAGTTAGTGATTTTTATTTTGGGTTAGAATTCAAGGTAAAGAGCAGACCTCTCCCATTACATGTAAAATACAATTTCAAGGCACATATTCCTTCAAATGTTTCTTAAGTCAGATCATTTGTATTAAGGAAAGAAACAATCCAATACTATTTCAGTTATAAAACACTAAAATTGTTATAATTAATGTTTATAATACTGGTCTCATCTGTCTAAAGGAACACAGATAAAGTTGTACCTGTCAGCCAGATCCCGCCATTTATACATGATGTTACCAATGTGGGGCTTGGACAGCTGTGCCATCTTTAGTCGTTCAATAAGATAGGACGACACGCCCTGCTCTTGTAAGAGTATGGGAACACGATAAATGGAGGACACATCGTGGATGGAAAACACCTGGAGATTAACAAATGAAACATTACCTCATGAAATTTTCCGATATGTTAATATCTTCAATTAAACACAATCTGGTAGAATTTACATTCAACACACACAAAAACCATTTACTACAACTTCAGCATTAACACTCGCACAATTTAACACAACTGGACAGAATTTACCATGAACATTTATGATTGAACACTTTTTGATAAAAATCTCCTCCTTACCTTATGTTTCAATACATACTCCCTTAATGTCATTCAGCAAACAGAAAATTGTTTCCAAAACCCAAATAATACTTAGTGTAATGCTAAATTTCCAGATCCCCTACACACTAACATATATATGAAATATCTGTATGACAACACTACCTGTTCAGGTTCTACGTGACAAAACAAGGAGATTTTTGATTTCACCGAGTCCTCCACTGGATTCTGAGAGCGACAAACAATCTGTAAAAAACAAATATACAAATTTATTAAATCATGATTATATCAACAATATTATCTATAAATTAACATTATATCAACACCATTACCTATAAATTAACATCACATCAACACTATTATCTATAAATTAACATCACATCAACACTATTATCTATAAATTAACGTCATATCAACACTATTACCTATAAATTAACATCACATCAACACTATTATCTATAAATTAACGTCACATCAACACTATTATCTATAAATCAACATCACATCAACACTATTACCTATAAATTAACATCACATCAACACTATTACCTATAAATTAACAACACATCAACACTATTATCTATAAATTAACATCACATCAACACTATTATCAATAAATTAACATCACATCAACACTATTACCTATAAATTAACAACACATCAACACTATTATCTATAAATCAACATCATATCAACACTATTACCTATAAATTAACAACACATCAACACTATTATCAATAATATACATCACATCAAAATTAACAACTATTATCTATAAATCAACATTATATCAACACTATTACCTATAAATTAACATCATATCAACACTATTACCTATAAATTAACAACACATCAACACTATTATCTATAAATTAACAACACATCAACACTATTAGGTATCTATAAATTAACGTCACATCAACACTATTATCTATAAATTAACAACACATCAACACTATTAGGTATCTATAAATTAACGTCACATCAACACTATTATCTATAAATTAACATCATATCAACACTATTACCTATAAATTAACAACACATCAACACTATTATCTATAAATTAACATCACATCAACACTATTATCAATAAATTAACATCACATCAACACTATTATCTATAAATTAACAATACATCAACACTATTATCTATAAATCAACATCAGATCAACACTATTACCTATAAATTAACAACACATCAACACTATTATCTATAAATTAACATCACATCAACACTATTATCAATAAATTAACATCACATCAACACTATTACCTATAAATTAACAACACATCAACACTATTATCTATAAATCAACATCATATCAACACTATTACCTATAAATTAACAACACATCAACACTATTATCAATAAATTAACATCACATCAACACTATTACCTATAAATTAACAACACATCAACACTATTATCTATAAATCAACATCATATCAACACTATTACCTATAAATTAACAACACATCAACACTATTATCTATAAATTAACATCACATCAACACTATTATCTATAAATTAACATCACATCAACACTATTATCTATAAATTAACGTCACATCAACACTATTATCAATAAATCAACATCACATCAACACTATTACCTATAAATTAACAACACATCAACACTATTATCTATAAATTAACAATACATCAACACTATTACCTATAAATTAACGTCACATCAACACTATTATCTATAAATTAACGTCACATCAACACTATTATCTATAAATCAACATCACATCAACACTATTACCTATAAATTAACATCACATCAACACTATTATCTATAAATTAACAACACATCAACACTATTATCTATAAATTAACAACACATCAACACTATTATCTATAAATTAACATCACATCAACACTATTATCTATAAATTAACATCATATCAACACTATTATCTATAAATTAACATCATATCAACACTATTATCTATAAATTAACATCACATCAACACTATTACCTATAAATTAACATTATATCAACACTATTACCTATAAATTAACAACACATCAACACTATTACCTATAAATTAACGTCACATCAACACTATTATCTATAAATTAACATTATATCAACACTATTATCTATAAATTAACATCATATCAACACTATTATCTATAAATTAACATCATATCAACACTATTACCTATAAATTAACATCACATCAACACTATTACATAAATTAACATCATCAACACTATTATCTATAAATTAACATCAACACTATTACCTATAAATTAACACATCATTATCTATAAATTAACATCATATCAACACTATTACCTATAAATTAACATCACATCAACACTATTACCTATAAATTAACATTATATCAACACTATTACCTATAAATTAACATCACATCAACACTATTATCTATAAATTAACATCATATCAATTAACATCATATCAAATTATAAATTAACATCACATCAACACTACCATATAAATTAACATCACATCAACACTATTACCTATAAATTAACATCATATCAACACTATTATCTATAAATTAACATCATATCAACACTATTATCTATAAATTAACGTCACATCAACACTATTATCTATAAATTAACATTATATCAACACTATTACCTATAAATTAACAACACATCAACACTATTACCTATAAATTAACAACATATCAACACTATTATCTATAAATTAATGTCACATCAACACTATTACCTATAAATTAACAACACATCAACACTATTATCTATAAATTAACATCATATCAACACTATTACCTATAAATTAACATCACATCAACACTATTATCTATAAATTAACAACACATCAACACTATTAGGTATCTATAAATTAACAACACATCAACACTATTAGGTATCTATAAATTAACATCACATCAACACTATTATCTATAAATTAACATCATATCAACACTATTATCTATAAATTAACAACACATCAACACTATTATCTATAAATTAACAACACATCAACACTATTATCTATAAATCAACATCACATCAACACTATTATCTATAAATTAACATCATATCAACACTATTATCTATAAATTAACATCACATCAACACTATTACCTATAAATTAACATCACATCAACACTATTATCTATAAATTAACATCATATCAACACTATTATCTATAAATTAACATCACATCAACACTATTATCTATAAATTAACATCATATCAACACTATTACCTATAAATTAACATCACATCAACACTATTATCTATAAATTAACATCACATCAACACTATTATCTATAAATCAACATCACATCAACACTATTATCTATAAATTAACATCATATCAACACTATTATCTATAAATTAACATCACATCAACACTATTATCTATAAATTAACATCACATCAACACTATTATCTATAAATTAACATCACATCAACACTATTATCTATAAATTAACATTATATCAACACTATTATCTATAAATTAACATCACATCAACACTATTACTATAAATTAACAACACATCAACACTATTATCTATAAATAAATCCTTTCTGTAATTAATTGATCATGTGACTATAAACAATCATATGGTCTGAATTACACAAATAAAATCAATGTAGACACAAATAACTTTATAATTCTAACTTGAATTGATGTTTAATACATATTAATGTTCAAGGATTTTTTATTCTAATTTATCTTCAATTAAGTACAAAGATAAACTTTTATTTCCATTAAAAAAACATTATTTCTTTCCTCATGAAACACCCTCATTCTAACTGAACATTCATACAATTTCAAGAATTATTTCACATTAAAATCAAGTTCAATTTTATCCACCTATAAAAAAGTATACATCATTAGAAATACATTTTAAACAAATGAATTTTGTCACTATTGACTGAGCTCTACTTTTAACCTTAGGTATAATTCATTTGTGTACTTTTGTTCTGTTGATAGCTAGCCTAACAAACCGAAATTTGTAAAATACAACTAAACCAAGGAATCCAGGCATTGATGCTCCAACTTGTTTATTTATTTCACTGTCAAATGTAGTTTACATTTAAATGTAACAATAAAGTTTCATTTTATAATGAGAAACTGAAAATGTTTATTACCATCTAGATCAACCATGTACTTCCACTTTGCTATCATAAATGGGTTTACCATATCATATTTCAAGGGTTTAACTAGATCATGTACTACTACTGTGCTATAATATGTTTACTTCAACCATTAATACTTTTAAGAAGAAATCTTACCAGATCAGGACTGAGGCCTAGACCACGCAGTTCTCTCACACTGGACTGTGTCGGCTTGGATTTCTGCTCACCTGTAGCTTGTGGCTGTAGATGTAACAAAATCATTATCTCCCTTGTATTTTCAGTGTTTGACTGTTATATTTGTTCTTAACTCTAATCTTATTGTTTGGACTTTATACCAGTAGATTAGTCTGTACAAGTTGCCAGACATTTTGCTAGTAGATATACCTGGTAGATGTGACACCCGATTATTAAATAGATAACAAGTTTGAGAAATACCGGGTATTTATGGAATAACAATTCAAATCATCCACTCTTACCAGGGACTTTTAACATTTTTTTTACTGAAGCAGTTCTAATTGATAATTTTAATAGTACAATGGTTCTATGATGATGGACATTACGACTATCAATCATCAGATAGACTTGTGATGTATTATACTGAACTTTTTACAGGTAAATATGAATCTGTCGAGAAAACTGTATTGAGAATTGACGTCTGATTTTTTTCACTTTACCTATCATTTGAACCAGTAATTTTTTATAAACCTTACCTGTGGAACAAGACTGACATGGACCAGGCAGTAGTCTTCCCTTTTCACACGGAACTGAAAGAACTGGCGAAAGCCTTCAATGAAAGGCATGCCTTCTATATCACCGATAGTGCCCCCAAGCTGTCAACAGAAGAGTAAATGCTTAAACCTTCTGGTTTGGTACAGTTTTATAAGAAACAGCTATTGCTTACAAGATTAAACAATTACTGAATACAACAGTATTCATATATCCACAGGTCTAAGACATTACCCATAATACCCTGCTTTTGAATTCAGGAAGTCAATTATCAAGCACTTAAATATATTAAAGCACTGACCTCTACTATACAGACTTCTGGCTGCATGTTGTCTCCGTCTACTGGTATCTTTGCCACTCTCTCCACCCATTCCTGTATAGCATCCGTAATGTGGGGCACAACTAAAAACAGACATTACAAAAGGTTCTGTAACATCTACACAATTTTGTGTTGCAGCGATCAATGTTCACTAATAACAATGTATATGCTACTTTGAGTAGAACAATTTATAGTACTGTATTCGAAGCCTAAAGATGATAAGTTAGAGATATGTAATGAAGGGCCTCCCTATAACTGCTACAAGCTATCACCTATATAGGTTTATTAATCCTGTTACATGGGTTAACAGTAATACTCCTACCAGTTTAAATTGGTTTCAAATCTGGATACAGATTATGGTTTTAGAATGATAACCTGTCTATAAAGACAATTGACTTTGCTCCTGATGTAAAAAATTTAAAGTAATTCAACCTTTCAATAATGGCCACTTGTGTTAGTTCCTGAATAAAATTAATGATAAATGGACCTTTACATCAAGGCCATTCATCTTCCTCAAAATCTAATTACTTTGGAAGCTGAGGTATAATCTATAGTAACTGAATCTCTCTATAAAGGCCAGCTGCTTACTGAGACTAATTGTTTTGATGTAGCACTAATCCTAAGGCCACCTGTCCATAAAGACCACTTTTATCTGACCATTATATACAGGTCAGCTTGACTTTGAGGCATAACCGACTTATATTTAAACCAATCAATAATCAATTATACTTATTTTTCTTCACTGCAGTGTTCTTATCCCCTAGCTGCAGTGTTAAGTCACTTCACAGGTTAAACTTCTTCAAAAATCACAGATATTGCACAAATGGTGAGACTCAGAATTGTTGTATTTATCCAGCAATAAGAACAAGTCTAGTATTAAGCTCAAGCCTATAATTATTTACAGTAAAATAATAAACATGTTAATTGATGTTCTATTAGAAGCCAAGCCTGATGTTGGGTAATCTGTTGGTTCCCTGGGTTTACGACAGGATAAATACAGTAAGCCCACTCTGTTTTAACTGACTGAAGACATGATGATTGTAAGTCCGGAAATTAAAAAGTCAATGTCAGGAATTTAATTACTCAATTTTCTATTTAAGCACCATGGTAATGACACAATGATTTTATCAGAGGAGTTTATAGTACAACAAGCTGCTCGTAAACTGAAGCAAAGAAATTCTCTAGTCAATATTGATATCATTTTTTCACACCTCATTTCACAAAACTTATTGTCAACAACATATATTAAGATTTTGTTACAGATTCATGTCAGAATTTGTTGCATAAAATTTTGAAATTATAGGTGAAAACTTGTAAAGCATATAAAATACAACGATTCATATGGTTGATACCTTTATACCTGGTGATCATAAGCTTATAAATCATCCAAGCCTTTTATGCTTCTGTGCACATGTACAAACATTATGTTCAACAACATGCTTATCTATGAAATCTTATGAGTCAGACTTTATTTTAAAAAAGTTCTTGTTAGGACCTTTGCATGCGGTTAAGAGCTTGCCAAAACTCGGCTTCATTGATTTGGACTTAATGTGTTGTTCACCACTGTACCTGGTCATGACAGAATTTTGATGATTTGTAATATTATTAATAATTTAGCTTTATAACTCATGACCTTTCACGTCTTGTCACCATTTTGGCTTCAACGGTAAAATCTGAAAACATGTTTCCATAACTCAATTATTTACTCAAAGCTGTATGACACACAGACAATAGAGTGACTCACCATTACAACCCCTTATTGAGCTAATAATTGCATTAGTTCTCACCTTGCACTGTTTTTCCAAGATAATCTCCCCTTCTTTCCCTGTTGATGACATGTTGGTATATTTTACCAGTGGTGATGTTATTGTCACGGTGCAGCTTGATATCCATGAAGCGTTCATAATTACCAAGATCTAAATCTACTTCTCCACCATCATCCAACACAAACACCTCACCTGTAACACAGTCATTTTCCTCGATTCCTTTGTACAGATACACAATGGTTATCAGATGTAATGACAGTAAACTATGTATCTATTTATAGATACATTAATTTTGTTCATATCAACTTATTGTCATTAATAAAAAACAATACAAGAATTAGCTAAATGTTTCCACATTTCATTGATTAATTCCTAATACATCAATATATATATAAAACAGCCATCAATAAAGGTCAAAGTAGATTTTGACTAAAGTCTCCTTTTTCACACCTAACTTATATTTTGTTATAGCAACCACAATCACCTACCTGAAAATACTTCACAGAATTCAAATAGATTTATTTCTTCTGACTGTATTTCATTTCAAAAATTGTTTTCCAGAACATTAGATAAAGCTGAAGTGTCATGCCCAAGGACAAACCATAACAGCATCAACCAGTTCATTTCTCACTTTCTGAGAAACAAGCTGCCAAAGGTAGGGAGCATTGCATCACACATCTCAGATTTTCACCTGAGGTTATCTTGACAAACACTCTAATCGATTAAGCTATTCAGACATGCCCACAACCACTCACCCCATCCACCACACTTTCCACCCTTGTCACACAAAAAATGAGAAGGAAACAACATGTCTAATAGGTATAAGAGGTTAACAAAGATGCATGAATTAAAATAGTTTATATATTTGCCAGGTATATATGTGTACTGAAGAAATGATGTTAAATACAGGTTATAATTTATTATCATTTATACTGATTAATCAAAATACAATTTAATGGGTACTGACAAGACTTAAATCTAGGACTTACCATGTTCATACGGAGAGAATGTGCCTGCATCAATGTTGATGTACGGGTCAATTTTGATGGAGGTGACTCTGATGCCACAGGATTTGAGAATGACCCCTAGACTGCTGGCGATGACACCTTTGCCAATACCACTAATTACCCCTCCTGTTACTAGTATATACTTCATACCTCCTCCCACCACTTTTCTTACAAGATTCGCCAGTGTGATTTCAGTGTGCCTAAAAAAATTAATCCTTACATAAATGTTCAATTACATTCATCCTGTATAGTTCAATCCAGAACAAAAATTTTCTTTGTTAATCTTTTGTGTTACGATGTCCAAATATATAGACATACAAGTCTATATATATATATTAGTTGTTTTTTCATAAGCTTCAGCACGTTAGATGGCCCTGTATTTATCATGCAATAACTGATTAAGCAGTGGGGCCAAACAAAGCAGAATGGGTTTATTACTGGACAACTGATCAGAATTTGTAAACTGTTCTACTAAAACTCAAATAATCATTCTTATTACTAAGTATAATGTATCAGCCTTTTTCATCACATTAGTCAAGGTAAATGCAGCTCTATTGTCAGGATAAGATTACGTACATCATGTCATGTAAAAACCCATAGACATAGTTTGAATTATTTTTCATTTCCAGAATAAGTCATTTTATTTCTTTATTTTTCCTGTCAATTAGAATGAACAAAACAGAGTATGAGTATTTGTTCTTACAAACATCCATATATAGGTTCAAGTCATATATCATGTCTATTTGCAGTTACTATTTTTAAATCCATAACGTACTTAAAAAACCCTCCATACAAAAACCAAAGGGGACAAGACCCTCTGTACAAAAACCAAAGGGGACGAAAATGACATAGTCAAGCGGGTGGGATTATTCGTAGGAAAATGAAATAGCGTATGCTTTTAATTCTGCAGAACAACAATATTTTTATTAAAAGATATGATCCTTCATTGTGTCATGTAGGTCGGAACGAAGGAGATCTGATATATACTTGTATAATGTGCTCTCAGCTGTAACATCGAACAGTTGAAATTAGCGACCGTCTAGCGACCGACTTGGTAATCTTACCGTAGAATTGTTTCACATATACATATCTTTTCTCGCTTAATCGAGATATAAAAAAAATGAACAAAATGTAAATCATGATCACATTGAACTTAACATATCTTTTTAACTCATAACTTCAACAGCTGATTGGCAGCGCACACAGATAAACACCACGTGTCTGTCCAATATTAACACGCGTTTTGAATGATAATAGCTATAATTTCCGTTTTTACTGATTAAGTAGAAAAACCAAACAAAATAAATATCGTTAACACATATTGTGATCAACAAGAAGAAACAAAAACGCTTTTTTTCCGTGTTTTTTCCCACGAGACATTACCTTGCCTTCTCGTCAGAATAGTTCGTCCGTTCGTACTGTTGGCGGGTATCTGTGGAACAGTCCGAGATAACCCGAATGTTGTGAAGAGTAATTGACGATCCGGACGATTGGTTCCGGAGGCGAACTTTTGCAAATGATATTTATCACTTTAACCAACATGATGTGTTTATATATATATATGTTGATAATATTGGAACAAACATTAGATTACCCATCAATGTTTTAGGAAGTACGTCCTGCTTTATGCAATATAATGAGAGAAAAGATATAACTAATTTAGAATTACACATACTGGCTTACAAAAATACTAACTTTTCCATTTGAGCAACATATAAGGTGGTCTCTTAGAACTTTGAAAGCAGACGCAGAGTAGACTTTTATAATGTAACATAATAGGAGTGGGGAAATGCATAGAAAGACCCGGCCAGGGTTCAAAGACGGATGCAGTAATATTCTCATACATGGTTATTGACGATAATAAAAAAAAAAAAAAAAAAATGATTTTATGAAACCTTTTGGTAGATATATAGTCAGCATTGCTGTGAATCCAGAATTGCAATTTATATATACTTGTATATAATGTACGTGAAAACAGAGACATTCATTTCGGATGTAGTGTATTAATTTGTGACTGGTCGTGTACTATCTGCAAAATCACATGCGGTTAGCAAGAACTTCTCTTAGCTAGGTATTAAGTGTCTGACTAGTAAACCAGAGGTCACAGATCTTCCCTTAGCAAGGTGTTTAGTGTCTGACTAGTAAACCAGAGGTCACAGAACTTCCCTTAGCTAGGTGTGTAGTGTCTGACTAGTAAACCAGAGGTCGCAGAACTTTCCTTAGCTAGGTGTTTAGTGTCTGACTAGTAAACCAGAGGTCACAGAACTTCCCTTAGCTAGGTGTTTAGTGTCTGACTAGTAAACCAGAGGTCACAGAACTTCTCTTAGCTAGGTGTTTAGTGTCTGACTAGTAAACCAGAGGTCACAGAACCTCTCTTAGCTAGGTGTTTAGTGTCTGACTAGTAAACCAGAGGACACAGAACCTCTCTTAGCTAGGTGTGTAGTGTCTGACTAGTAAACCAGAGGTCACAGAACTTCCCTTAGCTAGGTGTTTAGTGTCTGACTAGTAAACCAGAGGACACAGAACCTCTCTTAGCTAGGTGTGTAGTGTCTGACTAGTAAACCAGAGGTCACAGAACTTCCCTTAGCTAGGTGTTTAGTGTCTGACTAGTAAGCCAGAGGTCACAGAACTTCCCTTAGCTAGGTGTTTAGTGTCTGACTAGTAAACCAGAGGTCACAGAACTTCTCTTATCTAGGTGTTTAGTGTCTGACTAGTAAACCAGAGGTCACAGAACTTCTCTTAGCTAGGTGTGTAGTGTCTGACTAGTAAACCAGAGGTCACAGAACTTCCCTTAGCTAGGTGTTTAGTGTCTGACTAGTAAACCAGAGGTCACAGAACTTCCCTTAGCTAGGTGTGTAGTGTCTGACTAGTAAACCAGAGGTCACAGAACTTCCCTTAGCTAGGTGTTTAGTGTCTGACTAGTAAACCAGAGGTCACAGAACTTCCCTTAGCTAGGTGTGTAGTGTCTGACTAGTAAACCAGAGGTCACAGAACTTCCCTTAGCTAGGTGTTTAGTGTCTGACTAGTAAACCAGAGGTCACAGAACTTCCCTTAGCTAGGTGTTTAGTGTCTGACTAGTAAAGTGTCTGACTAGTAAACCAGAGGTCACAGAACTTCTCTTATCTAGGTGTTTAGTGTCTGACTAGTAAACCAGAGGTCACAGAACTTCCCTTAGCTAGGTGTTTAGTGTCTGACTAGTAAACCAGAGGTCACAGAACTTCCCTTAGCTAGGTGTTTAGTGTCTGACTAGTAAACCAGAGGTCACAGAACTTCCCTTAGCTAGGTGTGTAGTGTCTGACTAGTAAACCAGAGGTCACAGAACTTCCCTTAGCTAGGTGTTTAATGTCTGACTAGTAAGCCAGAGGTCACAGAACTTCCCTTAGCTAGGTGTTTAGTGTCTGACTAGTAAACCAGAGGACAGAACTTCTCTTATCTAGGTGTTTAGTGTCTGACTAGTAAACCAGAGGTCACAGAACTTCTCTTAGCTAGGTGTGTAGTGTCTGACTAGTAAACCAGAGGTCACAGAACTTCCCTTAGCTAGGTGTGTAGTGTCTGACTAGTAAACCAGAGGTCACAGAACTTCCCTTAGCTAGGTGTTTAGTGTCTGACTAGTAAACCAGAGGTCACAGTACTTCCCTTAGCTAGGTGTTTAGTGTCTGACTAGTAAACCAGAGGTCACAGAACTTCCCTTAGCTAGGTGTTTAGTGTCTGACTAGTAAACCAGAGGTCACAGAACTTCCCTTAGCTAGGTGTGTAGTGTCTGACTAGTAAACCAGAGGTCACAGAACTTCCCTTAGCTAGGTGTGTAGTGTCCGACTAGTAAACCAGAGGACACAGAACCTCTCTTAGCTAGGTGTTTAGTGTCTGACTAGTAAACCAGAGGTCACAGAACTTCCCTTAGCTAGGTGTGTAGTGTCTGAATAGTAAACCAGAGGACACAGAACCTCTCTTAGCTAGGTGTTTAGTGTCTGACTAGTAAACCAGAGGTCACAGAACTTCTTTTAGCTAGGTGTGTAGTGTCTGACTAGTAAACCAGAGGTCACAGAACGTCCCTTAGCTAGGTGTTTAGTGTCTGACTAGTAAACCAGAGGTCACAGAACTTCCCTTAGCTAGGTGTTTAGTGTCTGACTAGTAAACCAGAGGTCACAGAACTTCCCTTAGCTAGGTGTGTAGTGTCTGACTAGTAAACCAGAGGTCACAGAACTTCCCTTAGCTAGGTGTTTAGTGTCTGACTAGTAAACCAGAGGTCACAGAACTTCCCTTTGCTAGGTGTTTAGTGTCTGACTAGTAAACCAGAGGTCACAGAACTTCCCTTAGCTCGGTGTGTAGTGTCTGACTAGTAAACCAGAGGTCACAGAACTTCCCTTAGCTAGGTGTTTAGTGTCTGACTAGTAAACCAGAGGTCACAGAACTTCTCTTAGCTAGGTGTTAAGTGTCTGACTTGTAAACCAGAGGTCGCAGAACCTCTCTTAGCTAGGTGTTTAGTGTCTGACTAGTAAGCCAGAGGTCACGGAATTAAAAATGACCTCAGACATTATTGGGTAGTGACTAGTCCAATCATCCTAAAAGACCTGCATGCAGATCATCATCTTATATCTTGTGTTATACAAGCTGAATGAAGCTATGTATGTTTATATGGAGTTGATCCTTCTGTTATGTGAACTTTTTTGCACACAAGCTTTATATTGTACATGAGCTTTTCTTTTGAAGTAAGTTTTTTTTCTCATGCTCATATGAAATGCAAACAAGGCAACTGTTCTATTTCTTGTAATAATAGCTACCTGCTCTTACATATACAGATTTTGAGCATACTTTGTTATGAGAAACCTATCTCTAAGTACCTCTCAAGAAACATCAATAAAAAAAACTATTGTCAATATCCAAGATGGCTACCTGTCAATCATTTAGCTTTTCTCATCAGTGATCACTGCGCAATATACGAGACCAATGGGAATCTATATGAACTCCAGAACTATACTCCAGACATAACTAACCATCCCGTCCCAGATACTATACTCCAGACATAACTAACAACCCCGTCACCAGATACTATACTTTTTGTGTACTCCAGACATAACTAACAAAGATACTATACTCCAGACATAACTAACCACCCCCCAGATTATTATATTTCTTACATTCCTAACAACCCCCCATATACTCCAGACATAACTAACAACCCCACCTCCAGATACTATACTCCAGACATAACTAACAACCCCCCAGATACTATACTCCAGACATAACTAACAACCCCCCAGATACTATACTCCAGACATAACTAACAACCCCGACACCAGATACTATACTCCAGACATAACTAACAACCCCCCAGATACTATACTCCAGACATAACTAACAACCCCCAGATACTATACTCCAGACATAACTAACAACCCCCCAGATACTATACTCCAGACATAACTAACAACCCCCCAGATACTATACTCCAGACATAACTAACAACCCCGTCACCAGATACTATACTCCAGACATAACTAACAACCCCCCAGATACTATACTCCAGACATAACTAACAACCCCCCAGATACTATACTCCAGACATAACTAACAACCCCACCAGATACTATACTCCAGACATAACTAACAACCCCCCCAGATACTAAACTCCAGACATAACTAACAACCCCGTCCCCAGATACTATACTCCAGACATAACTAACAACCCCGTCACCAGATACTATACTCCAGACATAACTAACAACCCCCCAGATACTATACTCCAGACATAACTAACAACCCCGTCCCCAGATACTATACTCCAGACATAACTAACAACCCCGTCACCAGATACTATACTCCAGACATAACTAACAACCCCCCAGATACTATACTCCAGACATAACTAACATACTCCAGACATAACTAACAACCCCCCAGATACTATACTCCAGACATAACTAACAACCCCACCTCCAGATACTATACTCCAGACATAACCAACAACCCCATCCCCAGATACTATACTCCAGACATAACTAACAACCCCGTCACCAGATACTATACTCCAGACATAACTAACAACCCCCCAGATACTATACTCCAGACATAACTAACAACCCCCCAGATACTATACTCCAGACATAACTAACAACCCCCCAGATACTATACTCCAGACATAACTAACAACCCCCCAGATACTATACTCCAGACATAACTAACAACCCCGTCACCAGATACTATACTCCAGACATAACTAACAACCCCCCAGATACTATACTCCAGACATAACTAACAACCCCCCAGATACTATACTCCAGACATAACTAACAACCCCACCTCCAGATACTATACTCCAGACATAACTAACAACCCCACCCCCAGATACTATACTCCAGACATAACTAACAACCCCGTCACCAGATACTATACTCCAGACATAACTAACAACCCCCCACCCCCCAGATACTATACTCCAGACATAACTAACAACCCCCCAGATACTATACTCCAGACATAACTAACAACCCCCCAGATACTATACTCCAGACATAACTAACAACCCCCCAGATACTATACTCCAGACATAACTAACAACCCCCCCCCAGATACTATACTCCAGACATAACTAACAACCCCACCCCCAGATACTATACTCCAGACATAACTAACAACCCCCCACCAGATACTATACTCCAGACATAACTAACAACCCCGTCACCAGATACTATACTCCAGACATAACTAACAACCCCCCAGATACTATACTCCAGACATAACTAACAACCCCCCCAGATACTATACTCCAGACATAACTAACAACCCCCCAGATACTATACTCCAGACATAACTAACAACCCCCCAGATACTATACTCCAGACATAACTAACAACCCCGTCCCCAGATACTATACTCCAGACATAACTAACAACCCCCCAGATACTATACTCCAGACATAACTAACAACCCCCCAGATACTATACTCCAGACATAACTAACAACCCCGTCACCAGATACTATACTCCAGACATAACTAACAACCCCACCCCCAGATACTATACTCCAGACATAACTAACAACCCCCCAGATACTATACTCCAGACATAACTAACAACCCCGTCACCAGATACTATACTCCAGACATAACTAACAACCCCCCAGATACTATACTCCAGACATAACTAACAACCCCCCAGATACTATACTCCAGACATAACTAACAACCCCCCAGATACTATACTCCAGACATAACTAACAACCCCCCCAGATACTATACTCCAGACATAACTAACAACCCCCCAGATACTATACTCCAGACATAACTAACAACCCCCCAGATACTATACTCCAGATACTATACTCCAGACATAACTAACAACCCCACCCCCAGATACTATACTCCAGACATAACTAACAACCCCCCAGATACTATACTCCAGACATAACTAACAACCCCCCCCAGATACTATACTCCAGACATAACTAACAACCCCCCCAGATACTATACTCCAGATAACAACCCCAGACATAACTAACAACCCCCAGATACTACCCAGACATACTATACTCCAGACACTATAACAACCCCCCCAGATACTATACTCCAGACATAACTAACAACCCCGTCACCAGATACTATACTCCAGACATAACTAACAACCCCACCCCCAGATACTATACTCCAGACATAACTAACAACCCCACCCCCAGATACTATACTCCAGACATAACTAACAACCCCCCAGATACTATACTCGACATAACTAACAACCCCACCTGCAGATACTATACTCCAGACATAACTAACAACCCCCCCAGATACTATACTCGACATAACTAACAACCCCCCAGATACTATACTCCAGACATAACTAACAACCCCGTCAGACATAACTAACAACCACTATACTCCAGACATAACTAACAACCCCGTCACCAGATACTATACTCCAGACATAACTAACAACCCCCCAGATACTATACTCCAGACATAACTAACAACTCCCCCAGATAATATACTCCAGACATAACTAACAACCCCCCAGATACTATACTCCAGACATAACTAACAACCCCGTCACCAGATACTATACTCCAGACATAACTAACAACCCCGTCACCAGATACTATACTCCAGACATAACTAACAACCCCCCAGATACTATACTCCAGACATAATAAATTTTCCCAAAAATCAAGATAATTACATGGTTTTCTATAGCTAATAAACACAAACTAGTGTTCCATAGTACTCTGTTCTTAGAATGCCAATACTTGCCCAACACTGTTAACATTACAAAAAGCACCTGAAACGTATAATCAGATAAACAGAAATAAACGTCAGACAATTTAAATCAAACCTGATGAAACAACTTAATATAATTCTGAAAAATAATTGGGCTTGGCAAGAACACTTTGTGGTGAATACCATTTCCAACATCTTACACAACTTGACACAAAAGTAAGATCTTTAAAATCAATAGACATTTTCCTAAAAACAACTTTGGAATGAGAAAAATTTAATGCAAAATTATCAGGAATAAACAGGTTCAAATCAGGGCTAAAACATCACCATAAAAGATTTCAACAAATTCATATCAAGAATGTGATTAAAATGAATAAAACAGGTGTTGACCTATGATGTGGGAGGAACAATTAAATTCATCCTTAACAGACACAGTCAGTATGAAGGATTGTTTAAATAGAAACAAAATTGGTCATTAAATGTTTCAAAGAGATGCTTTCAAGGTCTGTTTCAGTATTTATACAACAGGCAATTAAAACGAAGATGCAATGTCATTCTGTATATAACCAAAATGTCAGAGTCCTACGATCTTGTAAAAGTCATATACCTACAGGTACAAGATTTCAATGGTCATTGTTTTAAATCAAGACAAAATAAAATTGTATCCATCACCTCGTAATACAAACATATTGGATGAAATACCGCACAAATCAGAAAGCGTTTATAAGATGTGAATTTCTACTCTGCTGATCGGACACCAAAAGGAAAGGTCATGTGTAATATTACATGATCCCATTCCTACCAATCTACATTTCAACAGAGTATTTGGTAAACCTATCATAAAGCACATCTTATTGAGTCCATCCTGGGACACAATGTATATAAGTACATTCTATAATACATAAAAAAAAACCACTAATATACAATGTCTGTGAATTATTATTACTTCAACAGGGCAAGAAGTTGAAAATGTTTTTTGGCAGTATGCTCCCCTGGGAGTTGAGAGAGTTTGGTTAGTAGCATTGATAATGATTTGTGAACCAATTAGAGAAAGCCATTTTGCTGTGATAAAGTGAAGAAACTGATATTAGTACTGGTATATTGTAGACACCAATTTTGTCTTGAACTTAATAAAAACAAACTTTCTGGTCAGGGAAATCACATTACAATGTACCAAATCTATCAACATTGGACCACAGACTGATACAAATAAACTAATAAAGGACGGAAAAATTAAATACCACCTCACTAGCATTTTGCGCCAACAGAACTAGAAAAAAAAAATTTCATTTAGGATAATGATTCCTCATCTTTTCTGTATTCAAACTGATGAATTTCTAAAGGAAGGAAAATAATTAAAAAAAAAACGAAGGGCAAATTACAATGTTTTTAATAAAATCCCTCTCACATCTACTGTGCAATGCTTCTAATCCCTATTTAGTCACAAGATCTGGTTGTCTCCCTTTAGCAAATGCTATATGCACATAACAGCTCCCATTTTGGCTTCTATTTGTCAAAGCAATACTACTTTGACAAAGTGCAAGCTGAAAAGTTTAGATTACAAGTACATAAAGAGCTTCCTACTGATTCTAAAACTCTCACAGGATCTTTACAAAGTCTTCACCAAAGAAAAAAGCTCATTTATGTCTTGTATGGTAAATTTTCTATATTACATACTTCAAAGAGGGAGACTTTTCAAGAAATAAAAACTATTTACAACTTTTCAATATAATTGATTTGATAATAATGTAAACTAGAGTATTTCATTCTAACAAAAGATGACTAGTCTTCAAATGATAAATAGGTAAGTAAAATGTATTATGTTAAAATTGATCGGTTTCAAATGAGATTCTGTCTAACATCATTAAGTAGACACTTCATTTCTTGAATATACTGCATCATATTTGAATATACTGCATCATATTTGAATATACTGCATCATATTTGAATATACTGTTATCGTATTTGAATATACTGTTATCATATTTGAAAATACTGTTATCATATTTGAATAAACCTGTATCATATTTGAAAATACTGGTATCATATATACACATTACAAAGCAATATCTTTCGACAACTTATATCAAACCAACAAACTTAGTCCCAGTAACGCCACCGGTATTAAAGATCTGACAACAAAGTCTTCCTCTGGGATGAGGCTATCAACACAACATATCTTTAACAATAGCAGGTTTATCTACATATCTACTGGTAAACTAAATCTGCCTGTAAATCAGAATCTGTAATTGAAGATTTTGATCATTTTTATATGTACCTTTTGAAAAATAAACATCAAAGAAAATTGCCAGATGTAACAAAATCTAAGTATTTATAACCTACCTAGAATAAACATTTTCTAGATTGTCAGTTAGCACTCATTATCTGCACCAAATCACCATCAGTTGAACATTAAATTATCACATCATTTTGAATTTCTGAAGGCACACATAGAGATCTGAACATACAAGGTGATGAGGTATACATCTGAATACAGTGTACACAGTATTTTACTTAAGGAAATACTCTTTCTGTACAACTTCCGTTAAGATTACTTAGACTAGCACTTACAGTGAAAACTGATTAGATATGTTCATTCCTTAGTCACTTTCTTCACACTCTAGTTAGCAAATGTGTCTCCCATTGGAATCCAGATGTTCTTACACTGTACCGATTGGTAAAGGAACTCTTCGCCTTCTCCTTGTTCGGAATCCTTCCAGTCACGATCTATCCCATAATTCACCCAGGTTCTCTTTACATTCTCTGCTGAAGTATACTCCACGAAGCCTGACCCTTCAGCACTGCCAAAGTACCACATGGACTGGACATCCTGATGCTCTGTTAAGTATTTACTCAGGTGGTCCCTGTCTCCAGTCAATATGTTTACCACACCGCCAGGCAGGTCTGAGGTGTCAAACACCTGAAAAAATCACACTATTACTGAGGGTTCAGATCAGATTTATCTGAAAGAGATTCTCAATTTCTGAGAAAGACGGTGAATGTGTCTGTAGATTTATATTTGAGACTTACCTGATAGAGATCAAGAGCAGAGATAGGATACTTCTGGCTGGGAACAATGACAATCGTGTTACCCCTAATAACAGCAGGGGCAAAGAGGGACACAAAACCAAGGAGGGGATAATCATCTGGACAGGCAATACCTATCACACCCACAGGCTCATGAATCTTTACTGTGGCACCATACAGAGTCGTCTCCTGCAAAATTAAACAGGACAGTAGAAAATTAATACATTTTATGTGAGAGTAACAAAATTGGTCATTAAATGTTTCAAAGAGATGCTTTCAAGGTCTGTTTCAGTATTTATACAACAGGCAATTAAAACGAAGATGCAATGTCAGTAGAAAATTAATACATTTTATGTGAGAGTAACAAAAAAAGCCATGGATGATATTTTGACACTTATTCATTAATAACACTGACCTTGACCTTTAACTATGAAATTTACAAAAACAAATGTCATCCTGGACCTTTCTATGAAATCTGATCTGATCAAAAACCTCCTAAAGAAATGTTTGATCAAAGACATGATAATTATTTTAATGGTTAACATCACTTTGGTGAAATATTAAATAAGTCAAGCTATTCTCACAAGTCTTGGTTTTAAATAATTTTTTATACAAAAATTCCTATGGAAATCAAGTAATTATGCAATGTCACTGAAATTCAACCTCTGAAACAGTCATTTGAGGTATTCAGATATTAACTATTACACATCATTATCCAAGTGATGACCATCCGAGTATAACCTTGCAGAGTGCTTTGGAAAGTAGAAAAAAAAACATGAGACTGATGTAGACAACAATGTAAGTCTGTCTTTACTTTAACATGGGCATAAAAAACAGGTGATAAGTGGATCTAATGGCTGGTTGACTGAAAAACACTACCGGTATACCATGATAAAAAATACCACTGACTAGAAAAGAAATATCTGATGTAATTGATTCCTTCCATTCTGTCAGTTTCTACACCCACAAATAGTCAGTACACAGGAAAGGAAGGCATGGGACAAACCTGTACAGTTCCACCATACTTGTCGCAGTAGGCACCCCAGTGGAACAAACGTTTCACTGACAAGTCTACTTCAGTGCGACAGTCATCCATGCTCTTCCCCGTCATCTGACCTATTCTGGTGGCCACTTCGTCTCGTCTCAGCTCCAAGTTCTCAGCCATATAGTAGGTGATCTGGGCCCTGTTGTGAGCTGCTCTCTTACCCCAACTGACAACAAAGTTATACAAGTTATGCATAACATTTGCTACACAGAATGTTCGGCATTGTAAAATTTTGATATCTTAATATATCAGTGGCTTTCAGAAATAGATGAATGGACCACAGCACTCTTTAATAATGAAATTTTACAACATAATATTTCATTTACCTGAGTCAATATCTCAGTTTTTTTAAACGTTACAATGTATTTGTTCAGGATTTAAATTATGTACACCTTACCTGACACTTCGTAACTCTGTTATAAATGTGTGATTAACTATACCTACCCAGGAAATGCTGCACGAGCTGCCTCTACTGCATTCCTCACATCTTTTCTGTTTCCCTCTCCAACATGACCTACAACCTTTCCATTAGTACCAATCACTGGCCTTGCATAAGGAGCATCAGGTCGTTTCTGTGCACCACCATAATACATCTTGTATGTCCGGTCTATTCTGTAATCATAATGTCCAACATTTTCAATTATCAATTAACTTTAATATACTTCAAGCATTAGAGACCAGTTTGACTTACTAAGCAGATGTAATGGTGTTGGACCAGTTTGACACACTATGCATTTGTAATCCCATCACATACTCTGGTATGTTGACCCCATCACTTACTCTGGTATGTTGACCCCATCACTTACTCTGGTATGTTGACCCCATCACTTACTCTGGTATGTTGACCCCATCACTTACTCTGGTAGGTTGACCCCATCACTTACTCTGGTATGTTGACCCCATCACTTACTCTGGTAGGTTGACCCCATCACTTACTCTGGTATGTTGACCCCATTACTTACTCTGGTATGTTGACCCCATCCATAGTGATACTGGACTGCTGACCGTCTCCTATGGTTGGTCGCTGTGCCAAAGTTGCACCAAACTTTTTTATATCCAGGCTGATTTTTGGTGGCCTGGGTCGATCTTCCCAGGAGGGACGAGCATATTCATACAAGCCCTGCAGAAAGTGATAAAGTTTTGCTGTTGTTACTTAAATGTTTGTTATCTGTCTTCATCTCATGGATAGAAAGCATGAAACACGAACGAGGTGTAAAACAGGCATTGATGTCATATATTGTAGAACATTGAAATGAATGAAATTTATTTGGAATATTCCCATTTATATACTATAGCAAATGTTGTTATTACCTTTGGCCTACCAAAGACTACAACTGGGGCATGGTTTATTTATCTTCATAAAATGTTTATTATAATTTTTCAGAAGAAATTGTTTAAATATCCTTAAATGAACCAAATGGATCTAGCTACATACAGGTGGGTAAAGGGTAGGATATTTGTTCTATAGTGTTTTATAAACTATTTCAACCCAAATCTCCCTAAAATTAAATAATTTCCATTAAAACATCAGTGACAAAAATATTCAAGATACAACTATTCCTTACTCAATTTTGAAGCAATCTTACTTTCCATTTCTGGATAGCAACAACCCTTCATCCCTCCCCAATGGTGTTTACATAATACAATTGATTTGATATGAACAGGCTTGTTCCCAATGTCACAATATCATGCATTGTGTCGGCAACTAACAGACAAACTCATAGAACAGGGTTTTGTAAGATGCAGATTTAATAAAGATGTTGGAGAAAACGATATAATTTTGAAATGTTTTTTTTCCTTTTGTGATATGATGTTGGGTGTGTTTGATAATCATTAGTATGCCTGGTAGTTGTGTTGTTGTTTACTTTGTTCTGACTTATTAGGGAATATGACATTACTTACTTTAATTGACCATGATTAACATAGTGGGTCGTCAATGAATCAAAAGACACATACACTTGGAATACTCTGTCTTATTCTCCTTATGCTTTTCCATGAGTCTCTGTATAAATCTTTCTTTTGATCAAATTTTGCTCTAGTTTTAACAAATTTGAGTTTGAATTAAGAATATGTTGACATGTGGGTATTTTCTTTGTTAATGACATACTGCAGTTTAAAAATCCTGATCAAAATACCATTACAGTACCAGTCACCTAACAAAAACTATGCACAAACAAGCATCAACTGACCTCTTTACCACCATCTCGTCCATAGCCACTCTGTCTGTATCCACCAAACCCTGCGGCAGCATCAAATAAATTGTGGCTGTTGATCCAGATAGTGCCAGCCTTGATACAGAGTGCCACCTCCATGGCCAGTGACACATTTTCTGTCCATACGCTGCCCCCAAGGCCATAGATTGTGTTGTTTGCCAATGAAATGGCCTCCTTAGTTGTACGGAATGGTAGCACCACCAGAACAGGCCCAAAGATCTGGAAACAGCATAATAAAGTGATGAAAAACTATTCAACTACTTTCAGCAACACCTGAACAGGCCCAAAGATCTGAAAGTATCATATAGCGACAAAAAGCTATTAAACTCCTTAAGGCAACACCAGAACAGGCCCAAAGATCTGAAAGTATCATATAGCGACAAAAAGCTATTAAACTCCTTAAGGCAACAACAGAACAGGCCCAAAGATCTGAAACTATGTCATAAAGAGATGAAAAACCAATTAACTCCTTGGTAATCTGGAGAGGCAGCACCACCAGAAGAGGATAACAAAAATCAATTCACAATTCTTACAAATACCAATAGTAAACTTAACATTTGACATAGCAAACAAAAGTCCTCAATTATTAATCAATAATTTTCAAATTTCCTTGACCTTCTACACCAGACTGAAATGGAACCATTGTATGAAGTTTGAGTACATATGAACTGTTGAATTGATATCATTGTGCAGAACGGGAGGTGGGATGAAAAGTGTGATAGAGAAGTGTCATTACAATAATTCCTCAGATTTGTAAAGGGGTCATGATTAGAACATCTCTAACAACTTGACATTAGAGTACAGATATCTGATTTTTAAAATTTGTGGAAAAATACTTATTACTGTAGTTATCCTATAAACCTAACACCACTTATCAACCCTTCAAGGTCAAGGTTATACAAATGACATACAACACAATATCTAGCACATTTATTATCTTACTACTGGTATAATCACTTCTAGTTGTGTATCAGAAAAGATTAGAAATCTGACATTTCATCTGCATTGTAAGGTTTGGTTTAAAGAACACTACTACTGATAAAGCATTACATTAATAATTACTATACATTTGAACATGAAAGAGAAAACATGATAACTAGGGTCGCTTTAGTGTAACCCGATTAAAACAGTTCAGGTTGTTGTCTGGAATGCTTCCACTATACAGGAAGGAATGCACATGTACTGCATGTTGGACTTGATATATGTAAAGTGCAAAATGCTCAGCTTCGGAATTTTCTGTCAAGCAAAAATCAATTAACTAAAATCAAGATACCATCCATTTCACTCATACTTGATAGCACAATGCTTCAGAAAATATGCTAGTGCATCCGCCCTACTATATACTGAAATTCTGAAAATTAATGACATTAAGCAAGTTAGTTTTAGAAAGGTATGGCTGGACCCCTCAATCTGCATTTGACAAATATACTCCAGTCCAGCCCTGGACCTGATCTGTACCTTGTTTCAACTGCTTATGTGAAAGTGATCTAATACTCACCTCTTCCACAACGACTCTGGAGACAGTCTGTACATTGGTGATGATCGTTGGAGGGTAGAAACATCCGTTACTCGGGATAGACGATTCAATCTGGAAAATCTGAGGAGGAAGAAGTTATATTAACCACAGATGTTAAGAAACTTTGATTACCAACCTACTTCAAAGTTGAACATTTGATTTCTGATGCTGGCTAGTAATAATTCCCCATTACACAGACAAACATACTGACAATTTTACCATCCTACTAATACATTGAATTTAGGGGATCATATGTTGATTAGATTCTCATTATCCTTCAGTACCTCTATAACTTTGAGCGACCTTACCTCTGCCCCTTCCTTGCGAGCCGAGTCTACGTACTCCTGTATGCTGCGTCTCTGAGACTCATCCACAATGGCTCCCATGTCCATGCCTTTATCCAATGAATCTCCAACACGGAAATGAGTGAGGCGTTCCTTCAACTTGGCAACCATTTTATCATGTATTGATTCCTGTACGAGGAGGCGGGACCCAGCACTACACACCTGTTAATCAAACTTCAAGTCACTTATCACGAACATGTTATATCCTGCTAATAACAACTCAACGTATAGTAAAAGATTTTATTATTAAGTTAACAATTGAAAACTTTAATTTTAATAGCTGGTTTATTTTCATTGAGTTTATGGATATTCTTAATCCAGGAGTCATATATTAATGATCTGATAAACCAGCCTTATTTTGTTCATTTATTTATACCAGTGGTATTTATCCATCAAATCATTTCTGAAAAACCACAAAAATTTTATCCCCGCTGAAATAAATGATTTCACAACATTGCAAGTTTTATATCAAAGTTCAAATAAATTCATCTACAAAGATCAAAATGCTAGGATGAAGAGAGAGAAATACCAGAGAGATTTCAAGTATATCAATAATTAAACTCAAAGATTCTGTTTTTATTTATGCATGTGCTTTACAACATCAAAACATCACTAATGTGTCTATGTATAATTTTAATGGATAAAGTTGTACCTGTCCTTGGTTAAACCAGATAGCATCCACCACTCCCTCCACAGTGCTGTCCAGATCAGCTGATTCGAACACCACCACTGGAGACTTCCCTCCTAACTCCAGGGATAGTTTTTTACCTGACCCAGCTACCAGGCGCCTTAAAGTTTGACCAACCTAGAAAAAAAGTCATATCAAGGTGATAACCCTTTCTCTTTAAAGAAAAACATTTTAAAAGCACTTAGCTTGGATCATTCGTGTTTTTTTTAACCAACTAGGACTAAAGTTTTCAACTGAAAATGAGTCTCTGGACACAAGTCTTAAATACTAATATGTTCAGCACAAATGTTCAGATGTTTATCAGTAAAACCCACACTGTAACATCCACAAATTAGGAGATCAATGTTGTATTCATGTTTACAGGTAAAACCCACACTGTAACATCCACAAATTAGGAGATCAATGTTGTATTCCTGTTTACAGGTAAAACCCACACTATAACATCCACAAATTAGGAGATAAATGCTGTATTCATGTTTACATGTAAAACCCACACTGTAACATCCACAAATTAGGAGATCAATGTTGTATTCCTGTTTACAGGTAAAACCCACACTGTAACATCCACAAATTAGGAGATGAATGCTGTATTCATGTTTACAGGTAAAACCCACATTGTAACATCCACAAATTAGGAGATGAATGCTGTATTCATGTTTACAGGTAAAACCCACATTGTAACATCCACAAATTAGGAGATGAATGCTGTATTCATGTTTACAGGTAAAACCAACACTGTTACACCCACATGTCCTGAGATCCATGTCGTGTTAATGTTTATGTTTATTGTGAGATCTTTTTTCCGTCTACATGTTAGGAAGAGCACTGCTAAGTGATCCTAATAAAGAGGCTGACCTTAGTGTTATGTTACAGGTGGAACAAACATTCAGTGGATTTCTTATTGAATTATTACTTAATTTACTTCATCACACAAATCTATTTTCCATCAAATAAAGAGACACAAGAATTTACATCGACGTTTGTTAAGTTGTTTTCTACCAAAACAGGTGGTAGGTACAGAATATGACCTCTGTACAGTTGACATTGTGTTTGATTCTTATAAACGCTGCTTTATAACGTAAATGAGGATAGCAATAATTTGACCTTGACCACTGACCAAATTACCTGAACAACTTTCTTCATCAAAATGCATATAACTTAAAACTGAGAATGTTTAATTGCAGAAAAGTTGACCCCACTACACATCTAAACTGTACATTACTGGGTTAATTATCCTTGCATGCTTGCAAATGATTACGAATATCTCTGGATACGAAAGTGCCGAAAGTTAGAAACATGGTAAACCGTATCAGTATTAAGCATCTCCACTTTGATGCTCAGACACTTTAATAATATACTTTGACACAATAACCTAAGTAAGAAGCCCCGTCACAGAAAAAAGGGACCAATTTTAGAGTCCTTGCTCTGGGCCTTTTTTTGATTGGAGTAAACCCTAGCCTACTTTCTTACCCCTGTGGATCCTGTAAATGCCACTTTGTCCACATCTTCATGATCAGCCAGCTGGCTTCCCATGGCCCCGCTTCCTGTGACCACATTGAAGACACCTGGAGGCAGTCCAGCCTCAGCGCAAATTTCGGCCAACAAGAGGGCAGACAGACGGGTATAGGTGGCAGGTTTAAGGATCACAGTGTTTCCCATGGCCAGTGCTGGAGCAATTTTCCACGTCAATAACATGAGAGGGAAGTTCCAGGGTACAATAGCACCAATCACACCTATATATAGCCAGAAAACAACGTTATCATTTATGTATTACTCTCACAATTTCAACAAGCACCATTTTTATATGTATACTTATATAATTGAATTATGACATTAGATATTAACCCAATATATATGAGTGGAAATGATTATCTTTTATTAATAGGAGTATAACCTGATCATTAAAATTCAATATTGAGGTCAGTGATATGTTCCAATTTATTACATAATCTGTCTGTTATCCAGTGAATTCACCCATGTAATTTATCTACATCTGTCACTTGTGTAATATAACCTGACAAGTTTTTCACTGTGAAGTCATGATGAGGACAGTGATATTACATCACAAATTATTATAGTACAACAAAATGGCTGCCTCTGTTTTATTTTGTTCTCCACATTTTGACTCAAAATCTTTCTTTGGGTTGATTGATAAAATAGTTTCTTAAGATAATTTTCATTTCATATGAGATTTTATGAGAGAAGTTTCACAAAGGCTCACAAAAATTGAAAAGAAACTTCTAAGAATTGTTTCATGAAATTTCAATTTAAATGAAAATTCCTGCAAGAATTTATATAACATTTAAATGAAATAGTTGTTTGTAGCACTTCGTTATTATGAGTTGAATCTGTCAGAATTTTAGTGATATATATTTCTTCTATCTTAATATCCAATCCACCCAAATTCATTCATGACAATTTTTCACTCTTATATAGACTGGACAGCCTTCCTGAACTAATCAGAAATCCTCATGTCCACAAAAACAGACTCTAAGACCGTTGAATATGTCATTCCCTACCATCCCTTCTTATGAATACTTGGTGATAAATGGCTCCATTTTACAGCTTATTTTAATGACATATTATCATTACATATGATGGAAACAAACTTTACCAACAGATTTCCAGTTTCTCATTTCTGTGTCTGCTAACTGAGCCCAACCAGCGTAGTGATAGAAGTGACGAACCACAATTGGTACATCAGCATCCCTAGTCTCTCGGAAAGTCTTCCCATTGTCCATAGACTCCAGCACACTCATCAGACGCATGTGTTTCTGGATGTGACGAGCAATACTGTCAAACATAAAGAACAGAAAACACTCATCAGACACATGTGTTTCTGGATGTGACAAGCAACACGAACAAGCAAACACAAAGAACAGAAAACACTCTCTGCAGCAGAAAGAATACCTTTCAAGTGTTTTTTTCTTATTTGAAGACTAACATATTTTATAAGTGTGAAAGCATTTGTTAAAACTTTCAAAATCAAAAAAATCAATTTCTTCTCCATTCTTACTCCTTCGTATGGTACTCTATAGGGCCTATCAATAGCATGTATTGATCCTGTTCAATTTGAACAATTTCAACTTTGTAACAGGAAGTCAATGTAAAGTTTCAATACTGATTTACAGGAAATATAGCGGACTACTTGTTTGCACAAAAGTGATATCAGAAATTCTGTTTCTCAGAAATAATGATTTTTTTTTAATAAAAAGAATGTTTGATATCTACATCCAGGTATAAAGGTTCAACATCATCATTGAAATGTTTATCAGCAAATTCAGCAAGGTTTAACATTGGATATTGAACCTAATCTTACCTGTTGTAACTTAGAAAAAGGTGGAACAGTCCATGATATACCCTATCTGTACATATAATGTACCCTACCTGTACATGTATCTGTCTCTCACCAGGGTTCATATCATTACATGATGTACCCTACCTGTACATGTATCTGTCTCTCACATGAGGGCTCATATCACTTCATGATGTACCCTACCTGTACATGTATCTTGCTCTCACATGAGGTCTCTATCACTACATGATGTACCCTACCTGTACATGTGTCTGTCTCTCTCACGAGAGTTCATATCATTACATGATGTACCCTACCTGTGCATGTATCTGCCTCTCTCATGAGGGCTCATATCACTACTACATGATGTACCCTTCCGGTACATGTATCTGCCTCTCTCATGAGGGCTCATATCACTACTACATGATGTACCCTACCTGTATATGTATCTTGCTCTCACATGAGGGCCTGTGCATGTATCTGTCTCTCTCATGAGGGCTCATATCACTATGATGTACCCTACCTGTACATGTATCTTGCTCTCACATGATGTACCCTACCTGTATATGTATCTTGCTCTCACATTACATGATGTACCCTACCTGTACATGTATCTTGCTCTCACATGAGGGCTCGTATCATTACATGATGTACCCTACCTGTACATTTATCTGTCTCTCTCATGAGGGCTCGTATCATTACATGATGTACCCAACCTGTACATGTATCTTGCTCTCTCATGAGGGCTTATATCACTACTACATGATGTACCCTACCGGTACATGTATCTGTCTCTCTCATGAGGGTTCATATCATTACATGATGTACCCTACCTGTACATGTATCTGCCTCTCTCATGAGGGCTCATATCACTACTACATGATTTACCCTACCTGTACATGTATCTGTCTCTCTCACGAGGGTTCATATCATTACATGATGTACCCTACCTGTACATGTATCTGGCTCTCTCATGAGGGCTCGTATCATTACATGATGTACCCTACCTGTACATGTATCTGGCTCTCTCATGAGGGCTCATATCACTACTATATGATGTACCCTACCTGTGCATGTATCTGCCTCTCTCATGAGGGCTCATATCACTACTACATGATGTACCCTACCTGTACATGTATCTGTCTCTCTCACGAGGGTTCATATCATTACATGATGTACCCTACCTGTACATGTATCTTGCTCTCACATGAGGGCTCGTATCATTACATAATGTACCCTACCTGTACATGTATCTTGCTCTCACATGAGGGGACGTATCATTACATGATGTACCCTACCTGTACATGTATCTTGCTCTCACATGAGGGCTCGTATCATTACATGATGTACCCTACCTGTAGATGTATCTTGCTCTCACATGAGGGCTCGTATCATTACATAATGTACCCTACCTGTACATGTATCTTGCTCTCACATGAGGGCTCGTATCATTACATGATGTACCCTACCTGTACATGTATCTTGCTCTCACCTGAGGGCTCGTATCATTACATGATGTACCCTATCTGTACATGTATCTTGCTCTCACATGAGGGCTCGTATCATTACATGATGTACCCTACATGTACATGTATCTGGCTCTCTCATGAGGGCTCATATCACTACTACATGATGTACCCTACCTGTGCATGTATCTGTCTCTCTCATGATGGCTCATATCACTACTACATGATGTACCCTACCTGTGCATGTATCTGTCTCTCTCACGAGGGTTCATATCATTACATGATGTACCCTACCTGTACATGTATCTTGCTCTCACATGAGGGCTCGTATCATTACATGATGTACCCTACCTGTACATGTATCTTGCTCTCACATGAGGGCTCGTATCATTACATGATGTACCCTACCTGTACATGTATCTTGCTCTCACATGAGGGCTCGTATTGCTCCATGATGCATAAGCTTTCTTAGCTGACTTTACAGCCAAATCAACATCCTGTTTCTCAGCCTGAATAGTTGTAGCCAAAGCTTCACCTGTGTAAGTAACATCATGCATTTATGTAGGTAATGTCAGTATACATGCATCAATGGGAAAACTCTTCACAAGAAGAAGTACTGGCCATAGAACTTGGAGTATAGTCAGTACACAAATGTCAGCACCAGTGGTAAATTGGTTCATGGAAAGACATCTATGTTAAAGTACACAGGGACCTGAGATGAACGGTCAGATATACAGGGACATGAAAAATACTGTGAGATCATGATCAGTTTAAGAAAACTAAGGTCAAGTATGCACAGGAACTGGAAAATTACTTAGATGAGTTAAGGGAAAGCATGGTCAAGTAAAATGGGCCCTGAAATAACTGTGACATCAGTTAAAAGCATGGTCAAGTACACTAGGGGACTCTGATGCAAGGAAATTATACAATATTGACTGAGAGAAGGATTAAATATTACAAAGTGTACTGGAACATCTAATAGAATAAGTTAATGAGCACTATATAATGTATGTATAATGGGTGGCTATGTAAGGCAGCAAATTAACCTTTCTTAAATTTTCATAAAATCATAACTTTTTTTGATAAACAAGAAATGCACTTCCACATGCTGAAATGCTTTCCTTTTATAGAACTCAGCTAAGATACACAAACCACAACCAACTGTGAATTAAAGACAGCTTGCCAACCGTCAGCCATATTCCTTACCTGTAGCTGGATTTTTTGTTGTGTATGTCTTTCTTCCTTCTGGTTTCACCCATTTTCCATCAATAAATAGGCCAAAAGCCTTGTCATGGTCATCCAACCAAGCCTGCAAATCACAACTGTACATGTAAGAAAATCTTCTTGGAGACTGTCCTATGTATAAAGCTGGCGGTACTCTTGGAGTCAGGGAGATTTTTGCAGTGTCACTTAATAATCAAACCACAGTAAAAAGATATAATGAAGCAGTATTAGCGTGTTATAGAACCATTTTGTTTATGACACGACAAAGATGTGTGGCAATGTCAATTTTTCATAGCATAAAAACTGTGTGATAAAAAGTATCCAGAAAGTACTCATGATGAATCAAAAACAAATTTAACAAAAGAGAGATTTGTGAAAATACTTCAGCATTCAGAACAGACATTTATGTCAATTTAGCATCCTTGTACCCATTAAGTCTGATTGGCACACCACTTGTTATAACTTCAAATTTTCTTTGATATTTATTTTGTCCCCATCTTGGGAGACTTTGTAATTCCTTTGGATTTGTTGTAAAATTCTACTTTAAGGAAGAGTAAATGTCACCCATTTTTTTTTTTCATCTTGATAAAGGCTTTCTGAATTAATCACTTTTATATTCATTTAAATGTCTTATAACTGAGAAGTTTTTGTCTCATATTTTTTGTGGTTTTAGAAATATATATTGAAGTTAATTTCATTTCTAGAAATAGGCTAAAAATCATGTCACAGATACAGTTCCTCTCCTTATTATCATACAAACTTTTGATCTATGTAGAGGAATAATCAGTTGAAAGCTCTTTCCTTTTTTCCTGTTTCCTTAAAACAGGTATCATTCTTTGTATTATACTTTGTATGGATGTATATCAACTTCATGTTGACTCAAATTTCAGTTTTATTTATGGTGAAGATTTAGATATTGTTTTACATTTTTACGTTTGTCAGAAAAAAATGATTTACAGATATTCTTGATCATCAGTGTTATGTTTGGTCTGCATCATAATTATGAACAGTTTTTCAAAATGAGAAAACAAGAGCCTGTTTAGTTATGCTTTGACATAAATACATACAATTACTTTCACTTCAAATTTTAAAATTTTAGCCACAGAATCCAGAAGGATTTTGGTGCCCACTATTTAATGATCTTTATTAGTTCTATGAAAGACTGATCTTTTCTCTACCTTCTCTTCTTTCCCCTTTTTCTATCATTCATTTGATATCAAGAGCATCCTTCAAATGAAATCGAGGAACTTTCTAAGAAACAGTGATAACAAACATCAATGGTCAAAATCCAAGAGGGCAACCTGATGTCCATTTTGTTTCACTGATAAATCTGAAATGGTTACAACTAGAGTACATGTGGAACATGTACATATCAAAGTTAAGAAATTCCTCTTGTACTTGAATAGTAATATCAAACTTTATATGTCTAAATATAAAATGACCACCTGTGGTTTATCTTGTTTCACTGGTCACATTCAAAATTGAATGGACACAACTATAGGGACAGATGGAAACCTACATATGAAGCTGGAGAAATATCTCAAAGAATTTTTTCAAGAAATAGTGGTAACACCAATTGTTTATAAATGGACAATGGACCATGGATAATGGACAATTTGAATAGTCCAGGGTGTAAAATTCCCTTATGCTGAGAAATTGGGAAAATTGGTATTTCATTTTTCTTCCTTTCAACATCCCTCTCTTTCCTCCACTTACCCTACACCATAAAGTCAAAAAATTCACGATGCAGATCTTGATATTCATTCAGTTCATGAATAAATAAATTATAAAATGAGTATTGAATGTGCTTCCCTTCATCATATGTTTTGTCAAACCTTGAGGACAGAGATATTTACTGATATATGAAGGAAGTTCCATGTGAACCTTACTAAAAAATAAAAACAATAAATATAAATATACATTAATCAACCTCTGTATTAAGCCCAATATTAACATTAACTAAAAAAAACAATAAAAAAAATTATAATGAAAACATCATAAATATGTACAGTGCTGGAAGATTCCAGCTGAATTTTGTACTCTTTTCCAATATATATTGTCCTATAAATTTTCTGAATTAACACTTTTTCACATGTGTATTTCAGTGTTTTTGAGCGAAAAGTAAATTAAGCCCATATAATCATATTGAAATTTTCTCAATATATAGGCCTATAAATGTAGATTTAAAAAATATATATATATGATTTATCTAACAAATTTTCACATTATATACTCAATGCCAAAATCAAACTTAGTTTATTCTTATTCTCTGGAAAGTAAGGAATGTAATCTAACATGCATTTCAATACTAATTGATAAGGTTTACAGTTTGTGTATACAGTTGATAAACTATTCACAATACTGGATAGGTCTACCATTACTAGGAACCTAAAAGCCCAGTAATTTCACACACGTTTATCCAAATAACAGCGGTCTTTGGGGGCTACTTTTGATAAGAATACCTTTACAACGTTGTCTGACTCAGGTGCAGGTCCATACGACATCTTTTTAAATATTTCAGCAACTGTATTTGCAGATTCTGCTGCAGCTACATGAACAGTACTTGCTGCCATGTTTGCAAAGATTTAGGTTGGGGTCATGAGGTCAATGAAGTGTGCTATCCGCCTAAAATTTCGAGGCTTTCCGATGGTAAGATTTTTTTCGTGACGTCAGAACATGGCTGCTACCATTAAACAAAGTGAGGCCTGCGGAACATGTAAGTTTGTTTTTGAAATATTGAGAAAATGGTGGGAGTGTCCGTGTAAATTTACCGTTTATTGTTACAAAGTCGTATAATTTTCACTTCAAGATAGTATCATGACTACCACGCTGGTGTGGAACGCATATTTCTGCTGAATTATGTGCCTTGTAAAGCTTAGTGAGTTTTTTTACTTTCATTTGCTTGGGCTCTTCTCGTTTTATATTGAGAACAGTTTCATACAATTATACAGGAAGAAAATGGTTGAATTAGAGGTTATTGAGTGTTTTTTAATCTAACGTTGAATAGTTTCTAATATTGGACGATTTTAGAATTTTCCATGTTTGGCTTGACAACTTCGGCGTCTCTACGTTGATATCTATGATAAAATCCGAGGATACCTTGTCGTGCTCGGGCACGCATGCCGCAGGCTCGGGTGTAACACACTAAATAAAAAAGTTCGCTACTCTACATGTCCAGCTCACACATGTCTTCAATGTTGTCAGCTTACTGTCAAGCTAAGAACTTGTAAGAATGATAAATTAAAACAAATCAAACGGATTTCTGTGCCAGTTGAAAGAATTGAAAAAATGCCAAATATGTGCATGCAGTGTACCATCAGCATCACCATGTCCATGCATGACACTACAGCATATTAGAAACGTTAGCCTCACGAATGTAGAGCACATTTATGTAACTTCAATACATTGACTGTCTGGACTGCCTTTTTGATCAGTTTTGATGGTACTGAATTGATGATCAAACTCATTATTGTTTAGCACAAAATTGTCAGTTGGTTATACGTCCCTTGTTGGATCTAAGGGGCTATTATACTAAAATGAAGTCATTTCAGATTTCTTTAAAAAAAACACATTTCATATATGTATGCATAGTTTTGTAAATTAGGCTAAGGTGTTTCAGAATCTGTAGGCCTTATGTTTAAGCTATAAGACATATAGCTGAATTCAAATAAAAGACATCCTGTTATTTAATATAAATATTTTTCTCTGTTTGTCTTGCATGATGTACCTAATTGTTGTGAAACAGTATTGTAGTTTATGTATATGTACACTGCAGAGGATTTCATCTCATAGAAGGCCTCATGTTGTCATGAGAAATTTTAGTCACAATCTACTTCTTAAATGCTCGTACTTTCTTTCACTAGGAACTCGAAGCAGATCTTGTTGCAATTAGCAAATGAAAACTTGAAAAGTGAAAACCATTGATATTTGTTCTTATTCAATGGAAGTAAAAGTAAATGAGTTATTGTTTGAAAATGTATAACACTGTATGTGAAGAGCCCATATACTGGTATCTTCATTTGCATCTTCTGGTACAAAATTATTATCCATACTTTTACTTAGGTTTCATGTGGTTTTGGAGATCTGAGTTGAAAACTTTTTTGAAGAAGGAGACCGGGTGAAAGTCATCTGTGATCGATAAAGTGTGCCTAACTTAGTTATGTTGTTGTTGTTATATATCTGTCTGTAGACAAAGTTCAAGTAAAAAAAAGGAGGTTTGTAGAGTATTTCTGTTGTACTCGAAAGTATTCTAACCAAATATTGATATTTTAAAACTTTAGATTAATTGATTTCATTTGACAGAATATCCTTATTACCAAATTATAGATTCAGAAATTAGTACGTGGTGACATATTGTATCATTATCAATAATAAGGCTGAAATGTTTAAGACAAAAAGCAGTCACCTTAACCCACTTCTATTGCAATCTGGTTAATTCTCATGTATTTGTCAATGATTGAATTTGCTGATCAATTGTTAAGTAATCATAATGCATTATATGTGCTGTCCAAAACTAAAAATGTGGTAGGTTATGTCAGTGCTTCATTTACTTTTACTTTTCCAACCTTGGGAGGTAAAATGTGACTTTGTGGCTATGAGAGTATCACATTTTCAGCATGGAATAGGACTACTTTTCGTTGACTTGAATGAGATAAAACTGAAATGGCTGTTATTCATTTATTCAATAACTTTTCTCACCATTGCTTTAGTGATGGAAGTAATATAAAGCCACTAAGGGTTGATAATTTGCATCGATCTGACATCGTGATTGCTGACTTCAAAATGAGACATAATCATTATGCTTACAGATCTAGAGTTGGAACATTGTTGATATAAACTATTTGGCAACAATGATTATACAAAGAAAGGCTGTAAGTGTTAGGTAAAGTCCACTTACACACAATATTAACATGATGGGGGAAAAGAAAATATGAGAATATCATTTAATATGTAAAAGATCACACAGATTTGTGAAAATTTAAGTATGGTTTTTGGTTAGGAAGCTTTCCCTATAGACAGGCATTTTTTTATATATAAAAATGAAACACTGTTAGACTACCATGGTAGAATGCTGCTTTAGAGGTCAAATGCCTATGATTCAAGTCCCAGTCAGCATTTCTATCTCCCCTGTTACAGTTTACTAATTGGCATCAGTAGAAAATTGAAACCACAGCTTTGTCATATGTTATTGGGAATTTCCAACTTCAGTCTTCTAGTATAATGACTGATAAGGATTTGACTAGGCGAGACTATTGGGAACAAATCTTATAATTTCTTTTTGTTATTAAATGATAAAATGAAACAGAAATACCAATTTGAGTTGCAACCAAAAAAAAATTGAAAATTTGGTAAGTAAATTTCAATATTACAGTGAACTAATGAAAACATATATATATTTTTATTAATTAACTGAATATTGAAATATACATTACATTGTACTACTGGCTGTAATTTTTTCGTGATTGGTTGACACTTAAAATGATCCAGGTTTTGTAAAGAGACACAGTAATGATAAATTGCATATTATTTTATTGTAGTCAACATCCTATATATTAAAGGGACAAAATTCCTTTTTTTTAACATGGAAAGTTGTCTTTAAGAATATTCCAGATTCCCTCACAAAATGTATGTGTTATCAAATTGATAACACATACAATATGATTAAAATACTGATTACCTAAGTTAGAATCAGATACAATAATTACCTCGGTGGTCAGCTCATAATATATTCAAATTTTGAAGAAATTTATGTGCGAGGATACTGAAATTTTGCTGCCTATGTTGTTCATTACATTTGGATATAAAAACAAGGCATCACACATGATACAAATACCATTGCACCTCAAATTGGTATGATATGGTAAAAGTAAATGGAAACTTATACATGTTCACAAACATGTGCAAATATAGGTTACGATTAGTTTAACTAAAACTGTGTGTGTTTTGTTGACCTGCTTCTTAAAATAGCAGTTTGGTCTGTGTAGTACTGGAAGATGGTGCCTAATTTGATGACATCTAACTTGTACAAGAAGTGATGTTTGTGATCATGTGTGCAGAACTTCGTAAATCAATTCAGAAATGCAGTTTGTAGGGTGGTGACATGATAATTTATAGTAACAGTGACCATATTTTTCACCACACATTTAGTGGAGACTGCAGTCTAGGGTGGTGACATGATAATTTATAGTAACAGTGACCTTATTTTTGATGACACATTTGGTTGAGACTGCAGTCTGTAAAGTGGTGACATCATTTCATACAAACATATGAACGTCCGTCCATATGCATACATACATATGTATGTATGTAACAACTCATTGCAAGGTGTAATAAATAAAATTGAAGTTCAGATGTTCAAACTTGAGACTTCTTCCTGTGTTAATTTGTTTTCAATGTACACCACAAGCTGTTTACAATTTTCTCGATATTCTCCAGTTTCCCTTCCCTGCTGGCATCAGTTACAATATATTGTTTTCTTAATATGTCTACATGTGTAGCAGAAGTATACAGTGTTTATTGCCAGAAATATTAGACAACCCACTACATAACTTCTCCGTAAACCTTAAAGCCTGAAAATAATGACATTAACATCATTATAAAATCATACCAGCTTCAAATTTAAAACTTATATTTACTTCGCAGCAAATTCATAAAATGATTCTTGTATTATATGTTATCTTTCAGTGTGAACTTTATTTCAATGATGCCAAAATAATTTCTCAATGCTGTTGAATGTGTGATCAGATAGGTAGCTTTAAGCTAGATAAGCTAACTATTCTTATCAGTATTATTCACTGATAAATAAATTAGAGGAGCCAGACAGGCCCCTCCTCATCATGGTAAATAAATGCCTTGATGAAGTCATTTGTTTATACAATAATTAACACAGCACAATACTTTGTTGACTATCCCTGTATCCCACCATCTGTGATGATCCTCTCCAGTGAGACCCATATACACCTCTTCATTTAATAACTTTTGGGTAAGTACTCATCCTGTATGGAAGTAAACAAGTTACATATGTGATGGTTTGTGTGTTCCCTATGAACCATAATGAATGGTGAGCAGTTGGTGTAGATGAACGAAGGACTTCTGGTTCATAGATACATGTACCAGTACTGGATCAAAGCAGGACCAGTGTCGTGGAAATATTTATTTTAAGACCTTGCAGGACACTTAAAAAATCTGTGAAGTTTAATTTACATGATGTAGTAGTTACAGTAACTACAATTTAATAGATGATTTGTAAATCTGTGTTTTCAACATTTGGAAGAAAAAAGTTTCAGCTGATGTGATCTAATCATATTTAATGAGAAACCTTGTTCACTAAGTATCAGGTTATTATAAAGTCAATATCTAGCATTCTTCACAGATTTCCTGCGGAAGGAATTTTTCAAATTCACATGCTGTAGTTCTGATTGACTCTGCATTACATTAGTGAATGGGGGGTACAAGGAAATTTAATAATTTCAAGAGGAGTATATCAGCATCATTTTGTGTGCATCAAGGGAAAGCCAAGTTCCACACATTCCAGAAAAACTGAAGATGTAACCCTGGGAATGACTGTCAGAGAGACGATGTGGAAATGGTACTAATCCACACTGACTTTGTGCCTGTTTTTCTACGTTTACTGTGTGTAGTTTGATTAACATCATATCAGTGGGCCAGGGTCTTGTAATACATGTGTAGAATTGGACCCAAGTGCTAGAGACTTCTGGTGGCGGTACACATGTCCTGGGGTACATATCGTGGTTGCCTAGGTGCTGTCGAAAGCAATGACTGGCATGGACAAAAATGGGAAATGCTGGCACTGTAATCTGGAACAGTTGTGGTGAAGTAGGTGTTCATATTTATATCTGGTCATGTTGTAACGTCCTGTTCTTACAGAGTATATGCATCCATTCATTAAAAAGTAATTTCTGTATTTCTGGGTCTGGAATATTTGAAAGGGCTGTTATATAGATTGGTTGATTATCATAGATGTTTGATTGGAGACATAATTACTGATGTGTTATCCTATAGTCAACTGATGATGTAACAAATCAGGGTATCGTGTTGATGAAACAATAAAACGTAATATAAAACAAAACGTATTTATTGCCAGTGGATCTACATTACTAGATGAAAGCCACTAACTAGATAGCACACCTAAATGTTTGACAGGTTAGAAAGATTAAAGTATTTCATTATTAATAAACTTAGAATGTAGAGAAACTATACATACATCTGTATTATTTGGTAATAGATAGGTAATTTGTGCTGTACTGCTGCTGTTCCTGTTGGTTACATAGTAGATTCAGAGCAGGATGCTATGTTTTAGCACATGGCCAGATACCTGGATTGATACATGATATAACTTTGTCTTTATGGAATTGGAAATGAGCTTTGCAGGGAGACATCATACTACTAGGCTTGTCAGCTAAACTCTGTTATACAGCCAATGATAATTTAAGATTAATTGTTAGTTTTTGAAAACATAATCCATTTCAACAGTGAAATATCAACTTGCCTACATGTCACAATGGTCATGTGCTGGGTGTCATTTTACATACTATAAATCACATTGTGATTTCCTCCATGTCAGTTTATATAGTGGTGTTGCTGTACAGATGTAAATGTATATTACATGATGTATGCTTATGGTTTTTAACATGATCTAAGCAGCTTTTTTTTCCCCCTAAATATGAATGATTTGTTGGTATCTTATAAACTCACTCTATCATTACTTGTCAGTAGTTTATATACATGTAAGTTGATGAGAAATTAATTTAGTTCTGTTGGAATCAACTTCACAACATACTTACCTAAATTAAATACCTTTGTAGTAAACTAAATGTGTCTCTTACATCATAGGAGTTACAACTATCCCACTCTAAAATGTGCATTTTTTTAGATCACATCAAGGTTAAGGTCAGGTATTTCCGGATTCCATAGTCAAGGTTTAATATGAGGATAACTTAAATAGACAATCATATATTTAATCAACATCTTTTAGGGTTCAAAAGTCAAAGTTGCTAGTTGATATTCATGCATAGAAAACGAGTTAGAATTGCTGGAACTTTAATTATTCATCATAGGATATTGTAAAACAGTTCAGTGGCTTGCTTTAGCGTCCTATTTCTAACAGGATTTTCATACTGGTTTATATCTAGATGTTCTAGTTTCAGTATTCCAAGGTAAAGGTCATAGAAATTAATATTCAGTATCATTTAATTTTCTCCAGGAAGTTCCTGTATCTTAGGGTTTTAATCACCATTCAAGGCATTCATAAGAAATCAACAGAACATGTATACATAGCCTTCACTACCTTGGCAAAACAATTCCATGTGTTATGGTCCATGTTGGTATTTCACACCTGGCATCAGCTATCATGTTGTAACTGAACGATAAACAAGTAACATGCATTAGGATATGTGGTAGGTTTAATTTGTAAACAGTCTGGAGCGTTCATTCATTACAGATCACATGAAAGCCTATACATGTGTATACCCTGGGGCCTATTGGCGTTACCCAATCCTGTACTTACATCATTGGTGAGGTAAATTTGTACAATGAGCATCTGGTCTGATGTACTGAAGGGGCTGTGTAATTCTTCTCCACTGCTTACTGTAATTTAGTGTTTTTTACAATTTATTTTATCCAAAGTCAGAATTTATAAATAAGGTTCAGAGTAGTGTTTTACTTTAATTTCATAAATCAGAATGTATTGAACAGTAACTTACTGTATCTCAAAAGTCTGAAGACAAGTTCATATTCTCTTTGAGGTTCAAATGATGTACTAAGAGTTTTATTGGGAAAAGAAAAAAAATGAAGACAACCTTTAGCCAAATTAGTACAAATGAAGAATTAGAGGTAAATGCTTAGATAAAGTTATGTGATCATTTACCACAGGGTTTTAACATCAGATGATCTTCTTAGTGTTGTTTGTTCACTACAGAAGTTGCTTGTTAATATATCAAAATAAGTAGATAACTCAGGAGGCTGGTTCTGTCAGCACCCCACTGACAGTGATGAAAGTGCTGATAACAATACACGGGGTCCTCAATCTCTTGTTGGCATGCCTTACCCCTCTGGGACCCCATTCTCCCAGTTGTGTCTTCACAATGTTTTTCCTCAAAAATTTTTGTTTTCACAATGAACATTTCGATGTATGCAAATATTTAGCATTTGTACATTTCAAACAATTGTGAAAGAACTGTAGATTTATAAAGAAAAGATTAAGTGTATCGTGTTTACTCTGAGTGCCTGTCATGCAAATCCCGTATGGGCCCCTGTTGTGGTACAATCCATGTATGCTCTAGGATATAGTATATTTAGAGGGATATGGGGGAGGGATCATTGAAGTGATGTGTGTGTGACATAGCATCGATGGCCCTAAATTCTCGATTGAGGACAATTTTTAAATGTTTCACTGATTGCGTAAGAGGCTGCAGAAAGGATCAGGTGAAACAGCAGGAACTGACCAGTGTTAAGGTTTGTACAGAAGCACACATCCCTCAAGTGTGTGGTACAAATTGGCAATAGTCTTTGTATGTATCTAGGTGTTAGGTTTTTTGTATTAGTGTTACAGCCACTGCTAGTGGCCAACAATACCTATAATTAGTACCAGTACTTTCTTGTCTCTGTGATATGGAATTACGCTGTTATCCATACGCTACATATATGTAGAATACATGCAGTATACACACAAACCAACATGTAGAATGAAAACTTATATGTCCCTTATTTGTATATTGATGTTAGAAGCTGATCATATATATCAGTTGTTTTCAGACATAAATTTTTAAAGAGTCATTAATTTCTATGTGAGTACATTGCACATATATCATTAAAGAGTCATTGATTTCTTTGTGAGTACACTACACATATGCTATTAAAGAGTCATTGATTTCTTTGTGAGCACACTACACATATGCTATTAAAGATTTCTTTGTGAGTACACTACACATATGCTATTAAAGAGTCATTGATTTCTTTGTGAGCACACTACACATATGCTGTTAAAGTGTCATTGATTTCTTTGTGAGTACACCATACACTACTAAAATAAAATTAAGAATTTCAGAGGTCAGACTTGAAAAATAATATAAATAAATACCAAAATGTTTAGTAATACTGTAACATTTATTTGTGTTAAGCTAGCTGGCTGATGTTTTTAGATCTACGCAATTGAGATGATGACATCATGGAAAATTTGTGTTATTATTATATTGTTATAGTTTCCAGATTTTTTTTCAAGGAAATGTACCTCAAATAATCATGTGGTTCATATTTACATTAACATCTACATTTAGATGAAAAACAAGCAATCACTGCAACAGATTCAGAAAATATCTTCCAAAAATTAGAGCAAGAATACAATCCAATGTTTAAGAAAAATATAGTTGTCTGTTGTAGTATAGGAGTTGTGTAACATATTAACAAGGGACAGAAGTAGCAAGGACTATTAAACAAAATATGTACAGTACGATGTCTGTTGTAGTATAGGAGTTGTGTAACATATTAACAAGGGACAGAAGTAGCAAGGACTATTAAACAAAATATGTACAGTACGATGTCTGTTGTAGTATAGGAGTTGTGTAACATATTAACAAGGGACAGAAGTAGCAAGGACTATTAAACAAAATATGTACAGTACGATGTCTGTTGTAGTATAGGAGTTGTGTAACATATTAACAAGGGACAGAAGTAGCAAGGACTATTAAACAAAATATGTACAGTACGATGTCTGTTGTAGTATAGGAGTTGTGTAACATATTAACAAGGGACAGAAGAAGCAAGGACTAACAAACAAAATATGTACAGTACGATGTCTGTTGTAGTATAGGAGTTGTGTAACATATTAACAAGGGACAGAAGAAGCAAGGACTATTAAACAAAATATGTACAGTACGATGTCTGTTGTAGTATAGGAGTTGTGTAACATATTAACAAGGGACAGAAGAAGCAAGGACTAACAAACAAAATATGTACAGTACGATGTCTGTTGTAGTATAGGAGTTGTGTAACATATTAACAAGGGACAGAAGAAGCAAGGACTATTAAACAAAATATGTACAGTACGATGTCTGTTGTAGTATAGGAGTTGTGTAACATATTAACAAGGGACAGAAGAAGCAAGGACTAACAAACAAAATATGTACAGTACGATGTCTGTTGTAGTATAGGAGTTGTGTAACATATTAACAAGGGACAGAAGTAGCAAGGACTAATGAACAAAATATGTACAGTACGATGTCTGTTGTAGTATAGGAGTTGTGTAACATATTAACAAGGGACAGAAGAAGCAAGGACTATTAAACAAAATATGTACAGTACGATGTCTGTTGTAGTATAGGAGTATGTTTGTTACTTGTGTAACATATTAACAAGGGACAGAAGAAGCATGGACTAACAAAATATGTACAGTACGATATACAAATAACTTCAAATTATACTTAATTATATTTTGCATAGCTTTAATATCCTGTGTTTCACTTATATTGGTTAACGTTGCTAGATATAAGAAAGCTGCAGAGATACACAAAGTTTTAACATGACTAGATTTTTGTTTAGAATAAATCGGTTAAAACCATGTGGTTTGAAGTGGAAAACAAGTTTATTTCTCCCTAGAATCTGACAGACATGTTGTTCATTTCAATCAGCTGATTAATGATACTGAAGTTGATGATAAAAGTGGGGCCTACATTTTGGTGGTGTGCCAAGGATGTTCCCTCCGTGGTAAACTCACATGTTGCCAAGGAATACCTTATGTTTTTTATCACCTAGCTGCTCTCTGATCATTTCTCTAGGTCATTAAAATTTGAAATTGATAGCAACTGAATCAAAGTTATTACTTTGTAAGAGACATTTATGAAGGATGTTTATTGTTTGGCCTTCGTTTATACCTTCCTTTCTTGTGAATAAAAACTAATTATAACAGATATTTATGTACATGCATGTATTGACACCTGAACTTTTTAAAAGAAAGGTTCATTATTGCTGAAAAAAAAAAAATAAGACAATAGTTTGGTCATTTAAAGTAAATTATTTTCACGAATCTCAAATAAAGATATCAAACAAGGCTGATTGATGATTAAAACATTTACAATTTTTTCATGTCTCAATCTGGGATGAAATAATACTTATATCTTAAAATTTTTTCTTTCAATTTTCTGAAAATATACCTGGTGGTTTTCTTGCAACTTTAAAAGTAGCAGTATTACAGTGACGATTCTTCTACATCACAAACAACTGATACGTTCATAGCTTTCTGATGTTGACCCACTTTCCACTAGATTGTTGTAATGAGCTTTTAGATAAGTTTTTGTTTTATGTTCTTCTAAATCATTTTATTGAGGAAAATTGTTGAGTTGCATATCAAATTATCTCTTTTCTGTCATCATCAGTAGTAATTAAATAAAAATGGACTGAAAATTTTAACAATAGTATGTACATATTTTCAGACCATTGAAGCAGGGGAAGAAGCTGAGGGTACCACACAGACAGAAACTAGCTCTGAACAGGTTCAGACATCTCAGCCAACTGGATCAAGTTCACAAGCAGAAGGAAGTTCAGTTGACTCGCCAAAGTGTTTCGTTCACAAAGAACAACATAATAACATTGATACCATTTCGGATATTTCTAGTGAAGAACTGACTGAGATTGGTGAGTTATTTCAAGTCCCAGAGCAAGTTGAAGAAGACACACAGGAAGTGCTACAAACAGTTTCCACTTTTGACTGTATCGAGACCTTACCAACTGTTTGTGAAAGTCACCGAGAAGTCATTCCAACTGTAACAGAACCTGAAGTCCAGTGCTCAGTTGCCTCCAAGTCAGAAGATCAGGAAACTCAAGAGGAGGTGGTAGAAGAGACACTTTCTACAACTGAGGCAACAATTGAAGAATCACCTTGTTCAGCACCAGAAGAACAGAGTATTCCCTCCGTAATGGAAGCTGTAGGTAAGTCAGGAAACAGTTTTGATGGCATGAACCAGGACAATGTTACTGATCAACTTCCAGCTTTGTTATGCCTTTATTTTGTGTGTTACCTTTCCCTTAGAATTCAGACAGCTCAGAATATCATGTCATGTTGAAGTTATGTGAACAATGGTCAGAGGAAAATATGGTCTTTTCTCATCAGTTAAATGTGTATATGTTTGTCTTCCCTCCATTACATGTAGGTATGACCATGACTTGTCTGTTACATATATGATCATGACTTGTCTGTTACATGTAGGTATGATCATGACTTGTCTGTTACATGTATGATCATGACTTGTCTGTTACATGTAGGTATGATCATGACTTGTCTGTTACATGTAGGTATGATCATGTCTTGTCTGTTACATGTAGGTATGACCATGACTTTTCTGTTATATGTATGATCATGACTTGTCTGTTACATGTAGGTATGATCATGACTTTTCTGTTATATGTATGATCATGACTTGTCTGTTACATGTAGGTATGATCATGACTTGTCTGTTACATGTATGATCATGACTTGTCTGTTACATGTAGGTATGATCATGACTTGTCTGTTACATGTATGATCATGACTTGTCTGTTACATGTAGGTATGATCATGACTTGTCTGTTACATGTATGATCATGACTTGTCTGTTACATGTAGGTATGATCATGACTTGTCTGTTACATGTAGGTATGATCATGACTTGTCTGTTACATGTAGGTATGATCATGACTTGTCTGTTACATATATGATCATGACTTGTCTGTTACATGTAGGTATGACCATGACTTGTCTGTTACATGTATGATCATGACTTGTCTGTAACATGTAGGCTTGTCTGTTACATATATGATCATGACTTGTCTGTTACATGTAGGTATGATCATGACTTGTCTGTTACATATATGATCATGACTTGTCTGTTACATGTAGGTATGATCATGGCTTGTCTGTTACATATATGATCATGACTTGTCTGTTACATGTAGGTATGATCATGACTTGTCTGTTACATATATGATCATGACTTGTCTGTTACATGTAGGTATGATCATGACTTGTCTGTTACATGTAGGTGTGATCATGACTTGTCTGTTACATGTATGATCATGACTTGTCTGTAACATGACTTGTCTGTTACATGTATGATCATGTCTTGTTTGTTACATGTAGGTGTGATCATGACTTGTCTGTTACATGTATGATCATGACTTGTCTGTTACATGTATGATCATGACTTGTCTGTTACATGTATGATCATGACTTGTCTGTAACATGACTTGTCTGTTACATGTAGGTATGATCATGACTTGTCCGTAACATGACTTGTCTGTTATATGTATGATCATGTCTTGTCTGTTACATGTAGGTATGATTATGACTTGTCTGTTACATGTAGGTATGATCATGACTTGTCTGTTACATGTATGATTATGACTTGTCTGTTACATGTAGGTATGATCATGACTTGTCAGTTACATGTAGGTATGATCATGACTTGTCTGTTACATGTAGGTGTGATCATGACTTGTCTGTTACATGTATGATCATGACTTGTCTGTGACATGACTTGTCTGTTACATGTATGATCATGTCTTGTCTGTTACATGTAGGTATGATCATGACTTGTCTGTTACATGTATGATCATGTCTTGTCTGTTACATGTAGGTATGATCATGACTTGTCTGTTACATGTATGATCATGACTTGTCTGTAACATGACTTGTCTGTTACATGTATGATCATGTCTTGTCTGTTACATGTAGGTATGATCATGACTTGTCTGTTACATGTATGATCATGTCTTGTCTGTTACATGTAGGTATGACCATGACTTGTCTTTTATATGTATGATCATGTCTTGTCTGTTACATGTAGGTATGACCATGACTTGTCTTTTATATGTATGATCATGTCTTGTCTGTTACATGTAGGTCTGATCATGACTTGTCTGTTACATGTAGGTATGACCATGACTTGTCTGTTATATGTATGATCATGACTTGTCTGTTACATGTATGATCATGTCTTGTCTGTTACATGACTTGTCTGTTATATGTATGAGCATGTCTTGTCTGTTACATGTAGGTCTTGTCTGTTACATGTATCATGACTTGTCTGTTACATGTATGATCATGACTTGTCTGTTACATGTAGGTGTGATCATGACTTGTCTGTTACATGTATGATCATGACTTGTCTGTATACATGTAGGTGTGATCATGACTTGTCTGTAACATGTAGGTGTGATCATGACTTGTCTGTTACATGTATGACTTGTCTGTTACATGTATGATCATGACTTGTCTGTTACATGTAGGTGTGATCATGACTTGTCTGTGATCATGACTTGTCATGACTTGTCTGTTACATGTATGATCATGACTTGTCTGTTACATGACTTGTCTGTTACACATGACTTGTCTGTTACATGTATGATCATGACTTGTCTGTTACATGTAGGTATGATCATGACTTGTCTGTTACATGTATGATCATGACTTGTCTGTTACATGTAGGTATGACCATGACTTGTCTGTTATATGTATGATCATGACTTGTCTGTTACATGTATGATCATGTCTTGTCTGTTACATGTAGGTATGATCATGACTTGTCTGTTACATGTATGATCATGACTTGTCTGTTACATGTATGATCATGACTTGTCTGTATACATGTAGGTGTGATCATGACTTGTCTGTAACATGTAGGTGTGATCATGACTTGTCTGTTACATGTATGATTATGACTTGTCTGTTACATGTATGATCATGACTTGTCTGTTACATGTATGATCATGTCTTGTTTGTTACATGTAGGTGTGATCATGACTTGTCTGTTACATGTATGATCATGACTTGTCTGTATACATGTAGGTGTGATCATGACTTGTCTGTAACATGTAGGTGTGATCATGACTTGTCTGTTACATGTATGATCATGTCTTGTCTGTATACATGTAGGTGTGATCATGACTTGTCTGTTACATGTAGGTATAATTACGACTTGTCTGTTACATGTAGGTATAATTACGACTTGTCTGTATACATGTAGGTATAATTACGACTTGTCTGTTACATGTAGGTATAATTACGACTTGTCTGTTACATGTATTTATGATCAGTAGTTGTCAGTATGATTGTGCTCCATTAATACCTTGTATGTATAATCATGCTGCGTCACAGTTACATGTATGCAGGCATTCTGAGGGATTAATGTTTTATCAATTCAGCCACTTATTGGATGATAAAATAGGGTCATAAAGACATACCTCACATGGTGCCACTCGTCTCTGTTCATCTGTTCACTTTCCCCCCTTATCCAGTTGGATTTGGGATGAAACATAAACTGCCCTTCAGACTGCTTGCAGTAAGAGAGCTATTAGAGTAGAAATCTTTGACAGCTGATTTAAACTTTCATCCATTTTTAGAATAGTAAACTCTCATCAAGACTTAGTTATACGTACTCTTTGCTTAATAAAGAAAACAAATATTGTCAAAGCTTGCAAATTATCATTTTCTTTTGTTGTTTATTTTAAATTGAGATAAACATCTTCTCAAAATATATTTGATACCAAACTGATAAATCTCATTCCATAATCTTAGAAATTCTTTGGTTATATAAGATAAGAAATCATTAGCCTGAGTTCACAGATCTTTAGAAGTTCATTTATGTACAGCCAATCCAACCTTAATGTCCACTAGGTGGGCTTGTATGTACATAACATTTGATATTCCATGATATATTCCAAGGTTGTAGATCAAAAGATTACTATGTATCAAAGATGAAACCCTTGGAAGTGAAAAGGACTTTGTATAAATCTACAGGGTAACTTTTATCTCTTACATGCATTCTAATTATATTTAAAGACACTTCATTTACAACTAGTTTTGACCTGATACCAATGCCATGACCATGATTTCTATTTTATATATGTAGTAAAATAACTTTGTGACATCCAACATTTTTTACGCTTTTAGCTGGCACCCTATTATTATGCCTTGGAAATTTACACCCGAGTTTGTGCTAGGCCAGTGCCTTCAAGGCTTCACATACAGTAACCAATTGCTCTTTCTGCATGTACAGTCATTTTGATATGTAAATACAATGGTTCATGAAGATATCTTTGTCCTCCTGAGTGTTGTGTAATTTTTTTTCTACAGTTTAGTGCATATATATTCATATTGCATAATTTGAATAAGATATTTTGGAAAGTAATTGCGTACTTTTCAGTTTTTGAAAGGACGTGTAATCAAACAAGCATGTGCTTTAATCTCTATTTAAATAATTTGGTGCTATGTAGATTATCAGCTTAATTACTTCATTTTTTTATGACATTCTAAAATATATGTGTAGTAGTCAAATTTTTAACTTCATTGTGTAGTTAATCATTATTTTGAACTAAAAGAAAGCAAAGTAATCATTCTGTGCATGCAGCATGAGAATTGGTTTTCCGTTTTCTGTCTTAAGTTATCAAGATCTGTATCCAATTCATTTTTCTTTCTTCAGAAAATAAATCTTCGGGAGTACAACTTCCCTCTGACCTCGATGAAATTTCTCTCATGGGTGAAGGTCAAGATCTTGAGGATGCTTTCAACTTTGACCCCTCCAACATTGACCCCTCTTCCATATCCTCTCTTGTAGAACAATTACAGGCCCCGATTGATGACACTGAAAGGGAGGTAAGTCCTGATGAGGTGGATTTCCAGAACACAAACGGCTCACTGCATGCAAGTCTAGAATCTGATGCCCTGGAAGCAGCCCTGGAAGAAAGTTTGAATGGTGTTGATCTGGAACCTGTTGACGAAAAACCGAGAGTAGATGGAGACCTCAAGGGAGACGATCCAAAGGCAAAGAAAGAAAAAACAAAAGAGGAAAAAAAGAGCAAGAAAAAAGAAGACAAAACCATTGGTACTTATAAGCTGTAATATGTTTGTCATTTTAAATCAGATGTAAAGAAAATTGAGGTAACAAAAAAAAATATTATCAAAATGTTTTTACCGATGTCTTTCTTCCTACTTGTTATTTTGTTCCATGAAAGGGAAAGTATTTTGATTATTAGAGTGTTTCTATGGATTTTAAATGATTTACTTGTATTGTAGTATGATCAACGAAATGGAAAGTTGTTATATCTATATATATTGTTTACAAAAAATGGAATACAACATGTAGTTATCTTGAAATAGATCAGTTGTGTACTTGACATAGAAACATCAAAATATTTTCTCACCTGACATATATAACCCACCAGATGATATATAAATCAAACTGCCTTATGTCTATGGTCAGTTTGTCCATAAATAATGTTCATTATTGGTATTTCTTGAGAAGTACTGGATGGATTTCTCTCAAATGTCATACATAGATATAGGTCCCGAGTTGTACCTTTGGAATTGATATGAAAAACAAAAGGATGAGCATTTATGAGAAGTATTGAATGTATCTTTCTTAAATTTCATGTGTAGGTTCCCCTTGGTCCTAAGTTGTGCCCTTTTAAATTTCATGTGTAGTTTCCCCTTGGTCCTAAGTTGTGCCCTTTTAAATTTCATGTGTAGGTTCCCCTTGGTCCTAAGTTGTGCCCTTTTAAATTTCATGTGTAGGTTCCCCTTGGTCCTAAGTTGTGCCCTTTTAGATTTCATGTGTAGGTTCCCCTTGGTCCTAAGTTGTGCCCTTTTAGATTTCATGTGTAGGTTCCCCTTGGTCCTAAGTTGTGCCCTTTTAGATTTCATGTGTAGGTTCCCCTTGGTCCTAAGTTGTGCCCTTTTAAATTTAATGTGTAGGTTCCCCTTGGTCCTTAGTTGTGCCCTTTTTAATTTCATGTGTAGGTTCCCCTTGGTCCTAAGTTGTGCCCTTTTAATTTTGAGACTTGTCCAGAAAAAGAAAATGGCTGACAGGTGGCTTTCTTGTATCTTGTATCAATGAGAGTTTGTTATCACTCTGTTCTAAGAAGTACTTTATTTATCTTTCTCAAATATATGGATGTAGGTTTCCCTTTGTTCTTTGTGCCATTTTGATTGAGGGTTTATTAGAAAAGCAAAATGTCTGAGACGGAGACATTTCATATTTTGACAGTTAGCAATTATTATTGCTAATTCTGAAGAGGAATTTTCAAATTTCATATAATTTAAAACAAAAAATGGAGAAAAGAATTGTAAAGATCAAATATAGATCAAACAATAGTGGGCCCCAAGATCTCTTGTTATGCAGACACGAAGATAAAAAATGAGATATTAATTATCAAACTTGTATCAAAGCATCAGGTGTCTGTACAACAAGAGATCTTGGGGCCTACCTTTGTTTTCAGCTTTTCTTACAAGCTAAAAAAAGATATTTTTCTTCAGTTTTAGTCTCATGATATGTGTAAATAATTATCTATGGACTGACTCTATGTAATGTTTTGTTTATAGATCACATCCTGCGAGCCCTGAGCAGTCTCCACACTACAGAGGAGAAACTGGCTGCCCTGTGTAAGAAGTATGCTGACCTGCATGAGGAACACCGTGTACTTCAGACCAGTAATAAACAGAACACCCGCAAATTGTCTGTGGTAAGTAATCATTACAAATACTGGTAAATCGTCTGTTTAAAAAAATCCAACAAACTCTCCTTTGTGTCTGAAAATTTTCTGGTAAGTTAAAAAAGAGTAATCTTTCAAATACTGGCTTCTTCAAAATTCCAACAAACTCTGTGATGAATAAAATTGACTAGAAACTTGATGATGATTTTGAAATTCTCGTCAATCTGTAATGATGAAAAAATGCTCACACAACTTGTTATGGTTTTCAAAAATGTCCACAAATTCAGTGATGAAATGCCTACACTATCTGTAAAGTTAAAAAAAAACAACCACAACTCTGATGATTAAAAAAACAACCACAACTATGATGATTAAAAAAACCACCCACAACTATGATGATTATATATATATATATTTACAGTTACATTGTATTACTTACTGTTCAGGTTACTGGTGAGAGATATATATTTACAGTTACATTGTATTACTTACTGTTCAGGTAACTCGTCAGAGATATATATTTACAGTTACATTGTATTACTTACTGTTCAGTTACATTGTATTACTTACTGTTCAGGTTACCGGTGAGAGATATATATTTACAGTTACATTGTATTACTTACTGTTCAGGTTACTGGTGAGAGATATATATTTACAGTTACATTGTATTACTTACTGTTCAGGTTACTGGTGAGAGATATATATTTACAGTTACATTGTATTACTTACTGTTCAGGTTACTGGTGAGAGATATATATTTACAGTTACATTGTATTACTTACTGTTCAGGTATATATTACAGTTACATTGAGAGATATATATTTACAGTTACATTGTATTACTTACTGTTCAGGTTACTGGTGAGAGATATATATTTACAGTTACATTGTATTACTTACTGTTCAGGTTACTGGTGAGAGATATATATTTACAGTTACATTGTATTACTTACTGTTCAGGTAACTCGTGAGAGATATATATTTACAGTTACATTGTATTACTTACTGTTCAGGTAACTGGTCAGAGATATATATTTACAGTTACATTGTATTACTTACTGTTCAGGTAACTCGTGAGAGATATATATTTACAGTTACATTGTATTACTTACTGTTCAGGTTACCGGTGAGAGATATATATTTACAGTTACATTGTATTACTTACTGTTATATATGGTTACAGTTACATTGTATTACTTACTGTTCAGGTTACCGGTGAGAGATATATATTTACAGTTACATTGTATTACTGTTCAGGTAACTCGTGAGAGATATATATTTACAGTTACATTGTATTACTTACTGTTCAGGTTACTGGTGAGAGATATATATTTACAGTTACATTGTATTACTTACTGTTCAGGTTACTGGTGAGAGATATATATTTACAGTTACATTGTATTACTTACTGTTCAGGTTACTGGTGAGAGATATATATTTACAGTTACATTGTATTACTTACTGTTCAGGTTACCAGTGAGAGATATATGGTTACAGTTACATTGTATTACTTACTGTTCAGGTTACTGGTATTAGAGCTTAAAAATATATATTTACAGTTCATTGTACGGGTTACCAGTGAGAGATATATATCAGTTACATTGTATTACTTACTGTTCAGGTTACTAAGAGATATATATTTACAGTTACATCAACACTGTATAACTGAAGAGAAATACAGAAACAATGGAACTTTAAAGCAAATGATGATTACATTGAGTTCACATGATAATAAGCTGCCCAGTATGGTAGAGTTACCAACATTCTATTTTTGTATATTTCATCATCCTGTAACTGACTATAAGGAACTGCTTATGCTTTCAGCAAGAAAGTTTACAACGAGCAAGAGAAGAAGATGAAAAAAGGAAAGAAATCTCCAATAAGTTTCAGGTACTATACAATTCCTCTTTTTTCAAATTTTCAACTTATTTGTCAAAGTGATTAAAAAAATTGTTTTGTCATTGGTCATTGCCTTGCCAAATAATGAATAGAATGAAATGAGTTATATTTATAACTCTGAAATATTTTAGTCTATGTGGATGTACAAAACAGCCAGAACTTCTGCAGACTATACCTGTAAGTTTTACTGATGATTAAGTATATGTTTTACTGATGGTTAAGTATATGTTTTACTGATGGTTAAGTATATGTTTTACTGACGGTTAAGTATATGTTTTACTGATGGTTAAGTATATGTTTTACTGATGGTTAAGTTTATGTTTTACTGATGGTTAAGTGTATGTTTTACTGATGGTTAAGTGTATGTTTTACTGACGGTTAAGTATATGTTTTACTGATGGTTAAGTATATGTTTTACTGATGGTTAAGTATATGTTTTACTGATGGTTAAGTTTATGTTTTACTGACAGTTAAGTATATGTTTTACTGATGGTTAAGTATATATTTTACTGACAGTTAAGTGTATGTTTTACTGACAGTTAAGTTTATGTTTTACTGACGGTTAAGTATATGTTTTACTGACGGTTAAGTATATGTTTTACTGACGGTTAAGTATATGTTTTACTGACAGTTAAGTATATGTTTTACTGACGGTTAAGTATATGTTTTACTGACGGTTAAGTATATGTTTTACTGACGGTTAAGTATATGTTTTACTGACGGTTAAGTATATGTTTTACTGACGGTTAAGTATATGTTTTACTGACGGTTAAGTATATGTTTTACTGACAGTTAAGTATATGTTTTACTGACGGTTAAGTTTATGTTTTACTGACGGTTAAGTATATGTTTTACTGACAGTTAAGTATATGTTTTACTGACAGTTAAGTATATGTTTTACTGACGGTTAAGTATATGTTTTACTGATGGTTAAGTATATGTTTTACTGACAGTTAAGTATATGTTTTACTGACAGTTAAGTATATGTTTTACTGACAGTTAAGTATATGTTTTACTGACAGTTAAGTATATGTTTTACTGACGGTAAATATATGTTTTACTGACGGTTAAGTATATGTTTTACTGACGGTTAAGTATATGTTTTACTGACGGTTAAGTTTATGTTTTACTGACGGTTAAGTATATGTTTTACTGACGGTTAAGTATGTTTTACTGACGGTTAAGTATATGTTTTACTGACGGTTAAGTATATGTTTTACTGACAGTTAAGTATATGTTTTACTGATGGTTAAGTATATGTTTTACTGACGGTTAAGTATATGTTTTACTGACGGTTAAGTATATGTTTTACTGACGGTTAAGTATATGTTTTACTAATGGTTAAGTTTATGTTTTACTAATGGTTAAGTTTATGTTTTACTGACGGTTAAGTATAAGTTTTACTAATGGGTAAGTATATGTTTTACTGACGGTTAAGTATATGTTTAACTACAGACAACCATCACAGAGATTCAGCAGCAGATGACTGACCATCACGAACGTAACCAGAAGTTGCGTGAGGAGAACCAGGAATTGGCTGCTAAGCTCAAAAAATTCATTGAACAGTATGAGTTACGAGAAAAGGTATGTACCTTGTATCTACTTACCTCCAAATCTTTGGGTACACACTTAGTGTGTCCATCCATAACTCTTTTCCAAGCCTTCAACAAGAGAATAAGATGACATCAGCATCAAAAATCATATTTCCAAGGTCACCTATTTAAAAATGTGAAACTAGAAATTGAAACATTTGTCAGAATAACTAAAAAGTCGAAAAACGTATTAATAAGACAGTGGTTATGCATTGAGTTAAAATTCTCTTACAAAGGGTCTGTTTAATGTTGAGGAAAAATCATAACTTACAAAGGGTCTGTTTAATGTTGAGGAAAAATCATAACTTACAAAGGGTCTGTCTAATGTTGAGGAAAAATCATTACTTACAAAGGGTCTGTTTAATGTTGAGGAAAAATCATAACTTACAAGGGGCCTGTCTAATGTTGAGAATAGGTCATAAATATGGTGTGGTAACAATTTGACCTACTTTAAAATCTTAAATTTTCAGATGAATGGTGTGGGAACAATGGGCCTCTTGTTTGCTTAATGATTTATATGAATATTTCATAGTGTTGAATTTGGATTGAAGATTAGAGAAAACATGTATCTGTGGCCTCCAAGCATGGTAATACATATTGTCATGTTGTCTCTTGTTCTGTAGCAAGTGGAGAAGGTAATGCAGCACCGGGAACTGGAACAGAAATTAGCAGATGCCAAGCTTGCCCAGTCAAACGCCATTCTCAAAGAGGAACAAGAGAGAAACAAGAAAGAGAAAGAGCTGGTGTGTACCTTTATTCTTAATCCTTGCTCCATCTCACAAATGCCTTTCCTACCTGTCAAAGATATATTCTGACAAGTCTTAAGTCTTAATTAATTATCGCAGACCACATCAACACCACACAAAAGTGAAATTGGTTTTAGGTCGTCATGTCATATAACTTGAATATTTAAATTGTTCTGTCAACTAAGTTATGAAAAATGTTTATATATGATGTTGTTTCAGTTGGTTCTACAAGCAACAGAGGGACAGAAGAAAGCCACTTTATTAGAAGCACAAGTAGGTGAAAATTGATGTGTTTTCTGACAACTCTGTGAGTAACACATTTGTCCATCAAGACACATCACATTTAAGACTTTAACATGTTAAACAGCTTACTTGTTTAAGTTCCTGAGTGTTGGGTGTTCATGATTAAAGATTAAATCAAATTATAGAAACATGTTGGATGTTCATGATAGGGAGATACCAGAATGAATATAATGTGATCAACTAGTGACCAATACATGAGATCTTCATGGCTAGCCGATGGACAAACTGTCCTCTGAGGTGCTCTTAAGTTGGAAATAATCTTTCCGTTTTGAAATGACGAAAATCAGTAAGTGATCTTTTCTAAAAGAGTTGAAACTGAACATTGTTTTCTCTCTACAGCTTGCCATGTACAAGGAACGCTATGAAGAGTTTCAATCAACCATCAACAAAAGTAACGAAATGTTTCAGAAATTTAAGACTGAAATGGATAAGGTAAAAACAATTCTCTTTAATATTTGTATTTTCTTTTCTTCTTTTTTTCCAACCTTTGTTCATCTTAGATATTCCTTTGGAAAATATCTTAGTCAGATTTCATTTTATTTTTGTAATTTATTTTTGTTATTGCATCATAGGATGATTTTTCCTGAAATAAATAATCACGATCCAAGGAAATGACAAGGGACATTACTCTTGAAGCATATAGGATTTCATATGAAGTGGGAGTTGCGTCCCTTTACTCAGGAGTTTCCTGTGTTAAGAGGCATAATGTGTCTGGTATATGTTTCCTTTTTCTTTACTCAGATGACAAAGAGAATAAAGAAACTTGAGAAAGACGGTGCTCAGTGGAAACAGAAGTGGGAAAACTCTAACAAGGCTTTAATAGAAATGGCAGAGGAGGTATTATTGATAGTCATTTCTTAAGTGTTTTTAATTATCATATACCTGCAAGTCATTACACAAGGTATATATTAATTCATCAGGATTTATTCTAATTTTTTTAACTTTATTTCATATATATTAGAATTGAAAGCAAATTTGTGTATATAAGGATTATTAAGCATCATGTATCAAATTTTTAATCATTATTGTGCTAATATTTCACTAAAACTTAAGTTATTTTCTTTTAGAAAGGTGAGTCCTTTACTTTAAGCAAATAATTACAATATATCGATGCTTTCAGAAAACCCTATATGACCGAGAAAAGCCTCTCCTTATGGGCAAAATCAAGAAACTTGAGTCACTGTGTCGTGCCATGCAAGCAGAACGTTTGGGAAGGAAAGTGTTAGAAGCTTCTTCACTTGGTAAGGAGAGTTTGGTAAAAAATATACTGATGTGTTATTTCATTGTTATACAGTGTAGAGGGAATGTACACTGTAGTGTTATCTGACTGACCAACAACTAGTGTTATTGTTATACAGTGTAGAGGGGATGTACACTGTAGTGTTATCTGTCTGACTGACCAACAACTAGTGTTATTGTTATACAGTGTAGAGGGGATGTACACTGTAGTGTTATCTGTCTGACTGACCAACAACTAGTGTTATTGTTATACAGTGTAGAGGGGATGTACACTGTAGTGTTATCTGTCTGACTGACCAACAACTAGTGTTATTGTTATACAGTGTAGAGGGGATGTACACTGTAGTGTTATCTGTTATACCAACAACTAGTGTTATTGTGTAGGGGATGTACACTGTAGTGTTATCTGTCTGACTGACCAACAACTAGTGTTATTGTTATACAGTGTAGAGGGGATGTACACTGTAGTGTTATCTGTCTGACTGACCAACAACTAGTGTTATTGTGTAGAGGGGATGTACACTGTAGTATTATCTGTCTGACTGACCAACAACTAGTGTTATTGTGTAGAGGGGATGTACACTGTTGTGTTATCTGACTGACTGACCAACAACTAGTGTTATTGTTATACAGTGTAGAGGGGATGTACACTGTAGTGTTATCTGTCTGACTGACCAACAACTAGTGTTATTGTTATACAGTGTAGAGGGGATGTACACTGTAGTGTTATCTGTCTGACTGACCAACAACTAGTGTTATTGTTATACAGTGTAGAGGGGATGTACACTGTAGTGTTATCTGTCTGACTGACCAACAACTAGTGTTATTGTTATACAGTGTAGAGGGGATGTACACTGTAGTGTTATCTGTCTGACTGACCAACAACTAGTGTTATTGTTATACAGTGTAGAGGGGATGTACACTGTAGTGTTATCTGTCTGACTGACCAACAACTAGTGTTATTGTTATACAGTGTAGAGGGGATGTACACTGTAGTGTTATCTGTCTGACTGACCAACAACTAGTGTTATTGTTATACAGTGTAGAGGGGATGTACACTGTAGTGTTATCTGTCTGACTGACCAACAACTAGTGTTATTGTTATACAGTGTAGAGGGGATGTACACTGTAGTGTTATCTGTCTGACTGACCAACAACTAGTGTTATTGTTATACAGTGTAGAGGGGATGTACACTGTAGTGTTATCTGTCTGACTGACCAACAACTAGTGTTATTGTTATACAGTGTAGAGTGGATGTACACTGTAGTATTATCTGACTGACCAACAACTAGTGTTATTGTTATACAGTGTAGAGGGGATGTACACTGTAGTGTTATCTGTCTGACCAACAACTAGTGTTATTGTTATACAGTGTAGAGGGGATGTACACTGTAGTGTTATCTGTCTGACTGACCAACAACTAGTGTTATTGTGTAGAGGGGATGTACACTGTAGTGTTATCTGTCTGACTGACCAACAACTAGTGTTATTGTTATACAGTGTAGAGGGGATGTACACTGTAGTGTTATCTGTCTGACTGACCAACAACTAGTGTTATTGTTATACAGTGTAGAGGGGATGTACACTGTAGTGTTATCTGTCTGACTGACCAACAACTAGCGTTATTGTTATACTGTAGTGTTAGAGACCAACAACTAGTGTTATGTTATACACACTGTAGTGTTATCTGTCTGACCAACAACTAGTGTTATTGTTATACAGTGTAGAGGGGATGTACACTGTAGTGTTATCTGTCTGACTGACCAACAACTAGTGTTATTGTTATACAGTGTAGAGGGGATGTACACTGTAGTGTTATCTGTCTGACTGACCAACAACTAGTGTTATTGTTATACAGTGTAGAGGGGATGTACACTGTAGTGTTATCTGTCTGACTGACCAACAACTAGTGTTATTGTTATACAGTGTAGAGGGGATGTACACTGTAGTGTTATCTGTCTGACTGACCAACAACTAGTGTTATTGTTATACAGTGTAGAGGGGATGTACACTGTAGTGTTATCTGTCTGACTGACCAACAACTAGTGTTATTGTGTAGAGAGGATGTACACTGTTGTGTTATCTGACTGACCAACAACTAGTGTTATTGTTATACAGTGTAGAGGGGATGTACACTGTAGTGTTATCTGTCTGACTGACCAACAACTAGTGTTATTGTTATACAGTGTAGAGGGGATGTACACTGTAGTGTTATCTGTCTGACTGACCAACAACTAGTGTTATTGTGTAGAGGGGATGTACACTGTAGTGTTATCTGTCTGACTGACCAACAACTAGTGTTATTGTTATACAGTGTAGAGGGGATGTACACTGTAGTGTTATCTGTCTGACTGACCAACAACTAGTGTTATGGTGTAGAGGGGATGTACACTGTAGTGTTATCTGTCTGACCAACAACTAGTGTTATTGTTATACAGTGTAGAGGGGATGTACACTGTAGTGTTATCTGTCTGACTGACCAACAACTAATGTTATTGTTATACAGTGTTGAGGGGATGTACACTGAAATAAGTACCCCATTGTATACTTAGTCATAGCCCTTTTGTTGTGTCATTACCAACATAAGAGAACAACATCTGCCATATTTCTTGTGGGTGTATCTTGTAAGATTACATCACTATCAAATTGTGTAAATTGTTCATTTTCTGTTTTTTGTTGAAGATCCTTCGAAGTTTGAAGAAACATTGGCAGCAAGTCAGGGGGTAGAGAAACAGATACAGACACAGCTCCATTCTGCTTCCTTACAAAAGGTTTCTGAATCCCCACCCCAGGAAAGCAAGGAGGGGAACGAGGGTGGCTCACCGACAAACCACTCACCAGACTGTGATAAGGAGGAGTCTTCATCAGCTAGCCAATCAGAGGATACGGAGGAGTCCTCTGAGGAACAAACAGACCTTCCCAGCCAATCAAAGCAACCAGTTGAGTCAGAATCTACTAGTGACGAGCAAGAAAAGAAGAGTTCGGAAGATCAATTGCCGATAACAACATAGCCTAGACATACAAATTTAACACCTATTTATATTTTAAGCTTTTCTTTCACTCTCACAACAGCTGTAAGCAATGTACAAATAGATTTGCAGTTTTCAGTTAAAAACTTTGTTTCTTATTGAAACAAATGATCAAAACCTGAAAGTTTATCTGAAACAGAACCTTACAATAACAATTTTGACAAGATGTCTGCATTTATAGAATTGTTTGTTGGGGTCATTTTATGCTTGAACAAATAAAACAGTTTTTGTCAATAGATTTTTGTTTCTTTTCGTTATAAAGTGAAATATAAATGTTGAAGGAAGGGGACTTAACCAATCACAGTAATGGTCTGAAGGAAGGGGACTTAACCAATCACAGTAATGGTCTGAAGGAAGGGGACTTAACCAATCACAGTAATGGTCTGAAGGAGGGGTTATGTACTTCATTTGACATTTTCTACAGGACTGAAACATGTTTTAAGCAAGATACACATGAGAAAATTCAAGTTTAAAAACAGTAATCTGTAGTATTACCAGTATAAAACAGGAATCTGCTGTATAAACAAGTATAAAAACAGGAATCTGCTGTATTACCAGTATAAAAACAGGACTCGACTGTATTACCAGTATAAAAACAGGAATCTGCTGTATTACAAGTATAAAAACAGGAATCTGCTGTATTACCAGTATAAAACAGGAATCTGCTGTATTACCAGTATAAAAACAGGAATCTGCTGTATTACCAGTATAAAAACAGGAATCTGCTGTATTACCAGTATAAAAACAGTAATCTGCTGTATTACCAGTATAAAAACAGGAATCTGCTGTATTACCAGTATAAAAACAGGAATCTGCTGTATTACCAGTATAAAAACAGGAATCTGCTGTATTACCAGTATAAAAACAGGAATCTGCTGTATTACCAGTATAAAAACAGGAATCTGCTGTATTACCATTATAAAAACAGGAATCTGCTGTATTACCAGTATAAAAACAGGAATCTGCTGTATTACCAGTATAAAAACAGGAATCTGCTGTATTACCAGTATAAAAACAGGAATCTGCTGTATTACCAGTATAAAAACAGGAATCTGCTGTATTACCAGTATAAAAACAGGAATCTGCTGTATTACCAGTATAAAAACAGGAATCTGCTGTATTACCAGTATAAAAAGGAATCTGCTGTATTACCAGTATAAAAACAGGAATCTGCTAGTATTACCAGTATAAAAACAGGAATCTGCTGTATTACCAGTATAAAAACAGGAATCTGCTGTATTACCAGTATAAAAACAGAAATCTGCTGTATTACCAGTATAAAAACAGGAATCTGCTGTATTACCAGTATAAAAAGGAATCTGCTGTATTACCAGTAATCTGCTGTATTACCAGTATAAAAACAGGAATCTGCTGTATTACCAGTATAAAAACAGGAATCTGCTGTATTACCAGTATAAAAACAGGAATCTGCTGTATTACCAGTATAAAAACAGGAATCTGCTGTATTACCAGTATAAAAACAGTAATCTGCTGTATTACCAGTATAAAAACAGTAATCTGCTGTATTACCAGTATAAAACAGGAATCTGCTGTATTACCAGTATAAAACAGTAATCTGCTGTATTACCAGTATAAAAACAGGAATCTGCTGTATTACCAGTATAAAAACAGTAATCTGCTGTATTACCAGTATAAAACAGGAATCTGCTGTATTACCAGTATAAAAACAGGAATCTGCTGTATTACCAGTATAAAAACAGGAATCTGCTGTATTACCAGTATAAAAACAGGAATCTGCTGTATTACCAGTATAAAAACAGGAATCTGCTGTATTACCAGTATAAAAACAGGAATCTGCTGTATTACCAGTATAAAAACAGGAATCTGCTGTATTACCAGTATAAAAACAGGAATCTGCTGTATTACCAGTATAAAAACAGGAATCTGCTGTATTACCAGTATAAAAACAGGAATCTGCTGTATTACCAGTATAAAAACAGTAATCTGCTGTATTACCATTATAAAAACAGGAATCTGCTGTATTACCAGTATAAAAACAGGAATCTGCTGTATTACCAGTATAAAAACAGGAATCTGCTGTATTACCAGTATAAAAACAGGAATCTGCTGTATTACCAGTATAAAACAGGAATCTGCTGTATTACCAGTATAAAAACAGGAATCTGCTGTATTACCAGTATAAAAACAGGAATCTGCTGTATTACCAGTATAAAAACAGGAATCTGCTGTATTACCAGTATAAAAACAGGAATCTGCTGTATTACCAGTATAAAAACAGGAATCTGCTGTATTACCAGTATAAAACAGGAATCTGCTGTATTACCAGTATAAAAACAGGAATCTGCTGTATTACCAGTATAAAAACAGGAATCTGCTGTATTACCAGTATAAAAACAGTAATCTGCTGTATTACCAGTATAAAAACAGGAATCTGCTGTATTACCAGTATAAAAACAGGAATCTGCTGTATTACCAGTATAAAACAGTAATCTGCTGTATTATAAAACAGGAATCTGCTGTATTACCAGTATAAAAACAGGAATCTGCTGTATTACCAGTATAAAAACAGGAATCTGCTGTATTACCAGTATAAAAACAGGAATCTGCTGTATTACCAGTATAAAAACAGTAATCTGCTGTATTACCAGTATAAAACAGGAATCTGCTGTATTACCAGTATAAAAACAGGAATCTGCTGTATTACCAGTATAAAAACAGGAATCTGCTGTATTACCAGTATAAAAAACAGGAATCTGCTGTATTACCAGTATAAAAACAGGAATCTGCTGTATTATATAAAAACAGGAATCTGCTGTATTACCAGTATAAAAACAGGAATCTGCTGTATTACCATTATAAAAACAGGAATCTGCTGTATTACCAGTATAAAAACAGGAATCTGCTGTATTACCAGTATAAAAACAGGAATCTGCTGTATTACCAGTATCAAAACAGGAATCTGCTGTATTACCAGTATAAAAACAGGAATCTGCTGTATTACCAGTATAAAAACAGGAATCTGCTGTATTACCAGTATAAAAACAGGAATCTGTAGTATTACCAGTATAAAACAGGAATCTGCTGTATTACCAGTATAAAAACAGGAATCTGCTGTATTACCAGTATAAAAACAGTAATCTGTAGTATTACCAGTATAAAACAGGAATCTGTAGTATTACCAGTATAAAACAGGAATCTGCTGTATTACCAGTATAAAACAGGAATCTGCTGTATTACCAGTATAAAAACAGGAATCTGCTGTATTACCAGTATAAAAACAGGAATCTGCTGTATTACCAGTATAAAAACAGGAATCTGCTGTATTACCAGTATAAAAACAGGAATCTGCTGTATTACAAGTATAAAAACAGGAATCTGCTGTATTACCAGTATAAAACAGTAATATAAAAACAGTAGCTGTATCTATAAAACAGTAATCTGCTTACCAGTATAAAACAGGAATCTGCTGTATTACCAGTATAAAAACAGGAATCTGCTGTATTACCAGTATAAAAACAGGAATCTGCTGTATTACCAGTATAAAACAGGAATCTGTAGTATTACCAGTATAAAAACAATAATCTGCTGTATTACCAGTATCAAAACAGGAATCTGCTGTATTACCAGTATAAAACAGTAATCTGCTGTATTACCAGTATAAAAACAGGAATCTGCTGTATTACCAGTATAAAAACAGGAATCTGCTGTATTACCCGTATAAAACAGGAATCTGCTGTATTACCCGTATAAAACAGTGATCTGCTGTATTACCAGTATAAAACAGGAATCTGCTGTATTACCAGTATAAAAACAGGAATCTGTATTACCAGTATAAAAACAGGAATCTGCTGTAAGTATAAAAACAATAATCTGCTGTATTACCAGTATAAAAACAGGAATCTGCTGTATTACCAGTATAAAAACAGGAATCTGCTGTATTACCAGTATAAAAACAGGAATCTGCTGTATTACCAGTATAAAACAGTAATCTGCTGTATTACCAGTATAAAAACAGTAAAAAAACAGAATCTGCTGTATTACCAGTATAAAAACAGGAATCTGCTGTATTACCAGTATAAAAACAGGAATCTGCTGTATTACCAGTATAAAACAGGAATCTGCTGTATTACCAGTATAAAAACAGTAATCTGCTGTATTACCAGTATAAAACAGGAATCTGCTGTATTACCAGTATAAAAACAGGAATCTGCTGTATTACCAGTATAAAACAGGAATCTGCTGTATTACCAGTATAAAACAGGAATCTGCTGTATTACCAGTATAAAACAGGAATCTGCTGTATTACCAGTATAAAAACAGGAATCTGCTGTATTACCAGTATAAAACAGTAATCTGCTGTATTACCAGTATAAAAACAGTAATCTGCTGTATTACCAGTATAAAAACAGGAATCTGCTGTATTACCAGTATAAAAACAGGAATCTGCTGTATTACCAGTATAAAAACAGGAATCTGCTGTATTACCAGTATAAAAACAGTAATCTGTAGTATTACCAGTATAAAAACAGGAATCTGCTGTATTAGCAGTATAAAAACAGTAATCTGCTGTATTACCAGTATAAAAACAGGAATCTGCTGTATTACCAGTATAAAAACAGGAATCTGCTGTATTATAAAAACAGTATAAAAACAGGAATCTGCTGTATTACCAGTATAAAAACAGGAATCTGCTGTATTACCAGTATAAAACAGGAATCTGCTGTATTACCAGTATAAAAACAGGAATCTGCTGTATTACCAGTATAAAAACAGGAATCTGCTGTATTACCAGTATAAAACAGGAATCTGCTGTATTACCAGTATAAAAACAGGAATCTGCTGTATTACCAGTATAAAAACAGGAATCTGCTGTATTACCAGTATAAAAACAGTAATCTGCTGTATTACCAGTATAAAACAGGAATCTGCTGTATTACCAGTATAAAACAGGAATCTGTAGTATTACCAGTATAAAAACAGTAATCTGCTGTATTACCAGTATAAAAACAGGAATCTGCTGTATTACCAGTATAAAAACAGTAATCTGCTGTATTACCAGTATAAAAACAGTAATCTGCTGTATTACCAGTATAAAAACAGGAATCTGCTGTATTACCAGTATAAAAACAGGAATCTGCTGTATTACCAGTATAAAAACAGTAATCTGCTGTATTACCAGTATAAAAACAGGAATCTGCTGTATTACCAGTATAAAACAGGAATCTGCTGTATTACCAGTATAAAACAGTTATCT